AAAAAAAAAAAAGGGCCCCTAATTTCTAAATGCAGTTTAATTTGAATATTAAAAAAAAAAAAAAAAAAAAAAGGCACCCTAATTCCTAAATGCAGTTTAATTGAATATCCAAGTAAAGTAGAAATTATTACCAATCAATTTTCTTTTAAACCATTAAAGTTACATCCAAATTAATACTTATCTCGTTTTAAAATATAAATCATTTAAAGTTTTTGTACATGAATTAAGAAAATAATTAATTTTTTTAAATTATAACAAAACCAAGGCTAATTTGATTGAAATCACCCTTTATCTCATATACTTGCTCATGTCTCACATTATTATATTGTATCTAATATAAATAAAAATAAACTAAAAAAAAATCATTTATTACTCATTAAAATACTTAAACGATTTATATTTTGAGATAAAATAATCACTTTAAAATTATTTATATTTTTATATTTGAAGACATGAGTATATATTTGTTCAATTCCCTGAGAATCAATCTAAGTTAATTGGAAAGAGCATCTAATAATTAAATATTCAATTAGAAAGCATAAGTATGATTAATTAGAAGATTATAGAATTATGAAGAGCTTAGAGAATGCATGTACACAGCTATATTATATTTATATTATATATAAATATAGGTGAATTGGCCTTGTTTTGGCTTTTGGGATGGTCCTAACCCTAATCCAACCATAAAAAATTTGGGGTACGCTGCAAAGTAGAGAAAATCAGAAACCAAAGCATATGAGAATTAGCATGCTTCATCATGCATATATGCCGTCAAGGGAAGAGCATAGAAGCTGCCTTTCTAACCAATGGTTCCTTTGAAGAACAATAGTAACTTAAACTATATATTTAATATTTCCTATAAAAGAAAATCTTATAATCTTTGTTCTTTCCTTCTACCCTATAGATTCTTGAGAAATTAAATTAGAGCCGTTAACAATGTAATTCAAATTCAACAATTGACACCAATGAGTATTTGCATGTTCCCACTAAGAACTCATATAATTTTAATTTTTGTTATCTTGTTGATTGTTCTTTGATTTATATGAGTGCGGCGTGTGTCATTACATTCTGAGATTCAAATAGTTAACTTTATATTAATTAATTTCTTGTGGAGTTATATGGGATAATCCCTAATTTTCCTTTCCTTAATTATTCTAATCCTGTCTTCTCCAACCCTTCGTCATCAACAGTAATTTGGCAAAGATGATGAACTAATAAAATTACTAGAAGAAAGAAATGAAACAATCACTTGAAGAAAATTAATACTGATATAACAGTTTTGTGTTTCCCCACTTTTGAAGATCCAAAATAATAAAAGACAATCAGTCATCATATTCATTTCATATAATATAAAATTTCTTCAATCAATCCATGTGTTGTGATTTTTTTTTTGTTTTTTTTTTTTTAAACAAAATCTATCAGCGACTAGAATTAGGTGGAGAATACTCACTAACTTCTTCAGTTTCCACTTCTCTTCTATGGAAGTTCCTATGGCAGCCACAAGCAGCACAGATAAGAGCAGTGATAGTCCCTTCTTCTCCACTTGCCATGAATTCCCTGCAACCATCAACAGCATAACCTCCGATGTTCGCAGCATGATTCTTTTGGCACTCTCTATACCTAACATTTCTCATTGTTGTAGTAGAAACTCTTCCTCCTGACACACTACTACCATCTCCTTTCAGTACAACTTGGCGTTTCCTCATCGTTTCTTCAAAACCCTAACTAGCAATCTTTCGTAGAAGATGTTAATGGAAATGGATTTTGTTTAGTCACTCAAGAAAGGAAATGCAAAGCAAGCTTTTGGGATTGGTGTATTCCTTGATCTGGAAGGATCTTCTTTTTTGAAAAAAAAAAAAAAAGCTGTAAGACTTTGTGTGTATGTTTTGATGACTTGATCCTAAACGTAGCTGGAAATGGTTTTTGATTAGTCATTCAAGCAAGATAATCAAAGCAAGCTTTTGTGATTGGTGGATTAATTGACCTGGAAGAATTGGAAACAAAAAAAAAAAAAAAAAAAAAAACAAAAAAAAAAAAAAAAAAAAACCCGTAAAAAACTTATTATGGTTTGTTTGATGTTTTAAACCCTACACTAATTCCCCAAATCCAAAAAAAAAAAAAAAAAAAAAAAAACCCGTAAAAACTCTTATATGTTTGTTTTGATGTTTAAACCCTAACACTAATTCCCAAATCCAGTGCTTTGTTGCGGGTGAGTATTTCAACAATTAAAAAATTACGCAAAATTTATGATTAATTAAATTAACAATAATAGAGAAAACAAGCAGTAATGCAAAGATATATGGCACTAAATTAAATTGAGTGCAATCATCATTACATAATTTATATGTTTAATAATAAATAATGTTAGATATTTGTAGTTTATATTTTTGTAATTTAAAAATTTGATAATGCTTGTCATAATTGTTGTATTGACAAACAAAATTTATTATTATTATTGATATTTGATGATAAATTATTTGAAAAATAACCCATATTTGTAATTATATTATTATTATTATTATTTTGCTATAAAATTATCTATGAGTATTTTAATTTTAAAAATTAAATACACAAGTAAAAATGATAAATTTTATAAAAAAATAAATTTATTATTTAAAATTAGTCGTTATTCCGCGGTTCGCGTTCGGGTCTATATATATACATTTGTAAATTTAAAAAAATTATATGAATTTTTTAAAAAAAAATTACAAATGAGAAATAATGCATTAGTGTAATATATTTAACTATTTACTGAAAGATATAAAAAATGAGAGATTAAATTAATAATAGAAAAGTCTAAGAAGTATTATCATATGTATAAATATAAATACAGATAAGTAATTCCATCATGAAATAGAAAAAAAAATGAAGAAAAAATTTGAAATAAAATATAGATGCACATAATATAGATATAGATAATATTTTCAAATAAATATTAATTTTTAAAATAAAATTATTCAACTAATATTTAGATAATAAAATTAAAATTAAAAATTTAAGAATAGCATTTGAATAATAAACATTAAACAGGCACTAGATAGATCAATATTTGATTTCTTAATAAGTAGAGCTTTACAATCTTGAATGATAGAATCAAAAAAAGACAAATCCGTGGAAGAATTTTGAATAGCTTGAACAAGTACTAAAGGGTCAAACTTAATTATCACTTGTGCAGGGTGCTTAGCCTTAATTTTGATATTTAAATTTAAATATTTGCTGTGCTCCTTTTTATTTCATATACTTGGTTTGAATTTTTTAAGCGTGTTCAATTTTAAAAAAAAAAAAAGGTTAAGCATTGTGCTGGAGAGGATAACATCTATGAACAGTAGAATTCCCATTATATTTTAGTATTATATATATTCCGTAAAAAAAAATTTAATAAAGATATGTTAATTCTTAATTATCCTACCCGTTTTATTCTGTTTTATAAATTCAAATTTCTTTTTTTTTTTTTTGGTCTAGAATAATGAGACTGAACAAAATGAGATACAAATGGGATTGAAAGTCTATTTTTTATATTCTAATATTTTGAAACAAAATTTAAAATTACGTGATTTCCATTTTATCTTTTCACATTCACATGCACACCCCTTAAAAAAAAAAAAAAAAAAGAAAAAGAACTCAGCAGTTGAGCATTCGGAAAAAGATAAAACATGATACAAGTTGTGTATCAAAACATAATCTAGTGGTAAGTGAATATACGACTTGATAATAAATTTAAATTCGAATCTCTTTTCTTCTGATAAAGAAAATATGATGCAAGTCACCTATGTTAAATAACCATATATCCATAAATAAATAAATTAAAACACATCTGGTGCACAAAAACCCCATTCTTGCATAACAAAAATAAATAAGCAAATAACCATTATTCTTTATTGCCCCCTTGGCCCGTAAAAACAGGAACAAAGAAAAACAACAAATGGTCAATGTACTATTTGACTATCTAAAGGAAATAATAGTCAATAAATAAAAATGGAAAGGTTTGTCATTGCATAAATAAAAATTATCATATACTATTTGTTATCTAGCTATACGGAGATCCTACACCACAAAATGCAAGAAAATGAAATTTCAATAGCAATGGACAACAGTTTACATCTTACTGATCTCCTATATTCCAATTGGTTATTTAGCTTTACATACACTTCACTTTCTTTGGCCACTACCATCCATTTTGTGTAATTATTAATGGCGATAGAACAGTACTTTTTCATTGTTCTTGCGGTGATAGTGTTGCAAGTTGAGTTAGGACTTGCAGGCTCTTACTCAACAGTTGAGTATCTTCCTGGTTTTGAGGGTCCGCTTCCTTTTCAACTTCAAACTGGGTCAGTTAATCAATTTCTTGATTCTGAATTTCTATGTACCTGCAAAGTAATTAGTTTTGATGTGTGTAAATAATTTTTGCACTATGATCAGATATGTTGGTGTGGATGAAGCAGAGGAAGTGCAGCTTTTTTACTATTTTCTCAAGTCAGAAGGGAATGTTAAGGAGGATCCTCTCTTGCTTTGGCTAACTGGTGGCCCTGGTTGCTCGGCCTTATCTGGTCTTCTTTATGAAGTTGGTAAGCCAAAGCAACTGTTAATATATATATTTATTGAGGGAATTTTAAGATTGGATTGGAGGTTTTCCTATTTTACTTACAAAAAAAAATATAAAATCTGAAAAAGAAAACCTTACAAAAAAAAAAATATAAAATCTGAAAAAGGAAACAGTTGAAGTCTTAATTGTTGACTTTAGTTTTTTCTTTTTTATCGTTTCTTATTAATTGTATAATTAAGAAAGAAACACACAATTGATGGTTTGATAAGATGCAGGTCCACTCACTTTGAGGTAGTGGAATATACATGGAAGCAGAGGAAGTGCAGCTTTTTTACTATTTTCTCAAGTCAGAAGGGAATGTTAAGGAGGATCCTCTCTTGCTTTGGCTAACTGGTGGCCCTGGTTGCTCGGCCTTATCTGGTCTTCTTTATGAAGTTGGTAAGCCAAAGCAACTGTTAATATATATATTTATTGAGGGAATTTTAAGATTGGATTGGAGGTTTTCCTATTTTACTTACAAAAAAAAATATAAAATCTGAAAAAGAAAACAGTTGAAGTCTTATCTGTGACTTTAGTTTTCTTTTTATCGTTCTTATTAATTGTAATAATTAAGAAGAACACACAAATTGATGTTTGATGAGATGCAGGTCCACTCACTTTTGAGGTAGTGGAATATAATGGAAGCTTACCCAAATTGATCCTCAATCCACATTCATGGACAAAGGTGAAGCTGTTTTGTACTGTATTATTACAGACATTTGTAGATTTTTAACTTTTCAAACATGAATGTTTAGTGGTGATTAATTTCAGGCAGCCAGCATAATATTTGTAGATATGCCTGTTGGCACTGGATTTTCCTATGCAAAAACCCAACCTGCTTATCATTCAAGTGACCTTATACAAGTTCACCAAGCAGACCAATTTCTGAGAAAGGTAAATGAAATAAACATACACTTAATCCATTTTCACATAATTTAAAATAGTTCTTCTTATTATTATTTTATTCTGTTTCCTTCATACAGTGGCTAAGGGATCATCCAGAATTTCTCCCAAGTCCAGTCTATATCGCAGGAGACTCCTACTCTGGCATTCCCCTTCCAGCAATAGTTCAACAAATCTCAAATGGTAAGCCAATTAAGGGAATTTCCAACACTCCACAATTTTGTTTTCATATACCAATTAAATAGAAAAATTGTGTCAATCTAGCTTTATGCGTTTTCTTCTGTCAAGCAGGGAATGAAGAAGGTATGGAGCCACTAATAAATCTCAAGGTTCTTTTCAAAAAAAAAAAAAAAAATCTCAAGGTTAAAATATGAGAATTTTAATGATTATTGAAAATTTTATTTTGTTTTATTTTTCTATAATTGCTGACTAGTGCATTTTTTTTCTCAGGGCTACATACTTGGAAACCCTATTACAGATCCAAATTTTGATACCAACTCAAAGGTTTCATATGCTCATGGAATGGGTCTTATTTCTGATGAACTCTATGAGGTGATTTGAATTTTTCATTAAATCTAATAAGCAAGATTAATATATTTCATGTCTAACAAGTTGTTTACAGTCACTGAAGAGAAGCTGCAGAGGAAATTATGTAGATATAGAGCCCAGTAATACTGAGTGCTTGAGAAATATGCAGGGATTTAACAAGGTACATTTATAGTAATCTTAAGTGTTTTTTTTTTTTTTAATTTAGGTGGATTAGCTCCTATAATTAAATATTGGTGTATTCAGTGCGTTGAGGGCCTCCAAACTGGATATATTTTAGAACCCAGTTGCGGTTTTGCTTCTCCAAAGCCATTTGAGATATTTGACAAGAGAAGATCTCTCATTCAGAACTCTCCAGACTTCCTCCAAATTGATCCAACATATCCTTCATTTGGCTGTCCTGTAATTTCATGTTAATCTCTTTCTATTCATCTTCAATACTATTTTAAACTGACTTCTTTTTTATTTCATGTTTAGCATAAATGATATAATATAGTTAAATTTTATTTTTAAATAATTTTTTAATAAATTCTATAACATTTTTTAAATATAATTATATCAAAAAATGTCTAAGTAGTACGTCATTTTAAATTTTAAATAAATGTTGAAAGAATTGTTTTTTTTTTTTTTTTCTAATTCTGTGCCCTACAGGCTTATGGATACGTGCTTTCGTATATTTGGGTCAACGACAGCAGTGTTCGCGAAGCACTTCATATACGTGAGGTACGAGAACAAAGTAGTGGTTTAGTTTAAAATTAAAAATTAAGTATCAAAACCTTAAAAAAAAATTAAAAGCAGAGCTAAAATTAGGTGAAGAAGAGTAATGCAAAACTTTGTGCAGGGAAGTATAGAGCAATGGGTGCGATGCAATACTGAATTATCTTATACTTCTGATATTCCAATTAGTCTGGTGTATCATGTATCCCTTGGCAAGAAAGGTTACCGCTCCTTAATCTATAGGTTAGATTTATTTTTAAAACCTTAATTACAGCATTTTTTTTTCTCCTTTTTCCTTTTTGTGGGAGAATGGAATCATATATATGGATTTGAAACAGTGGCGACCAAGACATGGTAGTTCCATTCTTGGGAACTCAAGCATGGATAAGATCACTGAACTATTCAATTGTTGATGATTGGCGGCCATGGCTTGTTCGTGGCCAAATTGCAGGGTAAGCCCTGAACATGAATCTTGTTTTTTTCTGATTTTTCTTGTCCAATATTGCTCATTATAATTGAGTTAATCACGTAAATGTGAACTTGTTCTTGTTCACTAATAGGTATACGAGGACTTACTCTAATCAGATGACATTTGCAACGGTTAAGGTAAACAATCTCTTTACTGTTAATTTAGAGATTTGTTTTCTTTTTTCATGATTATTCTGTTATTTTGTAGGGAGGAGGTCACACAGCTCCAACATACAAACCTGAAGTATGCTTTGCAATGTTTAAAAGGTGGAAGAGTCATGAACCTTTGTAACTATCTTCACTCCAAAGCCCAAGGAAAATACTCATCGCCTGGAATGGATCCTTATTTTACTTAAGTATCTAAATAATTGTGTCATTTAGAGGCAACAAGTGAATGGCTCTTTTTCAAATAATATCCAATGTAAACATTTCTGCTCTTAAAATGATGTGAAAAATGCAAGTGATGATGTGCCTCATATTATCTTTCAAGGGAATCGACAACAGAATCTACAGAGAAAAAGAAAAAAGATCAAATCGATTGACAAAATCAATAAATATTTAACAAAAATTATACAACCAACCTTTTTGAATTTTATAAAACAGAAAAATGACTAATGATGTTTACTTTCCAATTTGACGTAAAACAAACAAATGGCGTGTAAAAGCTCCTGCTAAACCAGGCATCTTCAGCTCCTTCGCGTAGCACGACAGTGCACCTGTGATGAGGTTGGCTGTTGAAAGTAATCAGAATATGGGCAGAGTACCTTCCCAATTAACTTTTATCTTTGCAGAAATAAACGCAAAGAGAGACCCCGCAGCCGAATGATTGGTATCAATTGACGTATCATTATTATAATTAAGGTGTCTTCAGTGTGACTCAGTTCAAAATTCAATCACAAAGGCTTGCTTCCTACTTGTCGCGCAATTCCCTCTTAGGAAGTAAATCATGCCTTCTGAATCTGAATCTAAACCTTACACCTGGGAACAAGAAAATTGGCATTAATTTGTTAGTAGATAAACCGTTGTACGTTGCAGAGTTAACCAGTTAGCAAATATTTATGTATATACAAAGGTTGGCATAAAGGTCAACTACGAACAGTTCTGAAGCAAAGTTCAGAATTTTAGATATTAACTCATATAATAAGAAAGAATGAACATTACCATTGGAATTTCTTGAGAAGAACTTCAGGATTTCATCAATAATTATAACCTACAACAAATACAGAATATAAGAAGCTGCTTAAAGGGAAACATATTACAAATTTATACAAGGCTGCATTGTTTGTGAAGTACATATGCCCAAATAAAAAGAAGGAAAAAAAAGCTATAATCAGGATATAGAGCACTAGCCAAACATTCAAAATGGGCAAAGCATGATCAGAGTCCTCCTTGCTAGATATCCAAAAATAACTAATCAAATAAGTCATACGTGATGCACAAGACCCCCATTCTTGCATAATCCCCGTTTCTCCCCCAACTCTTCTGTGTGTCTTGACCAATAAAAGAAAAAATCAGAAATAGCATGAACAAAATAAATGGCACATAAGTGATGCCAGTTTCGTGAGATGCAGAATTAAGGGTTTCCATGCAGCAGAATAAGGTAAACATCTTCCAATAAATTCACCATCTTGGAAAAATAAATGAAAAAATGAAATAACCGAATAATAGTATAAGGGTTGACAGAGAAATCTCCAAATCAGTTGAAAATAGTAAACTGAAAGGTGAAGCTTCATTTCATACAGGGAATGAAAGATATAGAACAGCAGTCCACTCAGCCCAAGACAACGGCGTTACCTGCAACACATTATATTTCATCATTCAGCAAATTACTCATGGCAGTGGGTGAAACTAATTAGCAACAAAAACCATTGGATGGAAGAAAATGAGAACAACTTACTGAGAAAAGAACAGATAATGGTCGTACATACAAAATCAGTATGTGAAAGATCATAGTCAGTATGATGGAAGCAACAAGCCATAAATTACTCCAGGGAGGGATAACACTGAGAAAAGGAAAGGAATCAGGTTAAAGTCAGAAAAAGTAGACTGAATTCATAGAAAGTAAGAACAAGATTTCCAATATCTGAGGCAGAATCAAAAGCTAATAATAAAATGTGAGAATTCTCATCAAAAAGAGTACTCACAGAAGTGATTGATTTTCACTGAGATTGTTCAAAGCATTAAACATCTCAACAACAACAAGCACAGTCATGGAGACTGTTGATGGATGCCTATCATCAAATATACTGCATGGGTAAGTTGTCTCCCTTGTTGAGCAAGAATCAAAATTCATCTGCGATAAATGAAGGATTAGAGATTCTGAATGTGGTTCTGTTGAAATGTATCACCCTAAAAGAAATGCGTAATTGTCCTAACCACTTCACATACACCAATTAAAAACCAAGAATCTCTATCATCAGATATGGAGCTGGTAATTTAGGAACTCAAACAATAACTTACAGGCGAGAGAAATGGCCTCTGATAATAATTATAAACACAAAACAAATTAAAACCAAGTTCCAGTTTACCATCAGGTCCACAACGATAAATTTGGAGGATGAATTGCTGATGCTAATCAGCCTAACTTCAACAAATAACACAAACCAAGTTCCTAGTACTCACACTCAAAAACAGTATATTCAGCCAACATCTAAAATGCATGCAGAGGTTACATCCTCATAATGAAAACTACGAAACCATTCCACCAAACTATAAAATTGCTCATTTCCTCCGGCTAGAATGCCTAAAGGAAGAATATTAGTTGCAAATAGATCCTCCCCAGTACAGGCTAGAGTCATGAATAGGACCTGGGTTATGCCAATGTAGAGAAATATATACTGCAAGTAGATGTCTGACTCCAAATGAAGACAGCTGGAGAGAGAGTAACTCGTAAAAAACTAAAACCAAGGCGAGCAATTCATAACATAAATTATGGAAATTACCTAGATGAAAAACTGAAAATTTACTTTAATTAGATATGGCTTGCAAAAAAACTTGGAAGTCAGATCATGATTGAAATCATAACCAGAAGACCAACTTTTTCAAAAAAAAAAAACCACTAACTACTACTTCAAATTAAATCTCACCAATTCACTATATGGTAGTTTGGGACCACTGTCAGAGTATATAAACCACCACACAAACCCCGCAACTGTGGCAACACCAACATAAGCTGCATCAAAGAAGAGACTTTATCGTATACCTCAGGGATTAGGACAATATCAAGCAGCAGAAATTGATTGCAGATTTCAAATCACAAACATAACAGTTTAGATGAATGATAATTTCTAGAACATATAATGTTAAATTATATCATTAACAGCCAGTTAATCAAAATATCCCAAGTATCCTAAAACAAACTGCATTTATTTGTTGATTGTTGAACCATCATCATTCATACCTCACTCTTTACATGCAAATATTGTGTATATCAGAAATTTTTCTGTGATGATAATACTCGATGGAAAAAAGTAGGTGGTCGTCATCTAGTGACCATCAATAGGATTTAAAACAAAATAAAATGCAAACAGATAATCTGAGATTGATCATAACATAGAAGGTTGATGCTTTTCTTAAAAAGAGAAAATGGGGAAGGAGAAAAGGAGCATATCACGCAGCTAATAAAGTTAACCTTTTGACTTGCTCAAACAAGACCAAGCAAATCACAGAGAATGTGATAACAGGAAAGAAAGGACAATCAAACATATTGGTAGGAAGTAGCCAGTCAAGATGACTATCATCCCATGCAGCTTAAAGATTACAGGATTAAAACTATAAAGTACAGGGATGTCGAATTACATCTTACAAATCATCTTCATCACATATCATATGCAACATGATATGACAATATGGAAGTAATCCATGAAATCATCTATCAAACAAATTTTTTTTTTTTTTTTTAAAAAAAAAAGGCAGAAAAGTTCAGCATAACAGCAATCAATGAGCAACACATTATTACCTCCAATTACCAAATAACGAAAAAACAACCACCCACTAACAACTGCTTCAGTCACCTGTTCATCAAATTGAAAAAGAAGTAACTGACAATAGAACACAATATCAAACTTTTCCGTTCATTTATAGTAAAAGAGTTTAAAATCCAAATTCAAATTAAAGAGCTAAGAAAATAGAATCTGTTACTCGGCAGGTAAAAATATCAGAGGATGTGTAATCTCAGAGACGAAAATGCAATCAGAGGCTATTCTAACTCCTAAAAAATATTTAAGGTAAATAAATTTCATTACAGCAGGCCAATAGAGAAAAACTCGAGACTTAGATCCAGCAAAAAAGAGCCCTACACAATCCAGAACTGCAATAGAAGACAATTTACAGACTTTGCATCCATTACTAGTTGTAATAACCATGTCCTTTAAGAACATCAATAGCCAGAATCTTCCAAAAAGTTGAGGAAGTTGTTTTGAGGGATGAGCAAGGGGGAACAGGAGGAACCTTCTTTATCAGGACCTAAAAGAGCAGTATACTCTTTCCTGCTGAATAATAGGGCTCAAGTTGCACCAGATACCAGCGCTGCAGTTTCTAGAGGTCAATGTTTGCATTCTTTGGCATTCAAGTATATTAGAGCATAAGTGTTGAGAGGGGACCTTTTTGTTTTAAAATTGACCCAAGAAAGGAAAGTGTAATAGAACAAGTACTGAACTGTGTCTCAACAGAATGAGTACTCAGGTGAGGTTTTCACCAAGAGAGAGAGAGAGAGAGAGAGAGAGAAATCTAGATATGTTTTAACAAGGCAACTTGATACCCCATCAAACCTACCAAAAATTGAACCTGCATATTTCATCATTCTTAACAATCTACCACTTCTAACCTTTTAGGATATGACTATCTTAGCGCTATCCTCCTATACAAAAGACTAATTGCTGAATGCATTTAATACGGTCCAAAATTATTAAAGCAGTACCTTGCGAGGTTTGGCCTTCATCACATCAGAGTCTTGTTTGTTAAAACCAATAGCAGTGGCAGGCAATCCATCGGTCACTAAATTGACCCAGAGCAATTGGACCTGCATGTAGCTAAAAAATGTGAGATCTTGCCTCTAATTCTTCACTGATGCTACAAGAATTGAATACAAGTAAATTGCAGAAGGATCACTGTTTGGAAAGGACTTCCAAGCCTTCTTGCCTCAATCCAAGTCATTTCCCCAACATAATCACCAGGAAGACAGCAATGAAGATATTATGCAATGCAATCAAATGATACATAGATCTTCTACAGAAATGTCATTTTGCACATTGACTACTTTCATATGCACTGACAACAATAAAGACAAGCAAATGTCTTTCCCGCATCCATATGCAGTTTTTTGTTCTTTTGACAATGCATATGCAGTTATTTTATGGGACTTTCCTTCATGTGTATGTAGTTAAGTAATGAAGGATCTAGTTCTTCAGATTAAACGGAACTCACAGGAGCCAGTGTATCTGGTATTCCAAGCACTGCTGCTACAAAAATACAAACAACTTCACCAATATTTGAAGAGATCATGTATCTGATAAATTGCTTTGTGTTATTATATATAGCCCTTCCCTCTGCAACAGCCTGCATAGAATACAACTTTTGAAGAGGTTAAGCTTACATAGAAAGGGGATCCAGTGCTTACTGCTCTAAAGCTAACAACTTGCCCATCACCTTTAACTTTTTCTATAATCCAGAATTTACTTAATTAACCATTTGATAAATGTAATCACATGTGCCCATGCAGATCAACGCCCAAGTTAATATGACATAATAAGTATTCCATCAAGTTGGCTCATCAAATTGAACTTCATCATTCAGAGATTATAAAAGAAAATGGTGCCAATGTATATAGAAAGAGTGCATATTTCATACTGATAAGGAAAAATTGACATTCTAGATCTCAGTTCGTAGGATTTCAATCAAATGGCTGGTTGGCCAAATTGTTTACTGAAAAAGAAACATGAGTTTAACTCTTAACGTTCTTACACCAGGTGTAAGCCAATCTCTCCTTGTACAAGTGAGAATAAATATCATGACTCTTCCAAGAAACAATAAGAAATAAAAAATAGAACATACATATATCTAGATGAAGTGGAACTAATGTAGTGGAGAGACAACTGTACCTCAACAATTGAAGCAAAATTATCATCAGCTAAGACCATATCTGAAGCACTCTGAAATTGTAAGGATTCAATCTTCAGAACATAAAAAAGGAGTATACATCATTAATTATATTTCAGAGCACTGTGCAATAAAATGAAACAAATAACCAGCAAGTAAAATTGACAGTAAGCTGGGAGAGGATAATATGCCTTCTTCAGCATTGTTCACGGAGATGATAAGACTTTGCTAGGCAAATATAGGTACCAGTTACAAACACGAAGTTGCTATATAGTACAGCACTTTTTTCGGCATTAGGGCCGTATTGTATTAGAACTGGAAAAAAAATTAGAAGCATGCAAATTGGAATGAAGCACAGTGACACAGAAACAAGCAACAACTACAGTCAACTATGCTCTAATAGTCAGTTAGCACCACACAGTTAAAGACAAACTACCTATCTAAATATACTATCCTGCACAAGGAAAACCTGAGGCATGCTGCTCTTGAGAAGGGAGCTACTGATAAATACCTTTGCAACTGCTGTTCCAGACCCCATGGCAACTCCTATATCTGCTTTCTTTAAAGCCGGTGCATCGTTAACACCATCACCAGTCATTGCCACCTAATGATTTCATATAATAAGTGTACTGCCCAATATGCTGATAGATAACAATACAGTTCATACAAAACAACAGAAACAAAGTAACAAGAGGACAAAGATAAGACTCTCTATTGATAAAAAAAAAATATGCAATCATGTGTAGATGAATAAAGAGAAATATTTATGCATGTACATGCATAAAGTCTAAAATATACATTCAAATTCAACAACTATCTATGCTTGAATAAAGTGTGGACCAAGATAAAAAGTTCGTCAGACAAAACAAAAAAAAGGTACTTCATAAAATTTCTTGAAAACCGTTAATGGTACAATTTGAATACATCATATTATCTTTTGCACATCCTTTTTCATGTAGACTTCACTCGTTAGGTTAACCAATCAAATTACTTGAAAAGAATTTTGTTAATTTGTTGGATCCTAAAATATTAATTATTGTTTTTACTTCAAATCCAAACTTACTATCTTCCACTTCGAAGTACATAAGAGAGGAAAAGGGACTATTACTAATCATAATGTATGTTCAAAATAATTAATTGACATGCATAGAGTCCGCGCGTGTGTGTGTTTTTTTGCTTAGCATTCATGAAAGTGAACATTCTGATGACAAAATCGCAAGGAATACCACTTCATTTTGATGCTGTAAGGCCTCCACTAGCATCCTTTTATGAGCTGGCTCAACCCTAATTAAGTAGCAAAAAATATAGACGTAAATAAATGAATTTTTCTGAACTAAAGCAAAATAACAACTAGAATTTGGGTAAGGAACATGGTAAAATACATTAATACTCATGCAGTGATGAAACTGGAGAAACTAAAGAGAATATATGGCATACATCCTACCTGGTAAACAGTGCCATACGTTGCAAAGCCATGGTTTGTTGCAATGCAGGAAGTTCTTCAAACTCAGAGGCCGTATATGAGCGCCCCTCAAAATCTTCCAAGTGATCAAAAGCACCAATCTTACGACAAAGTGATTCAGCTGTTGACTGAAGCAGTATCTCATATTAGAAGACAACTATAAGATGGTTAAGACATAACTCACACCAAATAGAGTTACCTTGTTATCCCCAGTAACAACTATGACACGTATACCAGCGGTCATGCATGATAGCATAGCATTTCTCACTTCCTCTCTTGGTGGATCAAGCATTCCAACCTTGGTTTAAAGTAAAGCAGCAAAATAAAAATCAGGGAAAGAATAAAAATTGTTGACCTCATAGCAGTTGCCAAAAGATATAGTGGGAATTTTGCACAAACCGCAAATTCAAAAAATAAAACAATTAGAAATAATCAAGCCCACATGAGTCAATCCAGAATTGAATAGGAAAATCCAAGTCTGCAATGAAAAGCTTCAGGAAAATGCTTTCTGATCCAAATACAGATGGTAAGGTACAGAAATGCATGCATACACATAGGTGCAGTGACATATTGGCATACACATATATAAATGTCCACATACAAGGCAGTTCAAAAGAAAACAAACTGCAACTAGGATGGACTTTGAGATCAATATATGCATAGTATTTGATATAGCCACTGCTGGATTAAAGCATCCATTTTGAAAAGAAAGCATACCAACCCAATAAATGTAAGGTCATTCTCATCATCAATGGAGAGACTTTGTTGGCCCATGGGCATCTGTTTCATAGCTAAAGCCAGACATCTTAATGTTTCTTTTCCTGCAAAACTGACAGTAAAAATGGATGTTAATACAATGAAAGGTATGGTATTTAATACCTAGGACAGCCAGAAATTTGTGGAATGGATAGAACATTAAATAAGATGATGTAGGCATTAAGCTTAGAAATGTTTGCATTAAACAATCTATTTCCAATTTTTTGTGTGTGAGTTGCTCCCTGGTGCCTTTTAGTGATATTTCAATCATCAAAAATAATAAGTATCCTGTGGATTTAATTGCATACTCATAGGAGAACTCAATGTTTGTTGCAATCTATGTTGTAGATGTAATTGACCAACATGCTGCAATAGAAATGAGATGGGTAAAGAATCTGCATTGCTAGGACGAGGTTCCAACTTAATTCAACAAAACATCCCCCACACCCACCCCCCAAAATAAGAAAGAAAGACTTAATATAATGTACAAGAGATTAAATTAGTAATAAACAAGAACGTAATGTCTCCTCGTTTATGTTTTGATGTCAGCTATTAAGGAATTTTTCCTTTTTTTTTTTTCTTTAAAAAGGCTACTTGTTCATGGGTTCTAAATGACATCAAAATGTAGCTTTCAAGGAACACCTGTTGTTGCATTATTGAATAAAAGAAACAAGTTCAGACTCTAAATTATGAAAAAATTGTGCCTTATGAGAGTTGTAAATGACAAAAAAGTCTTTCTAGTACTTCTGTGTAACAAAAATAACGAAAACAGTGCAAAACTGCAAAATAGCCGTTCTGCAACTGTTATTTGATGTTTCCAGGTGATTGCAAATCATCCATAGGGAAACAGTATATAATGTAATGAGCACCAAGAGACCATCACAAGATGGGTGATACTTGACATATTATCTGTTACTAAAACGCCACATATCATCTGATATTAAACCGCTGCTTGGCAGCTCTTAAGGTACCCCTGGCTCCCTCAGCTAACAACTAACAATTGCCTATTTTGTCCAATTCAAAAATTAACACATAATGAAAAGAAAAAAGGATGCACATCACAAATTGAGTCTTCTGAAGTGAAGCAGATCTCTTCTGTAACAATAATTCACCACACCCCAAAAGAATATCTTCATAAAGAAAGAAAAAGTAGAAAGAATAATTTCTACTACTTTATCATGAAGAGGCATTAAATTCTCAGTTCAATTCTAACCTGTGGAACCTCGATTCTATTTGTTCTCGAATAGCAGCAGACAGTGGAATAGTAGAACCATCATAATTGCAAAGAATATTAGAGCATCTAGAGAGAATACTTTCTGGAGCACCTTTTGAAAACATAATCTCAGTCTGCTTTCGACTACATAAGACACTCATCATTTTCCGATCACGAGAGAATTCCAAAACAGAAACCTGTAAAGCATCAAAATTTTAGGTCTAAATAAAATTTTCAAGGTATATATATCTTATCAGATTGCTTCCCTATTTACACAATTTCTTAAAACAAACCATAAAAATTTTCTGCAATCAGTGGTTGTATAGCACTTAAGAAAAATATTGAAGAAACAAAATACAAAAATATAAATCAAGAGAAACAATTGACTACGAAACAATTTTTGTTTACAAAAGCAAAAGGAGTAGAAGAAAAGGACAGAGGAAAAAAATGTGAAATGTTAGGCTCACACAGCAGGTTCACAATAGATCACCAATAGATGACCAGGTTGAAAACATGTAGAAAATCTTAGAATTGAAAATTATACTACCTAATGGTGGCAATGCAAAAGCCATGGTTCTCACACCACAAATCTTACTCCCTTTTCCACTTTAATAGCAACATTTCATCTTTTTACAAGAATTAAGAAAATAATTGGAACATATTGATTTTCTAAAAATACAAAGTAGAATGCCTAAATTCCCCTTGTTAAAATTAAAAACTCCTCATTTAAATTTACTACAAAACCAATGCTAATTTTATCTCATATTAAAGCACCACCATTAGAGTAGTTCTTTCATTTCATTTTTTCATGCCTTAAAGAAAACTTCTAGTTATGTGTGCAATCAAAATTTTAATTTTAACTACAATTAAAGTAATGATAAAAAAGAAATAAATGTAAATATAAAAATAAATTAAACCTAATAAATATGGGAAAAATTGGAAAAAAAAATTATTAATATACTCTCAAAATCTTAAATGAGCACTTAAAGTGGAACAAAGCAAAATGCCCATATGTTGCTATTAAAGTGGAACGGAGTGAGTATAATACAACTAAAGACCAAATATGCATGTGGAGGCTACAACTTTATCTAGAAAGATGCAACATAAAATTGCTATATGACCTTCCCTACTACTAAAATCACAAAAATGGCCAAGGAACAATATTGGTTATGGATATGTGTCTCTCTCTCACCAATATGAGCTGGGTCACAACTAGGACTTCCTCTCCAAAAAAGGCTTAGGTCACAATTAGGACAAAGACTAACCTATGAGGAGAAATATATACCACATCGCTCAGCCATAAGTACAACTAAAAATAAGAAGAGAATCTATATACAATCAAATTTCTTAAAGCAAACCTTTTTGAATTGGTTTTCCCAATAGTGGTTGCAGTAAGAGGCACGCTCATGCTTACTCAGCATATGCAGTGCAGAAGGCATAGAGTCAAAACCAGGGAGGCCGACCTGGAAAGAAGGATAGCAGATTTACACAATAGATTGTACAATTTCACCAAAAGAATTATCGATAAACTAAAGAGAGAGTATGGAGAGGATAAAGAATATGGTCTTTTGAAGCCCAAGTCACACAAACCAACCTTCTCTGCCAGAACACGTAATGCCACTTCAGTTGACTCCCCAATCTTTTCATAGCTTCCTTTATCTGGATTATACTGTAAGATAGACTCATTGCAAAGGGATGAACACATTGCCATGTGAAGAAGACAAGGCAACTGAGCCGGAATGTCAAGCTGCATAAAAAGAATAATTATCATGGGTATGATGTTAGCAGGAGTCCTGAAGGAACAGTAGCCTATAACTTCTCATCATTCAAAAAATATATAGCAAAACAAATAAGCTTTCAAAAAGTAATTTTTATTTATATATGGTACAAGACGACCACTACATTTTAGTTTCCAAAGTGGTAATAAGGTGGACTGAGGCTGCGATTTTTTTCCTTTTTCTTTTTTTGAAGTAAGGCTGCATACCGATCAAGTTGATAAATGGTAGCACTAATAATTGTTGCTAGTAGTAATACCATATGTGGTGATTGTAACATGAAATCAAAGAAAAGGAAGAACGGAGGAAGAGCATCAATTTACTGAACTTCAAGCATCTAAATGCAAATTCTTTCCTTAGTCTGGAACATCCATCCATTAAATCCAAATTCAATCATATTTTTGCTGAAAAATGAATTCTAGAAGATCTTATTGACATATACTAGATACTAGTCTCTTCCACATGTTATGATGAAATTCTCTGATAGGGAAACTATACAAACAAAACTATACTTTTCTCAAAGTTATAGTCTCTTGTCATCACCAATGGACGTTTTCTGTAATAAAAAGAAGCTGTGTATTTTGTCATAGTCCAATTTTTAAAGGAAGATTAGAGACTTTAAATGAGCTAAAGGTCAAATGATTGAGCCATTCATAAGCCCCACAAACTAAACTAGACAATTCACCCACAAGCCTAAATAAGTTATTGAGTTAATCTCCATAATGTAACAAATCAAATACCTGTATCCCACTGCTGTCAGAAATCATGCCTTCTGGGGCATAGGTTGTCCCACTGACATTGTATTCAGCTATCAAGGGATGATGGTGAACAGAGTGAAGGACACATATCTGGGAAGACAGTAGCAGGAAAATTATATCAAATGAGAACAAAAAATAACAAACAATGTCGAGACGAGCAACAAATACTGTGTTACTGATTGTATCTAATGCATATCCACCAGAAATGTAGCTGTCAGGTAAGATGTGCAACAGGAAGTAGCACTACAACATTGTCCTCTTTCATTATCAGATACAATAAAATTCTCTTTATCCTTCGTTTTCAATTTTACATATTAAAAAGGATGAACGAAACTCTACAAGAAGAATAACAACCAAAAGAGAATATCATGCATGCACCATATGACTGGCAAAGAAGTTTGAAATTTGTTGTCAAAATAGTGCAAATAAAAGAAGTTAAAGGCTAAATACACACCTCTGACTTGCTTAATAATCAACATCAATCCAATAAACGATTGTGTCAATTAACTAAATAAATTGATATGGTCATTGCAAATGGTGAAAAAATAAACAATGAAGGTATATGACCAAAACTCACAATTTATCATAACATATCAACAGATTCTGAGGTGAGATCACCTTTGAGACAGACATCATATTAGTTGTCAATGTTCCAGTCTTGTCACTGCAAATCACTGTTGTGCAGCCTAAAGTCTCTACTGATGGCAAAGAACGCACAATGGCATTCAACCGAGCCATGCGCTTTGTCCCAAGAGCCAAACACCTAGATTAAGAAAGTTACAAGAAGCAGAAATGTGTGAACAAAGATTGCAAGTTGACAAGGAGGATGAGGAGAGAAACCTAGTGAAAGTGGCCACAAATTTAATAGAAATATAAAAAGGGAATTTATTTTCATACTTCAATATCTGGTGGGCATTTTCAAATTCATGTGAGCACATTAAGCTACTCAATAAATCATCAAAGTAACATGTAAACTGGAAAGCCCACTTCTTTATTATTGACCCATATGCCACATATTTGAAGTTCCAACTCAATTGCTCAACTTATTCAGGTCCTAAAGAAGCTGTATGGTGAACCTCATAAATATTAGGTACAATGCCCATGTCAATGTGCTCGACAAAAAAACTATATAACATCTAGAATTTGAAGAAAAAATTAGAGCACTCACGTTGTAACAACTGCTGGAAGCCCTTCAGGAATTGCTGCAACTGCAAGAGCAACTGCAATCTAGGTAGGCATGACAAAGTAATCCAAAATTATAATGATGATAAGAATAAAACAAAAACAACAATGAGAGGAAGAACAAACATGCACAAGTAAATATAGAAGTTTTGAGTGGGGAGAGGGTGGCTGAGGAAAGATGAGACTTATAACTGGCTCAATGGTATGATAATTGAATGCAATAATGGAGATATCAGAACATGGAACAACGACAACTTAGCATTTTTCAGCCACGGTTCTAACAACTATATAATCTTAAAAAAAAAAAAAAAAAAAAAAAAAAAAAAAAATAAAAAAAAAAAAAAAAAAAAACAAAAAAAAAAAAAAGACATTTGAATCCTATACCTTTAATGCCACAAAGTGGCACAAGTCCAAAAGTTTTAAAAAAAGTGATCATGCAGTTTTGAACTTATCATTAAGCTAACAAACAAAGTACCACTGCCATCCTAATAAAAAAAAAAAAAAAAAAAAAAAAAAAAAAAGACATGAATCCTATACTTTAATGCACAAGTGGCAAAGTCCAACAGTTTAAAAAAAGTGATCATGCAGTTTTGTACTTATATTAAGCTAACAAAAAAGTACCACTGCATCCTAATGGGTATCATCATGTCTTTGATAATTGCATAACCATTGCAGATGAATAACATACACAAGAGCCAAGGTAGATAAGCTGTCTATCAGATAACAAGGACTTTTCTAGGGAAAATGGAACCTATCAAAGTGAAAATGAATTTGAAAGCCACTATCAACTTGTATTCTGAAACAAAGGAGTAGAAAGGACCTCATCTGTAATAATACCTTGAAATAGTGGATAGCGCCCTGCAAGAACCCACCGTGGGAAGGGTCACGGAAATGACCGATGTTTACAATCCAGACTAACACACAAATTCCTGCTATAACCTGAATTTACACCAAACACAAAAAGTCACAATTCCATATTAGGTAATAATTAAGAGATGCAACGAGATTAGTGAAGGATGAAAAAGCTCCTGATATGTTCAACAGTGCAGGGTTAATGACAATCGAATAATACAAAACAGCATATTAACCAAAATTTGTGATTTGGCATGAAAACATCAGAAAACCTATCTACACAGCAAGCAGTAATTAATAAACTTTGTCCAAATTCAAAATAAAAAAAGCAAACTTTTGCATAATTATTTATAATCTCAAACTATTACAAGCTTACGAGCCAATCATTCTGTTAGAAGATCAATTTATCCAAACTTATGGCACCGGTGTGGAATAAGTTTAATGCATATTTTATCCAGTCCTAGAACTCAATTTCACAGACCACTTAAAGTCCATCAAATGCACACCAACAATCTATAGTAATGATTTGCTTAATGGACGTTAGTATCTATAATGATTCATGGAAGTCCGGCAAATTCACGAACTTCACAAACTCAGCATGTGTAATGTACAAAGGCTTATCACAGCACATGCAACACTCATAAAGCAGGAGTATAGATGATTTGCAATAACCTTTGCCAAAAAAGTACCAAATTCATCCAGTTTCTTCTTCAATGGGGTTGCTTCCTGCAAAAACAAGTATAAATAAACATTTAATTTAGCATGCACAAACGCTGCTCATACAGGAAACTAATTCAGGTAAGATCTATCTTTTGAATGCAAGAATTAAAACTGCAGATGCTAATAGTTAGAAAGAGAAATAGCTGCAGATCGTTTATGCAAACATTTATGACCAATATTAGAAGACAATTTATAGAGTCAAGAAACTAATTCAGGAGTAAACACCTCTGCCTTAAATAGCACCTAGGGCTCAACAGCCCAATAGTAATACCCAAAACTATCTTGTAAAGTGATAATTCATCGACATTGTCCAATAAATGGCCCCATTGAATAATATTGGAAACAAATTGCAAGAATTTCGAAGGAAGTTTTATGGCTCCATTGAATAATATTGGAACAAATTGTAAGAATTTCGAAGCAAGTTTCGCAGGGAATGATTATATAAGAAGGAGGATGAATAAAGATAAAGCTAAATGATATAATTTACAGATTACACATACACAAAAAGGAAAAATGCTCATATGTAGTGACCAAACTTAAAAATTTACAATCCTTACATCGTCAGTTTGCAGCATCGAATCACGTATGCTGCCCATGGCAGTATTGGCACCAACTCCAACAACAACAGCTCTTGCTCGACCAGCAACCACTATGGTACCCTGGAAGCCCAAATACAAGGAAAACTCATTTGTCCCAACATGCCATGAAATAGCATAGTCCCTAAATTTTGACTTATCTGTAAGAGACTAATTTACTAAAACATCAAAGACTATATATATTTACAGTACATTTCCTTTCCATTAAAGATGAGTGCATTCAAATGATCCCACCACTCAACTAGATAGACTCTGAACTTTCAATTCTTTGTCTCTCTACTTAGTAAAAGAAAAATAGAAGCTAGCAGTCCAATTTCTTTTATAACTACGTATCTTACATCTAGCTAGACTTCATTGAACTACCTTAACTCATCTCATCCCTCGTATATGTTGTATGATACAACAGGCTAGATGACATCCAAAAACAAGTCTTGGAAAGCAAATGATTAGATTCATTATGTTTGATGCTCTTCAGAACTGCACCAAAATATAAAATAATTACCGAAAAAAGAATATTTGTCTTGTCCTGGTATACAGCATTTATTGTTGTGGTTGACTGTAGTTCTTTGTCCACGGAACAGCTCTCACCTATCATCGTCATCAGACAGAATCATTTAGTCAGATCAAGTTATGCATATGCTTCATCAAAGAGAACCGAAAACACCTACATCCACAGAATATTAGCGACAACACCAACTGCATATGTAAATAATCACAGATAAACATAGAGGAAGCAGCAATTGCTATATGTCTCTATCAGACGAGTTCCCATGAGTTAAAAGTATATAGGATCATGAGATGAGAGTGTAGGTTATATGAACCACTTAGTGGCAAGTGATTGTAGAGACTGTTGACAGACATATACGGGTTGCAATGGGAGTTTTTGGTCCAATCTTTATAAGTGCGGCCATGGGAGTGTTTGGCCAAATCTCGTGAGGTGTACACACAGTCCAGACATGAATGGCTAAGGGAGTCTAGGAAATCTGAATGATAGTGAATACTATAGTGGATGGCTCGATCAACTGCAAAGTGACCAGAAGGGTGTAAGGTCCACATAAAAATGTCACTGTATGAGCATAAAGCACACAACCAGACTAAGCCATTACATGAGCAGGAGATGTATAGGCCTAGAGTGGTGAAAGTGTCAGATGTGAGGACTAGTAAGAAGAATAGCCTTCGGAAGAGTATAAGATATGACTCAGTCCAGACATGAGTGGACAGATAGACCCCATAAGAGTATCAAAGATAAGTAGCAGATCTACCAGTAAGGATTGCTTGATCGACACGTAACTGATCGCTCAGCTTTTCAATCATTCTCATGTCAGCCGGAACCTTGCTTCCCACTATTTTAGAACACAAAATCTTAAGTCAACTCCTCTGAGGCAATGATGCTTTATGGTAGTAGTTAACCTACTCTGAACATTCAGGATACATGATTGGCTTACCATTAACTTCCACAATATCACCTGGAACAAGCTCTGTTGCTGGAAGTATGGAAAAGCAACCTGTAATAAAAGTTTCACATGATATAAGAGCAACAAAATAATTAACGCTTATATCAATTTATTATATTATCTGTGAATTACTAACTAAATGCATTGCACAATATTTTGGATTTTTCAATAACAAATGACAATTACATAAATCAAGCATAAACTCAGATAATTGTTGAATATAGAAGTCTAGCTAGTTTCTTATTTCTCTCTCCCTCTGCTTTCCAGTACGACTATCTACTTTAGGCCAATGGATAATGCAAGAACAAGGATATACTGTGATTGGCATGTCCTAAAAAAAAATTGCATTCAGTCATTTAAGTAAAATACACTGGAAAACAAAATTCCATGAGTGCTCTGCAATTTGGGTGAAGAGGGCAGCCAACAAAGTCAAAAGCAAAAGAAGCCAAAAACTTAACAGCTAAGCCTGAAAGAAACTTCCCTAGAAACAAACAAGAGGAAGATGTTTCTTTCATCTTCAAGACAAAATAAATCAGAAAAATAAGGGAATAGATCATCACAAAGCATGTAAATAAAGATACAGGAACATAATGGACACAAATTGATACGACCACAGTTATTCTCTCTTTTCTACAAGAAAACTCGAATCTACATCCAAGAAAAATCACATCCCACCCTAAAACAGCTGATAGAATATGTCATTATCCAAAGTTTATAATCCAGTCTACGAATAGAAAAACAGCACTAAAGCTGAAAAGCTTAATTCAATGCATTAAGGGAAAAAAATATAGTAACACAATCAGCTTTCACAAGTTCTCAATCATCTGAATTTATATTTTGGCTTTACCATTTCGAAGCACAGTTGCAATATCAGCTTGGTAGGCACGTAGCTCCTACAAGCAAGAGGGGCAAAAACAATTATTAAAACAAAAAATGCTGTGTAGGCTAAGAACAGAACAGTCCAGAACATAACTGAACAACCACAAAATAAGAAATGATTCCATATGAGCATTTCTTTATCTTCTACCACCCAAAAAAAAGCAAAGGATAAAGGTAACGTGTATACTTCCTCAGAGTTAAAAAAATTTTAAAGTCACAACTTACTTCAAGAGCCTTTTCAGCATTTGTTTCTGTTATTACACCGACTGCTGCATTGGCAGCTAAAATCAATAGGATAACCTGTAAAAGTCAATGTAATCAATGTAAAAAAGATCTTAGGATCATTAAGCATATGCCAAGCATGTGAACTTAGACGTCAAAGCAACAAAGATGCTCCTATGTGGGAATTATCATGCCGTGCATATAGAGAAATATGACAAGTAGATACCATTGGAGATAACAATATGCATATCCTAGATCACACCAACTTGTGTTTTTGCATTGCTAACACATTAAGTATATCCATAAGATTTTAGAGAACTTCAAGCTCGAAAAACCAATTTTTATATTGGAGAAGTCCTTCATTTAATGGGCTAATGGCCCTAGGCCATTCAAGATACATTTGGACAAATTGTTCACCATTTTGTTTTCGGAAGATAATGATTAAGCAACCATAAAACAGCCAAATGCATCAAAAACCATGATATGCAACACACATAGATTACAACAGAATGACTCCAATAAATGAATAATAAATCTGCCTTATATCATGCCTGGACCAAGAAATTGCCACTACCTTTACTCATATGCATATTAAAGTTTTCAGGCTTAATACAAAATACGAGGAAATGGATATATGTTGAGGCCAAACTCGTAATGGATGTATGTTGTCTTACTTTTGGTTAACCTAAAACCCTTATTCCCAAGAATGCTTCTCCATAATTCCAATTTTTGGTTTATTCCCTCACTAGTTTCATAAATTTTATCTTTTCAAACAGCTGATATCCTCATTCCATAAATTAAACCTAAAAAAGTTGGTCATACTAACATAACAACAGTTCAAAAAAGAAAAATACATAATTTTAGTTGTGCTCCTACCTACTTGGTGAAAGGATTCTCGACATGGGACAACAAAAAGTTCAATACCATCCATCTTGCTCCAAGACAAGTGATAAGTCTACTTTTAAACTAGATTTTGCTCCTTGAATATGAAATAAATTCATTTAAAGCCAAACAAGGCATCCATGCATTTTAAGTGTCTGGTATAGATATACAACTTCAGCACCTAAAGGAGCAAATTTATTTGGAATTTAGCAAAATAGATTCATGCTAGTTCACAAAATGATAACAAGAACCAGACTAGCCAAGCAAAAATGATGTGAAATCTTACAAATGGCTCCAAAAATGCTGTTAATCCAGTCTCCCCATTAACCAAAGCCAAAATGAAAGAAATGACAGCAGCAGCAATTAATATCTTAACAAGCAAATCATCGAACTGTTTCAGAACCAATTTCCAGAAGGGCGTCCCTGCATTGAGTAATTGAAAATGCATAGGGCTTAAGAAATGATACTCAATTTCTTACAAAATGCCACCATTACAGACAGGTCAGAAATAAATAAAAATTAGAAGCAGCATTGTAAGCCTGCTATTAAATTCTTGAATTATCCTAAACTAGTAACAGTATGCCAAAGAATTCATGAAATTGGAAATTCCCAAGACAATTACAAAATTTTGTTGCCCCTGTCTGTCTCTAATTAGTGTCAAAAGATTAAATTATATGGGAAGTATGCAAAAGCTGCCCCTTAAATACTAAAACAGTAACCAGAGAAACGAAAAGGCCAAATGGGCAAAACATATCTAAATTTAAAAAAATAAACACATTGAAGAAGTCTATATAAATGAAGTTGCTCTAGTACAAAAATGTCAGGGATGACAAGCATATGCCATGTACTCACTTTTCTCTTCAGGCAGCACTGCGGACCATGAGTTAAGGAAGCAGCCGAATGATAAACAGACATGAGGGAAAAAAAAGGTTAGGATCTGTACTGGAAATTATCGATTAGCTGGAATAAAAGCAATTCACCATAAGATGAGGATAATCACAAAATGAACTCAATCTTCCAAACTTTTGCGTTAAATACTTACATAATTACACATGAAGATCCAAGGGAATTCATATTGGAAGCAGTAGAGTACATAAGAAAACTTAATCTGCCGTACTAAAGCTTCTTAGAATTTAAATGTAAGGTAAACAAGTAAAGAAATCACAGAAAGAAGCCACCACATTAGGAGATCAGTTATCTCCATTGCTGTGAGACTTGTTAATTCTCTTCCCAATTTATAAAAAAATAAAAATAAAAAAAAAAATAAAAAAGGCTCAAGCAGCAAACTTACCCGCAATTAAATTGGGAATCTAAGACCTCAGGTGCCCAGAAGGGCTGAACTGAAGTTCAGTATCGCGGGATCAATATAATGGACATGCAAAGCAGAAACATCACTCGACAACATCTATAGGGTAACTTAATACAATTCCAATACTTCATTAAATGACTTAAACAAAAGTACATGCAAAAAAAAAAAATGCAATATTATACCTACGGCTTGAACAAAGATCGTCTAATAATCTAAAGAGTCAAAGTTCAAGTAAATTACAGTAGAGTTTATGGAAAACAAATCACATACCGTTTTTACCATGAACGCTCGCATGTAGAGCTACCTGCAACCAACAACTCGTAACTTAAATTCGAGCACTCAACTCAGCTAAAGCCAGTTCGTACGCTCAACTTCTGACAAACAAAACTACAATATCCATTACCTGAGAATCACTAAGACCTTTTGTCGGGTCCACTCCAAAGAAATCCAAAACCTGGCCAATCAAGACAAAAACAGAAGGCAATAATCCCGTTTTGTAGCTTCTCAATCAACATTAGCACTTACATTCGAAATTGTTCGAATTCTTTATAGTAACTAAAGCGAGGGAAGGCAATTACCTCGGCGACGGATCTGGCGTAGGCGTCCTCCATTGCAGAAATGAAGAAATTCGAAGGATGTGTGTGTACGATATAGGATTGCTCTTTAACAGTAGCTGTTTTTCATTTTCGTCTCCATTAAACAAAAACCATCTCGGCACTGTAAGATCCAAATTGCGGGCGTTTTCCTATGCAGCAGGTACAGACTACAAAGTCGTTAAACTCAAGCAACGTGACCTTAATTGGGCCTTGGCCTGTCATTACGAGTTAGTTCAGAGGCGTAGAGAGCGTAACCTTTAATCTGATTTAAACTTCTTTATTGGGTTAAACCTCAGGGTTTGGGCCTTGTAACTTACTCCAATAGTTTGGTTTGAAGAATTTTATTATTCCCCCCGCGAATTTCATTATGTAAGCAAAGGAACGGTAGTTTCTTAGCCTAGAGGGAACAGTTTCCCCTCGTGTCGAACACAGTGTGTATATAAATATACCAAAAATTACAATTTTATCCTAAATTTTGCCATGAAATATAATATTTTCCCAATATTTTTAGAAATATATAGTTTTATCCATATCTTTTATTTTTGTCACACTTATATACTTTTGTCAATTTTTTATACTTTTTCCCTCAATCAATTACTATTTTGTCCATATATTTTGTCAAAATTAAGTACTTTATCACTATATTTTTTTCATTTTTTGTCCATATATTTTACCAAAATTGAATAATATGTCCATGTAATTAACGAAAATTGACAGGAGGATATAACAGTCTAACAAAGACAAATAAATACCAAACTATTTGCTTTTAAAAATGCAAGGACAATGTTTTGTACTTTGATAAATTACAAGGATAAAATAGTAATTTTCTCTATACAGTAAAATGAGTTATATAGACACATTGCCTTATCAATCCAATGTGATCATGCATCATCCTTGTATATTCATACCGGAACAAATTTGTGAAAGTAATAAAAAAATTAATTAAAGAAATCATTTCTATATGCAACTAGATTATGTCTCAATAGGGTTGTAAACAAGCCGAGTCGAGCTTTGGTGAGCCCGAGCTCGGCCCGATAAGGATATACCCGAGCTCGCACTTAGCTCGAGTTCATTTCAAGCTCGAAAATTTGAACTTAAAATTACCTTGTTTAAAAATAAACAAACTCAAATCCGACTCGATAACTATAAACGAGTCAAGTTTAAGCTTGAATTCAAAATCCATTAATTAAAACGACGTCGTTTTAATATAGATTTGAATTGATTTTGATTATGAGCTAGTTCATGAACTCAATTCAGCTCGATAAGACTAGCTCGAGAGTTCAGGGCAATAAAGATGGCTCGCGAGCTAATGACCCAAGTTCAAGTTCGGCTCAATAAGCATATTAAACGAGTTCGAGCGAGCTTTTATCGAACCGAGCCTTGAGCAGTTCATGAGCGGATTGTCTCATTTACAGTCCCATACCACATTTAGAAGTTCAAGAGTATAAAATTAAATGAAAAATTCCTAGCAGATAACAATTTTATGATCTTTAAATTCCTAGCACATCACCTTCAGTCACTTTCATTTGGTTTCTTTTTCAGACAGGAATATGAGGCAACAAGGCACGCTCGCTTTCTGCTACCAGTACTAATTCTATACCTTGATTCAGAAGTCTGCAAGCATTCATGGAAAACTGATTTCCTGTGCAATTAATTTTATAGAAAATATTATTAATAATACTATATAACTTATTTCTTTTTTTGAAGTAATTATAAAATGAGAAATAGCAAGCAATTTTGACTAGACTAGACTGCAGGTGGCTAGGGGTATCTTGTGCCTGGCTGCACACGCTTTGTAAATGGCATGCATGTGAGGTGGTGGGTGCTAAAATATATATATACTAGTTAACTTCCTTGTTTTAAGGCACTGTGTGCAGTTGGGAACATTTGAAGTCAAAACTTCAAATAATGACTTCCTTTTTATCCTTTTGGAATGATTTGGTCACATTGAGGCAACCATTAGCAGAAGAAAATTAGAAATAGTTAGGTGGACGTACACTTTAATATATTATTATTTTTTATACACATCCATCCTTAATGAAATGCCACATATTATTGGTTAGAATTTAAAAATTCGGCCGCTTTTGGATGTGTACGCAACAATTTGACCGCGGTCTAATGCAATAAAAATCCATTATTTAGATTTAGAAGATGATCATTGGTGAGTCGGATCAATTTGAATGAAATTTTTTATTAAACCAAATTAATTAAATTTAACTTATTGAATTAATTTTTTATTAATTGTGCCAAATCAAAAATCGATTTAATCAAATTGGCTAAATCATTTACAGTAGCTCAATTACATGCACCTAATATTTATTTTCTGACTTGATTAATTCGATTAGATTATGTTTTAACTGAACTATAATCGATCATCAAATAAATCCAAATTCATTTTTTGAATCGAAAATCAATTTTCAATTTGCCGAATCAGATTACTGAATTAATCAAATTAAGCGAATTAACTAACTCGGCCCAACCATTTGTACAACCTAAGTTATGTTGCTATCTGGAGAGAAGGAAGAAGTTCCAAGCATTTGGGTGTGGAAGTACTGCAGATAATTGGATATGCAAGAATACAATTGTAATGTATGTTGATAAGGTTATGATCTGGACAAATAAAGGTGAAAGCTTTTAATTTGATCGTGCGGCGAAGACAGCGACAAGTTTGTTTCAACTCATTAACAATTATTGGAGCTTTTTGAGAGACAATGATGAGAGTATCAATGGCCATGCAAGTTGTTTAGGCATTGTGTGTCAAGCAAAACATAATTGCAATTTGCATACATTAGTATTGTAGGCCCTCAATTTCTGGAAAAGATTCTTTTATCTTAGTTATTATTTCTTAATCTTATCATCAATAACCACAAAGATCTTGAAACTTGATTGGAAAAGCATATATAATGAGCAACTAACAATTAATCACTTCTATCTCTTTTTTTATTTGATATGATTTTATGTAAATCAAGTAAAAATTGAATTCTAAAGATAACATGTTTGTTTCTCACTTTGTTGTTATTAAGATTTCTTTTTTTTGGTAGAACGAGAAAGTATTATAATCTCTTTCGGATTGGGTTCTCACCCTTATGAGATCAATACCATTTATCAGTTCATTCAATACGTACATCGGTGATTTAAGAAATATATAAAGGTTGAGTATAAGATGTAGTTTTTAAATTTATAATAAGTTGTGTTCGACAATAATTATTTGAGTAACTTTTAACATTTTGATTAAACTATATTTTTCATAGTATTGGATGATATAGTTTGAACGAGGTTGTAGAGGTTAAGATAACGTTTTATAAAAGATTAACTCATATTAACTTTTAGCATTACATGAAAAGCTACTCGAACAACTAAAAATTATTAAAACAATTAACAATTATAAAAAAAAAAAAGTTAACTTTGCCAATAGATCCACATAGGAGATTTAATTTCCATAAACATGTAAATTATTCCAACGATTGTCAAGTCAAAAATACATGCATACTTATATAATGATATATTATCCAATAGGGTGGGCGGTATATACCATTAGAATAGCTGAAGTCCTAGGGTGTAAGTTATTTTATCAAGTAAAAGCTACAAGAAAAGAGAGGGATTGAATATTGATAGGACAGAGGTGGAGGTTGTCTTCATCCGAAAAATCCAAGTCCTTTTCCAAGATATGGGTGCTAATTTTGAGGATGGGAACCCTTTCAATAAAGATTTTGAAGGAAACCCAACAAAAGAAATCCAATAATTGCACCAATTAATATTATGTGTGTATGGATCACATTTTGAGAAGGTAGCTACCAAATGGTGGTGGGGTGGTGGTTCTGGTTGGTCCCTTTTGGTGGAAAGTGAAGCTTACCTTTTGGTCCTTCCATCTGAAAAATTGTCTGGCTCTACTCTACAAGAGGCATACATTACCAAATTTACCAACCCTGCCTTAGCTAGCTAGGCTGGCAATTGAAATAGTGAACGGTGGATCACTTATTACAGGCCTCCGATCCCATGGCCTTTCTTTAAATGTATTCAGACCCTTCTTCACTCTCTGTATGTGTGGTTGGCTGGGACCAATCTTTAATGGACTACAAATCTTTATGTACTAACTTAACTTTTCTTTTTTTTACTTGAATTACTGGGCAATGGATACCTTTTATTCCGTAAAAATTAGTTCAAATATTACGATATCGAACACCAATAAAAAAAATAGTCTTTAGCGTTGTAACCGATCAAAACTCTAAAAACTACTTAAAAAACTGTCGCCAAACATAACATTTTATCTCCGTGTATTGATATATCTCCACAAGGGAAAAAGATTTTTTTTTTTTTTTGTTTTTATTCAATATACGATGGTATTATTTATTTATTTATATTCATCTGAGATTACCTGATGATCGGATTTGCATTAGTAAAAATTTTAGGGAACTAGGGAAGAGACCTAGTTTCCTAATGCGAACGCTACTGGTGACAAAAGGAGCAAAAAGCAGAGTGTTAAAGGCAGGAATTAATTTAATTTTTTTTTTTATGTTTTCAGGTGTTTCCCACTGCATTGACAGGAAAATATAAAAAAAGGAGTAGAATTTAGAAAAAATAAAAACCAAAAGAAAGGAACAAAATCCCTTTGAGATCTAATGCTTTTTTTTTTTCTTTCTTTTTTCTTTTCTTCCCTTCCATTTCTCTCTCTCTCCAAAGCAACTGCAGTGGCAGAGACAAAAGACATTGGATAATTACGAAATGCTTGTCATTTCCATTTCCTTCCTTGCAAACCACCTGCCATTTTCCAGCATATTGAACAAAACAAAGAATTAGTGCTATGGCAATTCTTAAAGCTTTTGTGTTTATATTCTAGAATTTATTAAAGCAAAAAAAAAAAAAAAAAAGCATAAAAACAAACCTGTTTCTTGTGAAGATGATTTTTCTGCAAGAGAGGAATGAAACAATCCACCAAAGTGTTTCTTGAGCGATGATTTCCCCTGCTAAAACAAGAAAATTTGCAACATTAATGGCATTGGCATTTCTTGCTTATATACAAAAATCATTAATCCGATATATAACCAAAAAAAAAAAAAAAATTCCCTCCTGCTAAACAAGAAAATTATATTTGGCAACATTAATGGCATTGGCATGTCTTGCTTATAATCCAAGACATCTAGTTCCGATTGCGCGAGAATATAAAACCTATTATCTATCTAAGCGAAAAAAAAAAAAAAAGTACACCAAAAAATTGACAAGTACCGTTGGAAACTGTGGATAAAAAAAAAAAAAAAAGTACACAAAATTGACAAGTACCTTGAAATGTGTTGCAGAGAAACCTTGTGAAAATTCCAGGGCATGCTCTTTTGAACCTTCAATAACATTCTTGCTTACCTTCTATATACAGTTTCCAATAAATTAATATGCCTACCTACATATTAATACACAATGCAATTTGAAGAAAAAAAAATAATCAAACTCGCCTTGCCCAAAGCAGGAGAACTAGCAGTATCATCAAGAAATGAATGTTGTTGGCAGCTCCTAGCAATAGAAAATTCTTTGTTCTTCTTCTTTTTGCTTTTGTTCTTCTTATTGTTAGCCAATTGATCGAAGCAACACTCTTCATGATCATCATCTTCACAATAATGTGGCGGTCCAGAGGAAGCATCAGAAACCATTGACAAATCCTCTTCTTCTTCACCTTCTACTCTTGCATAATTCCCATCAACAAACCCACCAAAACCCTGATACTGATTAGAAGATTGATCTAAATACAATGTCCAACCAGACTCACACCCACTACTACTGCATTGAGGAGCTGACATATCCATTATTATCAGTTTCTTTAAAAAAATGTTGGTCAGTGAGAGTAGAGAAAGAAAATGAGAATAGAAAAATGAGTTGGGTTATATTTATTTTTTTTAGATGAGGGAGTATATAAATATAAGTAGAAGAGATAGAAAAAGAGATGGAAAGGAAATAAAAACAAACAACAGAATCACATTCAAATCCTAGACTAGTTTTGTCTTTTGCTCTATCCTTTCCCCTTCTTATTTTATCTGTATATGAATCAATCAAAGTTGCCAGTTGGCTTTGAGTGTGTATGAGAAAGAGAGAGAACAACGACAATAACAATAGGGGTAAACATTATTGATAAGGAGAAAACTGTCATCATTTTATGTATAATTATGGTAATAACCAGCTTACCATGTTAGTATCATCTATTGGGATTTTGTTATTTTGTGCTTTCAACTTGTAATATATATAATACATTTAATGCCTTCTATTTTTCCTTCGTTCTTTCTTATTTATTTATTTTGTCTTCTCCGAATTAAATATTGTCATTAGAAGCTAGACAACACTTGTTCATTTAAGCAATATAAGTTGCGGTACGCCAAATTAACCAAAAGAATAAAACAAATTAAATCTATTTGATAGTTACTAAATATAATTTCATAGACAAGGATATGTCTAGTCTCTATTCAAAGGGAAAAATTAATTCTATAGCTCGCTAGGGATAGAGCCGTTAAGCTTTAATTACCGAGTGGAAAACATGAGAAATAAATCTCTTTTAATTTTAATGATTGGTCGGACGGCAAGTTTTTAATTAAAAAAATAAGTCAACCAGATTCTTATTAAATTACAACTAAGTCCCTAGTGATAAATGCAGTCTATCAACTAAGTCCCTGGAAGAATTAAAATAACAAATGTTAACGGAGAAACAAATTTTGACTATCAAACTCCATTGCTAAAAAAATCATCTTAATTTAATATTCATGCATTAATGTTGCAAAATAAGCTCCAACAATCTTTTCTTCCTTTCTCTTTCCATCTCAAGCATGCACTTTGGTTCAAGAAAAATATTCAAAGACTTTGAATTTGCAAGCACCTGCAAAGGAAGAAAATTTCAGCTTTGAAATTCTTTATTCAATGTTTTGACAAGAATTATTGATTCCTAGTATTTAATGAGTACACACTACAAATTCTTTTTCCTATTTTTATCATTCTAACTGTCCCCACTATATCGTTTTAAATATGTTTGCTTTAATTACTCATATACCTATTACAAAAGTCTTTTTGACTCTTCTGCTGTTTATGTCTCTAATTTGAAGACTTGGGTCTTCATAAGCATCTAACTTGACTATATATATAAGTATTTTTCTTAATTCTTACCACACCTCATAAATTAAATTTTTTTATTATCTTACACTTAAAAACTCAGACAATATCATCAATTGGTCAATTATAAACTTGTTTGTGTTAAAATAGAAAAACATATGAATCATGCAATTTGAAATTTGTATGGTTAATATGTGCAATTTGCTTTGATGACAGAGTTTTCTATTTTAAGTTTTTAAGGTACAAAATCCTCCTTCCTTCATCCAAGATATATAGCTGTTTAAGGGCCCCTGCTTCCAATAATGTTGGTGTATCTTTTGTTATTAGTCCCACATTAAATAATGCTAATAACAAGATCATTCAATTAATACAAATCTTATATCACATCATCTACGTGGATAAGAAGTTTAGGCTTTTCTAATTATAGGGTGTATATTAATATTTCAAATGAAAAGAAAAAGTGCAAACTATATTTCGTGATTTTAATTATTATTATTTGACGCGATATTATTTTATTTATAATAAAATAAATATTATTATATAAGTAAAACATTTTGTCATGCTAGAGCTGTAGCTCTCCTTTTCTTAACAAAAAAAAAAAAAAAAAAAAAAAAAACTTCTCCTTTTCTTAACAAAAAAAAAAAAAAAAAAAAAAAAAAATTTGGCATACTAAACGCATGAATGAAAGTAAGATTTAGATTGATTACAGGAAAGAAATAAAAACTTTAAATTTACACAAAAAAAAAAAAAAAAAAAAAAAAAATTTGGCATACTAAACCATGATGAAAGTAAGATTTAGATTGATACAGGAATAGAAATAAAAACTTAAATTTACCACAATATTTTGGACGAGACAACATATAATGGTTTTAAAAAGAAAAAACCTATATTTGACATATACTGAACATAAATTTTTTTTTTTTTCTGAAACAGTTGCTCTTCTCATTCCTCTTGTGTTCATTGATGATACTTAAGAATATGAATGAATTAAATCACTTATAAATGGATAGAAGCTAAACTCGAAAATAATTCATACAATAAACTTAACAAGTTGATATTTAATTTGTATTTTTCAAATTTGAGTATTAGTTTTATCGAGTTGAGTTCGAGCTTAATAAAATTCCGCTCGAATCGACATATATGATTCTAGTAATATCAAATTAAAGATTTTAAAAAAAAAAATGAATAGCACGTTAAAGCTTGCACCGTAAAAATTAACTGGCTACGATGGAAAAATATCTTAACGATGTGCATGTGTAAATTGCAGAAAAGAAAAGAAAATAAAATAAAATAAAAAAGAAAAAGGAAAAAAAATAGAAGAGCCTTAAATTAGGGGAAAAGCCCATGGGTGGGTGGTGATACAATGATCAAGAAGTGTGACTAATAGAAAAGATCGATGATGGGGCCAAATTAGGATCTTCGTCTGAATCAAAATGGTCCCATTCACTAATTGTATTCACAAATGTGCACATGCCCTTTGTTAGCTTGTGGCCCTTTGCCAGTCCATGATCCGTAATTCCTGCTGTGAGGACTGCTTCTACCTTCTACTTGCTTGCTAATCCATTTCTGCTTCTCCTTTTTTTTTCTCTTTGTAGGTGAAAAGTATTTTTATTCCCGATGGACAGTTGGATCAACGGAAGTGAATTGCATTTCCGGCGAATTTTACTTGCAAAGAGTTTAAATGCTGGAATTCCAGATTTTAAGTAAATACATCCTAATCAAAGACTTAGAATTAAAATAAGAGAAAAACAACATAACAAGGATTGCAAAGTTAATGCTTTTAGACCTAATTAAAATATCACCAAAACAGGAACCGCAATTTCAACTGTAGAAACTGCAGCATGGGCCTTTTGTGGGTTGCAGCTTGAAATCTCTTTTGGTTTGAATGGTCCCAACAGTTGAAAGGTAAAAACAAAAATGGCCAGTTGCTACAGTATGATATTGAAACACTACCATCTCTCATATTCAAACTAAAGACTTTCTTCTCTTCCTTTTCCTTTCCTTCCAAGATCAAAGTCTCCAATTTCGCTTTAATGTTCAAAACCCAACAAAACCAAGTCCCTATCAGCAAAAACCCAAGTCAAATCTTCTTTTTCCTTTTCCTTTCACGGAATTTTTTCTTTTTTAGATTTTTCAAAATTACATGTGCACCATTTTTTTTGATATGGAATTATTTAAAACTGACTCGACCATGAAATGATAATAACAACTGAACTTTAATCCAAACCGATTGAATATAAAATTTTGGCATGACTATGAAATTATTTGAAAATAATTTTATTTTGGAGTATGAGACTATATATATAAAACTAATTTCGTTTTAATATACTTTACACTTCACAGCTCCCCGGCCACTATTTAATTGATTTATTTAATTATATGTCTATATCACATTAATTTTAGCCACCTCCAACGGTACTATTAAAACTATATATCCGCACGCAAGCTAAATGCATATCCATTTATTATTTTGCCTTTCCTCCATCCAATTAAATTATTTAATACAACCAAAAATCTAAAAATTCAATTGAAAAACTCTAATCTCTGGGTGCTTATTTCGTATTCACATTATTTTCTATTATATGTTTTCAATTACGTAATATTGCAAATAATACATTTTTCTATTTTTATATATTTTCACACTCATATCGAAATATATACTATTTGAAAAAAATCATTTTAATAATAGTAATTTTAGAATTTGAATCTGACTTTACACGTACAGTTCACGTGATGCAATATATAATGTTGAAGTATAATAATAATAATAAACAATGATACGGAACAATATATGTGCCTTTTTTTATCAAAGAAAATTACAATTGCAATAGACAGAGTCTGTGTAGATGGGATTAGCTAAATCTTTTTGTATTTTTATTGAAAATATGCAGAGTATGATATTCTGGTCCCAACAAATTCGACGAAGAACATGTGTCTCAATAAAATATGTCCAAATATATACAAAATTAACCATTCAGTCATGGTTTGGTAAATCTTTTTACATTTTGTAGAAAATATAATGAGTAAAGGTCTCGAGTTTGGATCATGTCTATCAAATATATTATTGTAAATTTAGTAAAGATTATTCAAATTGAAGGATTATCTTTTGACACGTCGGTGACTAGTTCATTGGGCTCCCATGTATTAAAAGATTACACAAAATTAAATTTGTAATGAATTAATTGGGGTTTCAAATTTTTGGAGAGTCATTATCCAAAAAAGAAAGCATATCGTATTAATTCCTCCGTATCTATCTGAATTCTTTCCACGAGGCAATAATGCAAGCTAATGTATACAGAGAAATCATTGGAGTGGACCTAACTCTAAAATTAAATTCACAAGTGTCATTCTCATATCCGTAGACAATTAGCAATAGCTAGTTCGGTCGGGTTTAAACTGACATTACACTAATCTCCTTTTCTTAATTAATCCACTCATATACTACTAATTCAATCATTCAAGGCGATTGCAGCTAGCTAATTGTTGACAATTCATGATAATTATTGAAGGTTAACAGTGAAAAGATCAAATATGTTTAAATTTATCGGATTGGTTAGATTAAGCAGAGTTGTTTAGATTGAGTCAGATCGTAAGAAATAATGAGCAGACCCACCGATTTGGTTAATTATTTGAAGCTGTGATAATATGAGTGGTGGTTCAGAATCAGAGCTACTGTTGTATGACTATCAAATAGAGGAAGCTCTAAACATTGTAAAACCAGAAGAGACTGCTGACCAGCTACACAATGGTCCCATTTGTGCATTAACCCTTGCGATGGTTGTTGATGTTGAGGCTGAGGCTAGGTAAGCCGTAGCGTAAGGGTGCATGGCCGGTCCAATGAATGTTATTGGGTTGCGGCACAGTTTTCTATGCAACAAAGTATCTTAGGATAATAAAATCTTTATTCATGTTTAGGATAATGATCCTATATCTTATCAACTCTTACCAGTCATACTATGATTTAGTGGTGATCAATTAATAATGATCTGATGTTGACTCTTCACCAATGGTCATAGGATCGCATGCATCCAAAATTTTTTATTTCGTTATTTTATTCTGTGAAAATCTGTTTTATTGTTGTCTAATTATCATCGATCATTATGTACTTTTTCCCTAAAAAAAAAAAAATATTTACTTTTATGTTTATATATTTATTTTCCACAAAATAATTATTATGATCCCTAAAAAAAAACACATTTTTTATAATTTAAAGGTTTTAAATTCGATATCTATTCAGATTTCATCTAATTTGATTAGTTTAGACCAACTATTTTTCTATTAATATACCACATATTATAATATCTCTTAAAAAAATAAAAATTTAATTCCAATTTAGATATTTTTTTTTAACATTGAAAAGAAAAATTGTAGGTAATATTCATTATTGTTTTATAATATGTTTAATATTTGATTTGAATGGAATCCTCCAATCAAGATTATCTAATAAAATAACACTATGTTTGGATACAATTATTCCAAATGGGTGATACTTGGATTTTCTTTTAATATAAATCATTAAACAAAAATTAGCTGATTCTTTAATTAATTGTTGTATTCATGAACATGATTAATAACATTTTAATTTAAATCTACTAATTTAAAAAAAAAATCTCAATGAAAAATCATTGCTAAACGATTAAAATGGTAGCAGAGATTCTGCAATCTTTCAAATGGAGTGAATTCAGAACAGCACAGGGAAATGGCCATGTAATAAAAGCACAATACACGAAAGAAGTGCCTGCCATATAAAAGAAGAGGTCATCCGGGTACAACTCGCCATGTCTTCTGGGGGCGTCCAAACAAGTACTTACAGGTCAGCAAGAAGGACATGTCACCATATCATTAATCTTCAGATTAGAATTAGATAGGCCCATCAAAAGCCCATCTATGGTTAAGATCACAGACTTTATTAGGTAATGAGCCAACCACCAAGCCTACAAATAAAAGCTTCACCACCACTAGTTCCAAATTATTGGGCTACGGCGGGCCCTATTCTGACTTAGAACTGTCCGGCCACCGTGAAATTTTAGATTGGGTTGCTGTACTATATTTACATGATTGAATAATTAACGGCTCAGGTAAATTGCCAACCAACAGATTCCCAAAAAATATATATATATAGAAATTTTGAAAAGGATTACTCAAATATGAATTATTATCCTGTTCATGAGCATATAACAGTGGCATCCAATTAATAATTGTTTAAAAGTTTATTTTTAATGGTATATAGCTAAATGTTTATGATCACATTGTTAATTATATCAACATTTGTTTTTAATTAGCACCTTGATGATATATCTTGGTCTGGACTCTGGAGGATTAGCATGAAAAAACTAAAAAACATTGGAAACGTTTGTTTAGCAGAATAAAAACTATAATAAATATGGAAATTTAAATTACATAGCTTTCATAGCTCAGTTGGTTAGAGCACCCGTTTAGTAAGCGGGAGGTCTTGAGTTCGACTCTCAATGAAAGCAATTTTTTTGTTGCAGTTTGGCTTTTTTTTTTTTTTTTTTTTTTTTTTAGAGAGCACCCCGTTTAGTAAGCGGAGGTCTTGAGTTGACTCCTCAATGAAAGCAATTTTTTTTTGTTGCAGTTTTGGCCTTTTTTTTTTTTTTTTTTTTTCTTTTTGTTGCGTTTTTGGCTACAGGTGTTGGTTTATTGTGTATCAGTGTGGTTTCCAATTCCAATCTCTTTTGGAGGAAGGTGACAATCTTCGTGGCAGTAAATATGGTTAATTAATGGCATTTTAAATCCGCCTGCTGTGTGTTCTCTTGTTTCATCCATCAAGTCAGTGTGGTTTCCAATCTCTTTTGGAGGAAGGTGACAAACTTCGTGGCAGTAAATATGGTTAATGGCATTTTAAATCCTCCTGCTGTGTGTTCTCTTGTTTCATCCATCAAGTATCAGCTTTCTCTTTTTTCACTCTATTTCGGTTATTCATATTTTCAGAGATGCTAATTTCAGTGCGGATTGGCCAGTATCTTTGGTTTCTTCTACTGGTTTGGGGCTTCATATTCTTGATCGTGCTCCTGATGGTCTTCTTTCTTAGCTTTCTTATGCTATTGCAGGAATAACTTATTCTAAATACCGTAGTCCATAATCTTTTTATTCCGTTTCTTATGTACCAAAAAAAGATTGTTTCAGGATAATACAATATTAACATCATAAACAGTTTAGTTTCAGAAGAAAACATCACATGCAGTTTAACTGACTTATGAATATGTCTCAAACTGTTCCAGCAGGGATTCTTAATCAAGTTCTTTGTCTGGGTACAAAGATGAAGTGCTTCTTTCACTATATAGCCCCAATAACAGAAAAAAAAAAAAAAAAAAAAAAAAAAAAAAAAAAAAAAAAAAAAAAAAAAAAAAAAAAAAAAGAGCGATAAGACAAAAAAAAAAAAAAAAAAAAAAAAAAAAAAAAAAAAAAAAAAAAAAAAAAAAAAAAAAAAAAAGAGCGATAAGACACGGAAATATTCCTGTCAGCTAAACACAGGACGTGTAAAATAACAAAACGCCTCAATCTTTCTGCCTGAAACTCTAGCATCCGTGCAGGTCGCGCCATCTTAGGTACACAAGCCCTGCTTGGTAGTGTGTATAAGCACCTGCCACAACTAAGATGTGAAAAAGCTGATGACTATGGCCAGCAATGTCAAATTTTCCCGGTTTCCATCTTTCAGGAATTCTAGTAGCATAGATTAACGCTCCAAGCCCATATAAAATCCCCATCAGGATTTCATAACCTGTAGTCTGGAGCGCTTCAGGTTGGTTCCTGTACAGTATCAGCTTATGAAGAATGGGTGCTATACCTGACAAGCCCATTCCAAAGAACAGACCAGCACGAAAACTCCGTAGTTCAGGTTTCTGGAATACTGGAAGGAGGGAGAATATAATAGTGGCAATGCCTAATAATGTTATAAACCCTAAATAAAGGTTGCATAATAAAGGGTTGCACATGAAGGAGTAGTAAACAGGAGGGTAAAAAGAGGTTGCAATAAGAGCAGCAATTCCTGCGTAATCAACTCTGTGGACTATATAAGACATTCTCTCTGAATGGCAGGACAGGAGATGGCATATGCTGCTAGCTAGCAAACAGAACATAGCCCCTGCAAGAAAGGCAAAGAATGGCCATCTTGTGATAGGATGAAACATCAACGGAGCTATCATTTTCGACATGTCATTTTCCGTTCCTTGCTGCTGCATTTGAAATCCAAAGAATATCATAAATAAAAGAACAGGTGGAATTAGAAATGCAGAATCACAATTGACTTTCTTTACCAAAATGCTGTCATTATACATCCGAGTAAACCTCTCAGGCAAGCAATTGGTAAGACGTTCCACAAAATTCCCAGAAAGTGAGGAAAGGAATTCCATACGAAGCAAAGACAACCTTAAATCCTCCTTAAACTTTTGAAGGTCAGGCATATTAGGTAAAGAAGGAAGGCATTTCATTAGGTCTAAATGGATCTTGTGGAAGTCAGTTTTTCGCAGCATGTCAGGCAAATGTTCTGCGACATCTGGAACCTCACTTGCTGTATATACAGTCAAAAAGAGGAAAAGGAAGAACCCAATCAAATGCCTGCAAAAATATATAAACAAATAAATTCTAAATAATAATAACAATAATCAAAATCCATATCAAAGCTAAAACAGTGATTTTCTTTTTCTTGGATATAACCGAATGCTCACGTCCAGACATTAAGAGTCTCATTGTGGATTTTAAAGATGCTAAGAAGGACTTGCTTCAATGGCCATTCTGCGCGGTAATAGCCATGGATAAATTCATTGTCCCTTAAGTACCCTGGCAATGAGTGATATTCAACAAGCTGGTATTTCACTTTCTTCCATAATATATGACCCTTTCCTTCCTTGGAACTGACTTCATTCCCATCTTCGCAATCTAATGGACCATCAATTTTTTCAGATGAAGGAAAAAAGTTCTTGTAACGATTAGGAATCATCTCTGTCACCCAAAATCCGAAACAAATTATAAATTAAGATTCTCGAACAATAATTTTTTTGATATTGTTGATGCGAAAGATATAAATTATTGCTCATTTCACATAACAAATTGCTGGTAGAACATAGAAATTTTATTGAGAAAAAAATTTTTGAACTTTTCAGCAATGATTTTTTGATTAAGGTGATCAAATTTGGTATTAACTCATCAAATTGTGATAAAAAAGGATGTAGGAATTGGACTTTGGGCAGATTCTTTAATTCTTGTTAGAGCAATGTCTAGGAAGGATCAAGATTTGTTTTATGTCGAACCCAAAAAAAAAAAAAAATTGGAATGCAAAATTTTCTGTATTGTTCAGACAAAAATTTTGCTTAGAGCATAGATCATTGAAAAGCTAGATAATTTGTTTTCTTCAACCAAACTTATTATTTGCTCTTTGGGATCAATAATTTCTTCTCTCTTTCCAGACAGGATCATGGAAGACAGGATCAATAATCTCTTCTCTCTTCTCTCTTTCAAGACAGGATCCTGTCTGGTATTGTTATTGACAACATCTATAAACATGTTTAGTAACTTTTAGATCTAAATTAAAGCCTCAAAAACATGAAAGGAGGAAAAAAAAAAAAGAAAAAAGAAAAACAAACAAAGCTCAATTACCAAAATGAAATAAATCTTGCCTTTAAAAAATTTATTTGTTTCAGAGCCTGAACACAAAAATAATCACGAGGCATTATAAAATTAGTCTGACAAAAGGGTCATTCACCATCAGTGAAAAGAATGGTAAAAGAAAATTAAAAAAAAAAAAAGGAGAAAAAGGAATAAATGACATTAAATATGCAAAAGGTAATGTACCTTTGAATGGAAAAAACCAGCCGTCAAGGAAAACCCAGAAGAGATATAACTCTTTTTAAAGGTGGGTTATATTTTAGTTGCAGAGAAAATAGAAGAGAACCCACCCCCAAAAAACAGTCATGCAAGAAAATTCTCTCCAGTTGGAAAATCTTGATGAACCCGGAAAGAAAGAATCCCAACTAAAATACCCTATCTTTGGCATGGACAAATGGCAGTCTCACTCTGTAGAATTTTTATTTGCTGTTATGTTATGGTTTGTTTGGCAATGGGCTTGTATTTATACTAACCATATTGTCCACATTTACAAGATTATCTCAGATTTTCATGCTTCAGTTTGCAAAAATTTAGGAAAAGAACAACACAAACCTTACAATAAAGGAGAAATTTTCGGCAAGAATTTACAGGAACTTTGAAAATGGAAAAAATAGCTGCAAAGTAAACTTTTTTTTTTTAACTTCTTTTTTTTCAGCCATTAAAAGGCAATTAATGAAAGATTAAATGGCTGGGAAAAGTTTATCAAGTCTACAAGGTAATGCATAGAATTCATCAGTTCTAACATCTGAATTGTATAAGCTGAATTTTTCCCACCACTTCAAGCCACTGTCCTTTCTCGTTTCATCATTTTCGCGAAAAAGAGTGAAATCCAGGAAAAATGCAACCAAAGCAGCTACAGTCGCATGGGATGTGAAGATGATAGTCACTATATCGTGAAACTGCAATCCAATGAACAACCAACAATTATGTAAACAAAAAAAATGAAACGCTATAGAAAAGAATATAATGCCAGTCGAGTTACAGAATCTCACCCATCTAGAACCTGTGTAAACATAGCCGCAATTTGATCCTTGTTGATAGTATTCTCTAAAGTATTGCGGTACTGAAATGCCCATGAAGAAAGAAAAGCCAAGGATGAATTTTGTCCTGAAACTATTCAGGTTACAGAACTGGAGAAAACCGAGGCCTGCAGAAGCTGTGTGCAAAATATGTAGGGAAATGTTAGAAAATAAATTTGTTTGTTTATAGGGAAAATGCTGAATCTAGATAGAAAGAGTACAAAATTTTACTTACAGACATAACCAAATAGAACACAATACATAGCTGCTACAATTGGCAGAGGTATAGATGCAAATAGTGCCCCAAATTTTCCTGGTTAAGGAAAAAGGTTAATACAATAAAATGGAAAGAGAGACTAAAATCATACTGACAATTGAGAACAAAAGGAACTTACCAAATATAGAGAAGAAAATCATAAATCCAGCAGATATTTGAATAACTCTTCGGCTTCCTACTTTTGTCAATGCCAACAGACCTGCATTTTCCCTATACAGAGAACAGGTTTTTAATTCTGCTGTAGAATTTAAGGATTTATAGTTAAAACCACTGTTCTTACACTGATGCAGTACATCCTGTCAGACATCCAAAAAAACCATTGAACAACACCCCAATCCCCTGAAATTTTAAAAAGATTCGTTAACCAATGAATAAAGACAACTTAGAAGCTAGAACTAACATGGAAATTACAATGTTTAGCGAACACAATAACAATAAAAGGCATTGTACCAGCCAGCCAGTCCCACGGCTGATGACTGAAGGTGGAACAGGAGTGGCACTTCCATATCTCGCAGTCGCGAAAAATGTGCCCGTGGACTGCAATTCATGGGAATTTGATGTCAAGACTGAAGATTTTCCAATTTCTAATCAGACATTTTTCCTATCTTTTCTAATTCATTATTATTTGTTCCCCCCCCAAAAAAATATACACTTAACTAATATATACCTCAAACAAAGAAACAAAAGCAGCAGCTATCATTGCAAAAGCTTCTCCAGCCTTAAATGTTGGGCTTCCCCACTGAAATGGATAAGGAATATAAATCCTGCACTTAATTACACAACGTGAGAAAATAATATCTATCGTAGAGCTAAAGCAGGTAAAATTATATTGGTTACATGAGACAATAACCAGTTCAGCTATAAGAAAACTATTTATTATATGGTGGCGATATTAGTTATAGTAGAGCCTTACCAAGGTGATGCACTAACAAGTCCTGCACGGTCAGTTCTGCAACTCATTTGAGTTTTTGAAGGCTTATTATCATAAACAGCACTTGCAGTTAGAAGCTGTGCAAACAACCATGAAAGAGCAACAGAGAACAGAACCGCAAACCGATCACATATGGGCCTTTTTGACTTCACATAGTGAGGAAGATACTGCAGAATGTTAATCAGCAAGTCTACATTTTGAGGTTATGTAAAGGAGCCATTGAACAAAAGGAAAATTAAGCACAGGCTAAATTGCTGCTTACCTGTGATATGAAAACCATTGCAAATATTTCTGGAAGCCCAACTTCAACACAGTTTGCCAGCTACAAGGAGAAAAAAAGAGGAGCAAGTCATTTAAAAAAAAAAAATGTCCTTGAAATATTGAACAATTCCACACACTGCTTTTTATTACATTGAGACGAACATTCCAGTTGGTAGTATGAGGTATAACTGAAAATAGAACTAGTGAAAGTATATATATGAAGATCTGGAGCTTCTTACAGTAGGGAAACCAAGGTAATAGAGACCAAGCCCCGTGAAAGTTACATAAGGTACAATAGAAAGAGGGCTAAGAAACCTGGAAAAAACGAAAAACGAAACAGAAAAAATATCCCCATGAATCGAAAATTAACAATGCCAAATGATGATTAGAAGAAGTCAATTAATCCATTCATCAGCAATCAAGCATATGCTACTGTAATAATATTCGAGAAACTTTGAAAAGGAGACCTGACTACATTTCTCCAAAGACCAAAGAAACCCATAACTATTTGGAAACAGCCACTGATGATTAAAGCACCTTGTGTTGCTCTCATTGTTTGTACAAACCTCTGAAAAAAAAAACCCGAAAAGCGCTAAATAGAATCAAATTCATAGATTCAATTAATAAAAAGAAGAGATTTTGAGCAAAAGTGCAAAGCATCACCTCATGGGGATCAATGAACATACTGTTTCTACTGCCTAGGAGAATTGAGGTAGTGGGCATAACATATGCATATGAACCCACAACCACAGACGGAAGCCGGGTGCCAAATAAAGTCTGAAAAAATGTGCTAAATCCTGAAACAAAGAGTAATGTTTGTATTACTCTAGCCTTCTCAGCCTGTGACATATATGGACAGACTCATTAAGTTAAAATTAATGGATTAACATATATGTTATTAATTATAAGGAAAGCAATCAAAATCATGCAAATCAAATTCTTACATCGCCACCGCCCATTAGAGGGACGATCAAGCTTGGTATCAGAACAGTAATACCAAGTGCCAAAAGATAGTGCTGGAACCCCAATAAAATAGCTTCATCTGCACATAAAGAATACCAAATAAATGCAGGTCCATAATAAGAATAATGATAATAAAATAGATAAAACAGAGTACAGACGCCATGGAGGAGGACTGTTTATGCAATATTGAACTCCAGGTAACTGCTCTTTCACTGGATGTGGTTGTAAGTCCTCAGCCTTTTTATTACCACCACCTCCACCACCACCACCACCACCACCACCACCGCCTCCGGCTTGGGCCATGTCTTTTCTCTTAGAGACACTTGACAAAATTAAGAAGAATGTTAAGTAAATAGTATATTGGGCATGGAGAGCTCCAAATTGGCAATGAATCCGCCAACAGACGTTTTTCCATTGCCAGGATACGTGACCGTTACATTTTGGGTATTAACTGTTATTGAGCCGGAAGCTGGCGACCTTAACTGTCAATTATAACATAAGATATTTTTAAATTAATTAAAATTTTTCAATCATAATTGAAGGTCTTAACTGATATTTTTAAATTAATTCAATTTTTTTTATCAATGATCTCAATCATAGTTGGAGGTATCTCTCTGGGAAATTTGAACTCTGCATTACAGTTTCGTTGAGGAGGCAAGATCGTAACCTATCATTAACAATGTTCTACATGATTGTCTAACGGTTTCTGATGCATTTATCAGCGAATGGGCAACGGTTTTACATTTTCTTTCCTGTGTTGAATGGATTTTATTTTACTGAAAGTGTTTCTACATGCTGGCCTCCGGTTGGCTTTAAATCTAGCGCTATGTGATGCCTAGATGTTAGTCCTAATATGAATTTATCCCTTTGAACACAGATTTTGCCTCATGTCCAAATATCATCAGATAAACCTACTGCCAACCAGCGAAACAAATTCAAACATATAAAATTTGTTCTAAATCCCCAATATCATCAAAAATTACAATTAGCCATTCAATGCTGGTATGTCAATAAGTTGACATGCCTTTGTGCATATTTATCATCCATAATAAGTGTCAATGACACGAAACATAACAGCATAATGAAAAACAGGTATCTATACAAGTCTTGATACATTTTGCGGTTTTTTTTTTTTTTTCCTGAACGTTTCAATTGCTTCCACTGTGTTAATTCTTCCTTTCATTCTCTTGATCTTCCACAGTTGCCACCGGACCTGCATGTTAAAATGTTCAAATCAGATCATGCTGTAAATTGAACAGATATTCTTGATGCATCCATGATCAAACATTCAAAAAGAAGCAACAAATCAACTACCATGATTAAGCATTCACAAAAAGTCAACATCTGTTCATGTCATCAAATACTGAGTTCACATAGTGAAGAACTGTTAGTTTTCTAGCATTTGATTTTCCTTAATGAAAAGAATGGAACAAGCAACAATAATATTTCCATACGTATCTAAACATAATGGATGCACCAGTCTTTAAATTACAAAAGTCAAGTTGAACTGAACATCAAGGTTGCTAGAGATTTAGTTTTTCAGCTGTCCCATAGGACAATAAGTCCCTTTGCCTTCGCTTTTTGACTCAAATTTACACCTGTTATAGTAAACCATCCCAACAATTTCAGAGAAGCTATTTGGTGCAGGCGGGATTGTGCTCCCTCATCATTCTAAGCGAATGGGCATGGATCCTATCACATTCTCCCTCCCAGTTCATAATATCACTTCTTTTTTCATTGGTAGAAATAGCAGCCAAAAGGCCCTAACTGTGCAAAGAGCATAACTCCCCCTAGGAGGAACTTGGTAAAAAGCAATCCTAACATTATTGTTACTACAGCACCCACCACCTAGATAGGTTAGCTATTTATATATTTCTATGCAGTTTGCAAGCATTGATACCCTTCCATTTTAAGGACAACAATTCTCTTCTTTGTCTGCAATCCTGGCTGCAGAGTTTCTATATTAACTATATTTGATCCATTAAGTTATAAAAGTAAACATTATACTTCATCTATGACTGTCTATCTATTCTCCAGTTAGTGCAAACTGCAAACTTGACAAATTCAAACACGAGGTATGTAGAGCAGGACTTAGGAGATGTCGTAGAAACCTAGATCTTCAGATAGTACCTAAACGCCAATGCATTCAACTGCTCATTTAGCTGCAACTAGATACTTGTATTCTGCATCATTTGTTAATCCAACTAAGAATACGAATGAACGGATCCATGTCAAAGAAGGATGGATTTGACATTCTTTGGGTCCTACTATACACTTCAGATAGAACTTCTGATAATCCTTGTTTCAGTGTTTCAACAGGAAATTCATCAGACTAAAACATACCACTATACTGAATTAAATATATAATTGCACCTACACGTTCTAACATTTTGAAATGTAAAATTGATGAGCACAGTGACCAATATCTTTCAATTTCGCAACATTGACCTAGATTAAAAAAGAATGTAGCCTTTAGGTAAGAATAATTATACTGAAAGGCATTTCTTTTCTAGAAAAAGTGCATTTACTAGTCAAGCTCCCAATACCCTCCTCATGTATGGAAATCAAATATATTATGTTTTCCTGCTTTCACCTAACAAAGAATTCAAATCACAAATCACAACATGCTTGTATGTAATCCGTAAATTCATTCACTACTATTTGGTCTATGATATTCTGAAGCACCAGACCAAGTAAGATACTGAAGCATGAATTGTATCCTTCTCAAAATACTGTCCAAAATCTCATGATCTAACATACAAGTCAAGCTCAAAACTAATATAGCATCCTTTATCATCCTAGGAACTCAAACACAATTTCTTTCTCCATTTGCTGCAACCTTCGGAAGGTCCATCAAGAACTCTATCCACATCCTAATGTCCAGGGTTAAAAGAATACTCCGACAAAGACTTGAACGAATGTCGTGAACTTGGGTAGCTTCTCCAAAGACATCCAAAATTTTTGCATCAACACCTCTAGTTTGGCTACATTTATTAAAAAAAGAATAAACACAATAGCATGTAAAAAATTGAAAGGTGAAGAAGACAGCTAAAACCATGTAATTCCATTGTCAAAGCTTGTCTGCACATCTAAAAGTAATTGCAAATATAGTTATCTTCCACAGGATATATCAAGTGGAAATATATATGTATCAATCTTTCAGAAGCTATAGTCTTAAACATCATCACTCTTGCAGAAGTTATATTCCTAAACTTCATCACGATATGAATCCCATTCAAATATAGCAGAGTTTTTTTCGATAGCCTTTGTTAAAGTGACACTTGATATAAATCTAATTCTAATGCCAGTTCAAAAGAAGCAATGTAACACAGCCCTAAATAATAGCACAAAGATATGGTTAAATAGCATGCTACCACAATAATCATAATGTTGATGCCAGTGCTACATGGGAAAAGTGTGCAAGGAACAAAGTGAAAGAAAATTATATGCAACCTCATTAAATTATATGCCAATATTGTCAGAAAATGTTGTTTATAATTCTCCATTGGAAGCAAAACTTGCTTGTCATCTATAGATTCTTCTTCAGCTTTTCATTTTGGACAACAAGGTTTAATTGAAAAGGAAAAGCACCCAACAGATAATATCTGCCTAAGACATAGTGACAATCCATCAACCTCCAGATTATCATTTCTAACGCTGGGTGCTCAATAGGATGATAAATATTCAAATAAATTTATTTCATATACCAACAAGACAGCCATTTCAACAAGCAAATGAGCATGGACACAGACACCAAAACTTCACAGACCAGTAATAATTAATGTAAAATCACATAGACATTACCAAGCAAATCGCTACAATGCCGCTGAGTTGCTTGAGCTTTGATCTCCGATACCCTCACCATCATCAGCAACCTTTTCTTTCTTCATCCAATCCACTCCGATACCCTCATCATTATCAGCAACCTGTTCTTTCTTCGCCCAAACCATTCCATCCTGTCTTCCCTTACTAAACCTCCCATAATTTCCTCTATATTGTCCATTAAACCTCCCATAATTTCCTCTATATTGTCCATTAAACTTCCCATAATTTCCTCTATATTGTCCATTAAATCTCCCATAATATTGTCCGGTACGGTGCTTCACACCACTATTATATCCTCTACACTCAACATTCCTGCTATTCGCATTATAACCTCTATACTGACTATTGCTACGATTCACAATCCTATTTTGGGTTTCCAATCTTTCATTCTCTTTTTCTACAGATAGATTCCTAAGCTTTCCTTCAATCTCCACAGTCCCCTCACTCTTCTCCAACACATTCTCATTTTTTCCCGTGATTTTGACTGCAGTGTCCTCAGTCCCCTCCGCCACATTCACAACTTCTCTCTCTATTGTCACTGTCCGGTCTCTCTTCTGAACCACGCTAGTAATTTTCGGCCTAAACTCCAACCTTATATCCCTCCTTCTGTCATGCCTCCTCACCGAAACACTCCCCTCGCTCTTAACTGGCGGAGTGTCTGCCTGGCCCGCCTTTCTTTCCTCCTCTTCTTTTCCCCTAGCTTCTCCATCCTCCATCTTCTCCTTCTCCTTTTTCTGCTGCTTTTGTTTCCAATTGTTACCCCAACCTTTGTTCTTCGTCTCCTTCACGGCACTCTCAATCTCATTTCCTTCAACAAAAGCAGCCACTATTTCGGCCTCATTTTCCTCGGGACAAACATGGCGACCACTTTCCTCCTCTTCTTTTCCCCTAGCTTCTCCATCCTCCATCTTCTCCTTCTCCTTTTTCTGCTGCTTTTGTTTCCAATTGTTACCCCAACCTTTGTTCTTCGTCTCCTTCACGGCACTCTCAATCTCATTTCCTTCAACAAAAGCAGCCACTATTTCGGCCTCATTTTCCTCGGGACAAACATGGCGACCACTTTCCTCCTCTTCTTTTCCCCTAGCTTCTCCATCCTCCATCTTCTCCTTCTCCTTTTTCTGCTGCTTTTGTTTCCAATTGTTACCCCAACCTTTGTTCTTCGTCTCCTTCACGGCACTCTCAATCTCATTTCCTTCAACAAAAGCAGCCACTATTTCGGCCTCATTTTCCTCGGGACAAACATGGCGACCACTTTCCTCCTCTTCTTTTCCCCTAGCTTCTCCATCCTCCATCTTCTCCTTCTCCTTTTTCTGCTGCTTTTGTTTCCAATTGTTACCCCAACCTTTGTTCTTCGTCTCCTTCACGGCACTCTCAATCTCATTTCCTTCAACAAAAGCAGCCACTATTTCGGCCTCATTTTCCTCGGGACAAACATGGCGACCACTTTCCTTCACGGCACTCTCAATCTCATTTCCTTCAACAAAAGCAGCCACTATTTCGGCCTCATTTTCCTCGGGACAAACATGGCGACCACTTTCCTCCTCTTCTTTTCCCCTAGCTTCTCCATCCTCCATCTTCTCCTTCTCCTTTTTCTGCTGCTTTTGTTTCCAATTGTTACCCCAACCTTTGTTCTTCGTCTCCTTCACGGCACTCTCAATCTCATTTCCTTCAACAAAAGCAGCCACTATTTCGGCCTCATTTTCCTCGGGACAAACATGGCGACCACTTTTCTTCGAATTCTGATTTCCCCGCCTATAATTCCACCTCCGATTCCTTTGGCCGTTTTTGAGCAGCCGAGCTTGAGTGTTTCGCTCTTTTTTTTCTTCATTTTCTCGTCGTAGGAGCTTTTGCTCGTTGCCTTTTTCTTCTTCTTCTTTCTCCCTTTGCTTTCGCTGCTGCTCTTTAACCCAGCGTTCTTGAAGCTCTAGAAGAGTCACGTAATTTGAAGGAATATCTGCGGGCAGTTTCCTGTCACCCATTGAAGAGGGCTAAAAAGAGAGGAAAATTTTAAGACATTAGCGAGCAAGTAATTTGTCGATGATGGTAGAATGGAATTTTATGTGCTAATATATATCAGTCTTCAGTGCTCACAATTTCCTTCTTCCCTTGGTGAGGAAGGCGATGTGACATGTGAGCTTTATTTTACTTTTTATATTACATTTAAATTAAAATATAATTAATAAATCATTATTCATATTACAAATATTAAATATATCTTAAATTAAATAGTACTACTTTATTAGATTCGCAGATCATTGACTCAGATATTAGGTTTCTCAATCAAGCTGGGTCTAACGAGGCCCAAAAGCATCATGGAGCTTTGAGGGTTAAGCTTCGATGAATGGATCGCCTTGTACAAATTACCATCCGTACGGAGCTTTGAGGCTTGCGCTTGCATTGATGGAGCCTTGTCCGAATTGTAACGGCCCATCAGTTTCCGCGCTATCAACGGTACTGCAGCCTTTGTCGTTTTCTCAGCGATGATTCCAGATAGTCGAACGACAGGTAGTGTACCTACCCTCGAGTTGGAAAAAACAAAAGCGTGCAATAGGCTATTTATCGAACTGTAATCACTCTTTTTCTCAATATTCTTCCACTCTTTGTATTTTATCTATATTGAAAAACAAAGTCCTAATAATCTCTGTCAACAAAACCCTAATTTTGGCAGACATTTACCAATATTCCCATTCTAAATCCTTATGCTTATGATGTATTTGAGAAATAAAAAAATCTTGTGACCAAAAACATTAAAACTCTCATCAAACGAAAACTTTAAAACTATAAAATAATATATGTTCAATCTCTGTTATTAAAACCTCTGAAACTGAACAACCCATTCCCTCCACAATTTCACTAGCTAGTAGCTAATAATTATAAACAATGATGAGACTCACCAATTTGTTATTTCAGGAAATTTTAGTAGGTTGAATTCCAATTTGTAAGCTTTTTAAATTATTATTGAATTGAAAAAATAAAAGTTGAGAATTTAAATAGTTCGAAGCTTTGAGTTAAATTAAACATCAATGTGATAATATTCAATTGGAGCCACTCCAGACTCTAATTGTTTATTTAAGTTTTTATATTTTGAAAAATATTTTTATATTATAATACTATTAAAATCAATTTATTTAAACTATAATTTAAAATTAATAAATTATTTTACTTCAAAATTTATCTAATTAAACCAACCTAAATCAAGTGTATTTTGATGATTTTGAATCATTTAACTTTATATTACATCAAACTGATGTCTAAATACAAATCATTTATCCTCAATTTATTAGTGTGGTTGATTTTAAATGTTTGATTTTGCTAAACCATCAATGTGTATGGACAAATAAAGTTATTATTTACAGAATATTTGAAAGTATTACGAAATAATTTTTTTCTAAAATTTTAGATTATAAAATTATAGCTTCATGTGCCAATATTTTTAATATATTAAATTAATATTTATTATTTACACTTAGGCTTTTTTATTAATATATTTGAAATAATTTTTTATTTTATCAAATTGAATTTACATATTCTTTATCTAATAACTAATGTATACCTTATTTTGGTATATAATAAAATTTATTATTTTATCTAATAAAATATTTGAATAAAAAATTAGCGTAACCATTTTATTTTCTAAAAAAATATAATTAAAATCCTTAAAGATATTGTATTCTCCATATTTAAAATATACATTACCTATCATATAATATCATTTTTTATTCCTACAATAAAATTTAAATTTAAATTATAAATTAATATAACCAATCAAAATTAATTTATTTTTTACTTTTTAACTAATAAAAATAAAATTTTTAAAAATAGTATTCTTACCATATTTAATATATATCTAATTTAGTATATAATATATTTTTTTTATTTTATAAAATGAAATTTAAATTTAATAAAAAATTAATAACCAATTAAAATTAACTTACCTTTGTTTTTTTTAATAAATAAAATTAAAATCCCTAACGATCTTATGTCCTTAACATATTTAATATGTACTTTATTTAGCAAATATAATTTTTCATGTTATTAAATATAAATTATTTAAATAAAAAATTAATATTACAAGTCATAATTAAATTATCTTTATTTTTTCTACCAATAAAATTAAAATGTTATGTCCGTAATTACATATTTTAAATATGTACTTATAGGTTTGAGGCAGAATATTAAGTGTTGTTGTCAGTGTTATTAAAGTATAAGAGTGTGATTTAAATTAAAAGAATTTAAATTACACAGTCATAATTAAAGTATCTGTATTTTTTTTCTATCCATAAAATTAAATTCCGTAAAATTAAATTCCCAATTATGCTATATCCATACCATATTTATAATATAAATTATTTAGTATATATAATTTTTTATTTCATTCATTAGAAATTACATTTAAATAGAAAATTAATATTAGAAGCTAAGATCAAATTATTTTTATTTTTTTGTCAATAAAATTAAAATCTGTAATGACGATATATTCTTACTGTTTTTAATATGTACCTTATTTAGTGTATAATATATTTTCTTACTTTATCTAATAAAATTTAAATTTAAATAAAAAATTAATATAATGAATCAAAATTATATTATTTTTATCAAACTTTTTTTGTTTAAAAATTATTCTCCACGTCCTCATAATTTTTATCCTAGTTCGATTTGTACTCAGATAATAAAACAAATGTAGTTAAACTCATAAAACAAATGTAGTTAAACTCATAATATATTTTCGATTCGTACTATATTTAATAAAATATTTTTTATTTTTCTAATAAAATTTAGATAATAAAAACTAATATAATCAATTAATTATTTTTATTTTTCAACAAATAAAATTAAAATGTTTAAAGATATTATATTGTTACTATATTTAATATATACCTTATTTAATATATTTAATTAAAAATAATTTTTTAAATTGCATTCAATAAAATTTAATTTAAATAAAAATTTAAAAATTATTTTTATTTTTCAACAAATAAAATTAAAATGTTTAAAGATATTATATTGTTACTATATTTAATATATACCTTATTTAATATATAAAATAATTTTTTATTGCATTCAATAAAATTTAAATTTAAATAAAAATTTAACCAATTAAAATTAAAATTTACATCTATGTTTCTAATCAATAAAATCGAAATCCTTCAAGATATTTTTTTCAATTAATGAAATTAGTAGAAACATTTTTAACAATTTCTTTATTCCGAGTTATATAATATTATTAAAAAATATAAAATATTACCAACTAACCGGTATAAAAATCGGAATTATTGTTTTGAAATCCAACTATACGTCATAGAGAAATCGTTTAGAATGGTAGGTAGAAGTACACGGTGATGATGTGGCAAGGAGCAAAAGCACCGCAACGGCGCTAATAGGGAAAAAGGAGCGCGCTTCACAAAGGGCAGACATCACGTTTTAGCAGCTTCTTAACTGGAAAAGCCACGTGTAAATATTTCATGCATTCACAGACTAGTAGTCAGTTTGTACCTCCCAACGCAACGCTCACTCGCCCTCCAATCACATTCCAACTCATCCCTTTGCATGCAGTCTAAAATATATCAGCGCTCGACATATGTAGGATAGCCAAAAATAACCGCTCAAGTACTAAGGGCATTGTGGTAAAACCAATTAGAAAACAAAAACGACCAAGCCAATCCTGATAGGTGTATCCACGCATGGAAGCCAAGTCCACACGCGTTGCAACGACAGACCCTTTTTGATTGGCTGTGTGACAGGCAAAGCTCAGTCTCCAGATATTAGAGAGAGAAACTGGACCCAACTGGACTGGCTGGTGGGCTCAGTTGTCAAAACCATTGTCTATCCATTCAATATGTGTTAACATGCATGGACCCACTGCCATGCCCAAATCCCACGTGTCTCCATCTCTCGAACACGTACCCACCGTACTCTTACCACGTGTCATTCGCTCCTCCCTCCTTGCTTCATGGCTGCCCTTTCCTTATTGGCTATATCTTACCCTTAAAACCCTCACCTCAACAAATCATCCCTTTCTAACTATTCCTTCCACCTCTCTTCTTCTTCTTCTTCTTTCATCTTAATTCTCTGCCAATTACATAATCCCTTCACCCATTTTATACCATGAGCGCAGCTTGACAAGAAACTAACCAGCCACCATGCTCAAGACACTCAGTCCTTACTCTACAACAGCAAAAACTGCTGAAATCATGTCTAGGTACAGGCCCATTGCACCAAAGCCTGAGCCTCCTGCCAACTCTTTGGGTGAAAGCTCTTCAATGTCTCAGAAAATTAGGCAATCTCCTTACCTTAGGAATCTCTGGCCTCAGTTGCAAGCCAGGCCCACTAGAACAAGAAAGAGAGGGAGAGCTGCTATTTCTCCTCCTACCATCAAAAGACCAAGAACAACTCATTTTCTTGGTCTTTCCTCTCCTGGTCATTTAATAACCTCTGCTAGAGATCTCTCCTTGCGGGGTTTTGCTCATGGGATTTCTCAGCTTCCTGTTGCCAATCTTGCTGGGGTTAACAGCACTTGCTTGGAAAATCCAGTCACCACCTCTTCAGATTTGGTTACGCTTTCTCTTCTTCCGTGTCAACCTTCGGTTCCTGCCGTTGCACCCGAAATCAGTTGCATGGAACGACGCGGAGAGAAAAAGGTAATTGATTTGAATATTGTAGCTGAAATCCCAGAAGATAAAGACCTCTTGCAGCAACTGCAAGAACCACCTGCTAGCTTAACAAATGTTATAGCACCTCAGCCAATTAGGCCAGTTGGCTCCAGGATAAGCGTTGGGTGCATAACAGAAGACCCAAACTTAGCCCCTTCACTGGAACTTCCAAAGAAGCCAGGGGAGGTTGAAGAAGAAGTTGAATCTGAGGCCTTGCCAGCTGTGATATCCGACTCCAACTACAAAGTGAGGCTAGCAAATTCTGCTTACAAAGAAATGGTGGGTCAACCAGAATGTTTATGGCTCGACTCGATGATCACAGGTGATGGTCGGTTCGTGGGTGGCTCATGCAAAAGGATTTGTGGAGAAGTTATGCTGAATCTTGATGGTTCAAGAGTGCCAGTTTCATCAAATGGGTTCTCATGCTGGGTGAGAATAGAGTGGGGACATGAAGGGAAGAAGAAAGCAATCAATTCTTTTTGTGATGTTATCAGATTGTCCTGCGAGTCGAAGGATTATCTCTACATTTGGAGGTTCCACACTCAAAGCAGGGAGGTTCTCAAACCGGCAGGACCACCACCGCCACCAATGTCTGAATATTCAACTGTGCACTAGAAAAGCTCCTTATTTTCTACCTTGTATACATATTAAGACATCAAGTAATGTACAGTATGACATCAAGTGATGCATAGTTTTCTTTAGCTTTTCAGTTAAAAGTCAAGATGTTTATAAGATATTTGGTTCTCTTGTCCCTCTCTTGGGGCAACGGTTGGTTTCGGTTGTTGTCTGTTGTTGTATGTCAGAAATCTCACGCAGCAAAGAGAATTTTATATACATATACAAAAAATGTTCATTGCTTTTCTTGGCAGAAGCAAGCAGACGGGTACATTTACAACTACACAGCAAAGTATAAATGCGAATATAAGCTTGGGCAAGTAGGAATACAGAAGAAAGATCGATTCTTTTTATTTTAAAGCATGAATTCTGGATGGTAATAGTTGCACCACGTTAATTATCCTCGTTCTTTGCTGGGCCCTTCCACTTGAAGTTGTCAGCATATGACTTGGGCTGGAAATAGGGGGAAAAGAAAAACAGGAGTAAATTTAAATACAATAAGCAAACGACAAAACACAATTTGTAGTGGGCTAAAATTCAAATCAGTTATTTTTACAAACAGAATGCCAAACCTGACTCTGATTAGCAGGCAGGGGAAGAATGTACACGCTGGATCCTTTGTATTTCTTACACTATCAACTGATACCTCACATAAGAAGAAAACGAAATGAAATCCAATTTGCCCTCTTGAACTTGTTATTCAGAAAAAAAAGGTACTACAAAGTAAATCTTTTGGTCCAATTTACCCTTACAGTTATAATTCACGCATAATTTACCAAAACACCCCTCTAAACTTGCTCAAATTCTCACGAGATTTTTTTTTTTTTGGCGGATAACAAATTCAAAGGGGCAAATTGGATTTTAGTTCTTTTAAAAAAAAGGGCCGACTCTTGAGATTTGTAATCCCAATAACAAAAATTCACGGAAATTTGCTTTGCAGTCGAGAGTCAATATTAGGCCTATTTGGGACATCAGAAAAGCTTCAAGTCCCCATTTTAACAAATCTTGTCACAAAATAATCAATATTGGTTAGCCGTTGGTTCAATCCTCTAACTTCAGCATTTAGTACTTAAAAGGCGTATTCATGCTATTATTTTGTGGTATTTCTTTTACTAATCCTCGCGAGTTTCCCTGTCAAATTATTTCTCGTTTTCTTTCCTCAATTCCATGTCTGCATAAAACGTTTCAGCTAAAGCTAAATGAACTAACCTAATTGTAATTTCTAAATAAAGCAACTCATCCATTTCTGAAAAAATCCAAAATATTGAAATCTCAAACCTTCAAAAGAGGTGTATGCGGCTTCTTGACCTGCACAAGAATTGAAGTTATACAACATGGAGATCAGTAAATTGAAAACATGCTATATTACTTAATTATGGTACCCTATTCAAAAACAAATACGAAAATGAAAAATGTGCTGTCTGTTTGATTGTACAGAACTCATGTGAACCAGTTCAAATATATTCTAATCCATATAGAACAAGGCTTATGTTTTCTTTCACAACTGAACTTAATAATGCAAGTATATAGAAGTGAATTATCTGGACTGATCAACAGAGTCAAAATATCTAGGAGACAAATTTGTGGCATTTTCAACATATACAAGAAAAACCACCGCCAAAATGTAGCTGATTTCTATAAAAAGAAAAAATCGAGCTGTTCATCTCGAGTAGTTGTTAGAGGATTATACTAAGTTACCAACTATAACAGGCACAGGCACTACTAAGAGAAAGATAATGGTCAAGCAGATTCATATGCATCAGCAAAACAGAACTACTGAGGCACATACCACATATTCCCAACCGTGTTTTTCAGCAAATGCCTTGGCAGCTTCTTCACTATCAAAACTGAGTCCTGCCTCACCAACATTGGCATATGGATCTCCTGTAGATGTCCAACCCATCAATGGATTTTCCCACCTGCACAAAATGCCAACCAGAGCATTATGGTTTTTAAAATCTCCAATAATTTCACCATAAACCACAAATATTCCACCCTGTATCCTTGTGCATTAGTTCTGAAATGCTTTCAATGTGATTAAGCACCCTTCTTTGAATATCGGCATGCTTCCAATCATTAGAGAATAATGAACGATGCGAACTCCATGCTCTATGTTATATATATGGAAAATTAGGTCATTCATGAATAGAGTCAACCCATCATACAACGTATTACAAATCCAAGCCTAAACTCAAAATCTAGGTCTTAAGATTAAAGGAGCTACTAGGTTTAAAGAATGTCTCAAAATCTTTGCACAGGTGGTGTGGAATAGAAAAATTAAATGGATTTTTTTTAAGAATGCTTTTGACAGACCTCAAAAACCTTTATAAAGATTTATTAAAAGGAAAGAAAATAATTTGACTGCTAAATTGACCAAACATACTTTTGTGTAGACAAAAAATTAATTTTCCATCTCCCAACTTTCCCTGAGCCCTGTTGTGTTGCAGTTCGAGCAGGTGAATAAATAATTACCTGGCATTCATAATTGGAAAAAAAAGGTCATCAAACATGAAAGGAAAACAATCAAATGGCCTAGGAAAGAAGATGTTAAGCAACTAACAAAAGGCATGACAAGGTTCTAAACCTGTGTGGACCAATTGACACCAGCTGGACAGAACTATTATTTTCTCTCAACACTAGTAGATTGCCGATTATATTATGTTATATCCATTCCAACCTTAATTTGACTGGAGAATTAGCTAATGATGATAAGAACAAGCATCAATTAGAAACTAGTCAGGCCACATTCTTTTCTTCTCTCAGACTCACAAAAGTGCTAAATCCATAATTCCAGAGAAGAAGGTCAAGCATAACACACATGGCTCATCCAACACCACAACATTGATCTTAGGTTCATGAAGACCTTAGTAAAGGAAATTTTAATTTAGAGAGAACTATATAATTGATGTTTGAACTTTGCTAGTTTTTCTATTTTAGTGTATAATGTGTTTCTTTTATCACTTAAGTGGCTGAATTGACAAACTCGTTTTTTAAGTAAGTGCATTTAGTCAAAATATTTTTTTCTGAAAATTAGAATAAATCAATAAATAATATTGAACATTATCCATTTAAATCATCTCACATTTTTCATTCCTAAGATTTTTTTATTGTCCTATTTCTCTTTCTTTTTAGAAAAAAATTCTCAATAATTTTCTTTACATTCTAAAACAAAATCAACAAAAATGAGAGAGAATAAAATGAGAGAAAAAGGTAATAATCTAGAGAAATGAATAAAGTGAAGGAGTGGAGTAAAATATACGATTTTAATTTTTAAGCCAAAAAAATCAGCCAGATATGCACTTAATTCTAAAAAATTTATTAGTTCAAACACTTGATTGATAAAAATTAAAGTTGAGACATTGAACTAATAAAAAAAAAAAAAAGAAAGTTTAAATCAGAAAATAAGAGAATTGATGTTGAAATGCAAGAATGGAATCGCAGCTGTCACTAAACAAGAGTTATCACTTCATAGCCTAAGTACCATGACTTATTGCTCAACAATCACAAATTAGTTACCACTTAATGACGATATAAGAAGTTAAATTTCATGATCATTGATTTCTGATTTCCATTCTCAGTCCAAAAATCCTTAATTTTTCATCTATATCTCTATTCCCAATTCCTCAAGTCTATATAAAAGCTATGCAGATAAGCAGATGTATACGATTAACAAAAACCCTAAGCACCCAAAGAATTCAATTTCATTTCTCCATTATAAAGCAGTAAAGAATAATAAATTATACAATGAGACACGAATCTTTCAAATACAAAACTGAAGGTGGCGTACTCTTCTTCGGAGGTGTTCCTCGGGTATCCCAGAGACTATGCCGACCTCGCCGGGTTTAACCTCCACCAAAGCATCCGAAGAAAACCATCTCCCACAACATGCAAGTGTCGATCGATTAGCTCGAGCAAGTTTTAGAGTGCCTCGCTGCAGAGAACTCGCCATTCTCTAAAAGGGTCCAATAACCAGGTTCCTCCACAATAATGGCGGTTTCTTCTTCAATAAGCCGTTGGATTCTCGGAGAGTGATAGGAGAATTACAGACATGGAAAATCAAAACACCAGAAGTTTCGCACTTTCGCTGGTTACTGGTGATTTTGATTTTCTTTTAAATCTGTGCCAATAAATTATATTATTAGTTTGGGCCCATTGTTCAAAACTAGGACGGGATTCGAGCTTCCAATTTGAAAATTTTATATTGGGCCTCCATTTCTCTATGGGTCGCATACCTTAAGCCCAATACTTACGTATAAATGACAGAGTCAGGAATCGGGGACGTTTTCTGTGCGTCCGTCGTTAGTGTTTGGATTTGTCTATGCGCCGCAAGAAAGTTTAGATCACAAACCGGCTGTACATGTGCTTTGCTTCTTAGGATCATTGTCTGCTCATTTGTCAGCTTTCCAGAATCCAATGCCATTTGTTCTTAGTTTGAATCGAAAGACCTCTTCCTCTTTCACTCCCTGTCTTGTTATGCTTGCCAGACTAATAATACAGCCCAAACACCCGCCCAGATACCGGTTATACAAATCCGCTGCTCCCCTTTCAATTTTCCAAAAGTTTGGATATCAATGGCGTCCCAAGAAAACGACTTGAAGCTTTCTACGCTGGAGTTGGCATGCTCGGATTTGAAATCCATCCTTCAAGCATCCAACAAAATGGAAGAAAGCCTAGAAAAGATGGATAATAGATTTATTATTATAGATGAAAGTCTATCAACAGCATCAAAAAGAGTAGCTCCTTTGCATTCTTTAGCCATCACTGCAAAAGCTTTAGAAACCAGAATTAACAGAGCTATCTCTCCTGCTCTTGCTCTTCTCAATACTTTTCAGCTCTCTGAGTCTCTGCAGAGCGAGATTCTTGACGTTTACTCTAAATTATCCACCTCGGAAAAGCCAAAGAAACGGCGAAAGCTCTTGCTTAGATACGTTGATTGTGTGGATAGGCTAAACGCAGCTATAAACGCAATTAGCCAAGATGGGGAACCGGTGATTCAGAAGCTACAAGAGGTAGTGGAGTTCTTGAGCAGGACTAAAGCAACGGATCAGTATAGGGCTCATAGGTTGAGAGAGGCTCTGGTTACGCTTAAGGCTCTTTTTGAGACTGAGGTTGATGCTATGAAATTTGATGGATTGCTTGATCAGGCTTTGCTCAATTTACAAGACCAGTATGAAGGTATGTTGCAGCAATTAAAGCACCAAAATATTGGCGAGTCAAATGGGGAAGATGAAGCTGATCGAATAGCCAATTCTGATCTGGGTACGGAGCAGGAGATTGAAGTTCTCAGTAGAATTTCAGAAACTCTAGCTGCTAACGATTGTTTGGATATATGCATTGATATCTTCGTCAAGGTATGATATAGATTCAAAGTTTTAATATATATAACCAAAAAATTGGCGAGTCAAATTGGGGAAGATGAAAGCTGATCGAATAAGCCCAATTCCCTTGATCCTTGGGTATACGGAGCAGGAGAATTGAGTTCTTCAGTAGAATTTCAGAAACTCCTAGCTGCTAACGATTGTTTGGATATATGCCATTGATATCTTCGTCAAGGTATGATATACGATTCAAAGTTTTAATATATATATTATATATATATATATATATATATTATATAATATATATATATATATATAATATTATATATTCTTTTCCCCTTTAATATTGCATCCATCCATTATATTATTTGCTTAAAATAAGTAAGTAATATATATATTCTTTTCCCCTTTAATATTGCATCCACCATTATATTATTTGCTTAAAATAGTAAGTAAAACAATTTTAAAATTGGTCTAGTAGCTATCTGGTCAATAGTACAGAAGATTTTAAGAATTCAAAACCTATTAGTTGAATTCTCAGGAGATTAGTGTGGAGTGGGAAAGGTAAAGTAGCAATAAGAGTGCTATTGAGATATATGATAAAAAAAAATATATAGCTAGTATTATATATGCTTGTTCTTGTTCAATAGGTAAGATAAAGTAGCAATAAGAGTGCTATTGAGATATATGCTAAAAAAAATATATAGCTAGTATTATATATGCTTGTTCTTGTTCAATAGGTAAGATATAGAAGAGCAGCAAAAGCGTTAATGCGGCTGAACCCAGATTATTTGAGAAAATACGCACCTGAAGAAATAGACGAAATGGAGTGGGAAAATTTAGAGACATCCATAAGCCTTTGGATCCAACACTTTCAACTTGCAGTTAAATCAGTTTTTCAATCTGAAAAGAAACTCAGCAACCAAATTCTTGGAGGAGTGATGGAGGGAGCTGTCTGGTTAGAATGTTTTATCAAGATTGCAGACAAAATCATGGCAGTCTTTTTTCGATTTGGAGAAGGCGTTGCAAGGAGCAGTAAAGAGCCCCAAAAGCTTTTCAAGCTTCTTGACATGTTCGACTCTTTAGAAAAGCTTAAAACAGAATTCTCAGAAATCTTTGAAGGTGAAGCTGGAGCTGATTTTTGTGCAAGATTTAGAGAGCTAGAAAAACTTCTTGTTCACGCTTCAAGCAAAGTCTTTTGGGAGTTTGGCCTCAAAATTGAAGGAAATTCCGATGGTTTACCTCCAGCAGAAGACGGTTCAGTCCCGAAACTTGTGAGATATGCCATTAATTATCTCAAGTACTTGGCCACTGAAAATTACAGTACATCTATGGCTAAAGTTCTTCGCACAGAACATATATGGAAAGTTGGCATCTTATCAAAACCCGAAACGGATGAAAATTTGCTCAAAGATGCCATTATCAATATCATGGAAGCAATTAAAAGAAACATCGAGTCAAAAAGATCGCGTTACCAAGACAAAATTTTGCCTCACTTATTTGCTATGAACATATATTGGTATATTTACATGAGAACAAGAAACACGGAGCTTGGGAAGCTATTAGGAGAGCAATACATGAAAAACAAGTATAAAGTTGTTGCAGAGGAATCAGCTTACATGTATCAAAAGCAAGCTTGGGGAGGTCTTGTAAGATTACTGGAAATAAAGGAAGATATAAATATACAGAACAGAATTATCAATGAGAATATTGCAAATTCTGTCAGAGGAAAAATGGAGTCTTTCTTGAAGGGTTTTGAAGAGATTGTACAAAGGCATAAAGGGTCTATTTATATAATTTCTGATGATGATTTGAGAGAGCAGATTGGAGATGCGACTGTCAAGTTAATTGTTCCTGCTTATACAAAGTTCTTGAACAAGTATGCAAGTGTTTTGGAATTGGAATACGTTGATGAATCATGCGTTAGTCCTGAGATTATAAAGCGGTTGTTGGGACAAATTTTTTTCTACGGTGGTGATTGGATTAGTCATGGGAAGTTTAAGCGTAGGGATTCAAAGGATCGAACATCTGGAGCGAGCTCGGTGTCTGCTGGTTAATTATTTGGAATTTCTTCTACCATGATCTCTGGCCATAATGTATTGTAAACGACTGAAATTACTTATAAACGACAAGTTTTTATTTAAATATGAATTCAAAACAGCTTGTGTGGAAAAGTAAATCCAACTTATTAGAAAGTTCAATTATTAAGGGAAATTATTACTCATTTCGTCTGAAAAAATAGGTTTATTTTTATTTTATACATTTTGAAAAATAATTAATATCATTCAAATTATAAATTTAATTAAATAATTCATAAAAAATTATCGGTTTTATTAATTATTAATGAATTTAATCAGTTACTCTATAAAAATAAAATTTATCGGGCATGGGCTACCTAGGCCGTCATCTAATCACAGAAACACTGGGCCGAAGTAATAGGTTGCAGCTGACTGTTGTTGAGTGTTCTAGATTAACTAGGAAAAAAAGGTCCTGAAATTACGTACGTGTCCCCAACGCGACAACGTAACACCTGCAGTCCATACTTTGAAGCTTGTACGGCTTTAATCTTAACATTTCCTCTTCTGCAGGTCATTGGTTTTGCTGAACACAACAGAATAATTCCCTCTTCTCTAAGAATCTGCCATTTTCTAAGTTTTCCTTTATTTAACTCTATTTTCTCTACAATCAAACAGAAAAAAAAAAATTGCAATATTTTCCCAGAAAATCTGTAAGCCTCATGGCTGAAACGAATCCCTGTTCCTTCGCTGATTTCCCCGAAGATGTCCAGCTCTGCATCCTCTCGTTCCTTTCCCCAACCGAGATCGCCAATTTCGCCTGCACATCGAGGCGGTTCTCTCCACTTTGCCAAAACGACAGCAAACTCTGGTTCTCAATGTGTGATAGGCGATGGGGCTCAAAGACCCAAATCAAGAAATGGGGTAATGGGAAAGTCTCATACAAGGTCCTTTACAAAACTCTCAATAAATGGGAGAATCTGATTGGTTTCTGGCGCCGATGCGGTCAAAGTCAACAGAAGCAAACCGCCGGAGTGAATCCTCCGGCGTTAGTTTTCTTTGAGTGGGGCCCTTCTTTTCTTTCTGGCTCTAGAGTCTCTCCGTCCCAAAATGGTACGTATTGTGTGATAAAAATGCCGTTTCTTTGGCTTAGCATATCGCCAGAAGGTCAAATTGTTAATTACATTGATCCTGATGGGCATAATAATAGGCAATCTGGTGAATCGGGACTATTGGAGATGGACTTAATTCCGGTTAATGTTAACTTTATTGGGGATATGCATTTTAGCGTGGAGGAGAATGTGAATTTTGCTTATTCAAGGAGTTCAAATGGGACAAATTTGCAAGGAGATTGTGCTGAGGATGTGAGTGCTGGGTTAGAAAGTGGGTCTCCGGGGAGCTTACCGGAAACTTCAGAGATGTATCAGTATTATGCGAATAGGATGAGATTGAGTCCTGGGGCAGATAGGGCATGGAGGAGGCAGAGGAGGAGAGAGAAGGAGAAGCAGGGAAGGAGAAAGTGGGAGACAGAACATTTCTTGAAGATTGTTGATTCCTCGCCTACTCCATCTCGGCCTTTGCAAGGGTTGTGGAAGGTGTGTGATTGTTCTGTTTCTAGTAGGTATTTGCTTGCTTGTAGTGTTTTTTGATTGAAAACTCCGACACTTCGTTTGTGGAAATATAAATTGCATTCTTTTGTTGCACAATGGAAAGGTTCTGTTACCTTGTTCTTTGAGAAAATGAGTTATTGAGGCTAAATTTTTACCTTTATCACAGTCATTGACATTTGGTTGGCTTCCTATGTTTATACATCGATTATTGGCTACAGTTTATGTTCAATTGGACATTCGAACTGACAAGAAAGGAAGTGCCACAACTAGCTAGTCTAAAGCATCAGTTACTTCTGTAACTGTTATCTAATAAAGGACAAACCCATTATGCTCAAGTAAATCAATTGATATTATAACATGCATTTGGAAGAACTTAGGATTAGTGATCATTGTTTCAGCTTGAGCACTGCTTTTGAATCGGGAGACTCGATCAAATTTGTGTTGAAGCTAGTTAGCCAATTTGGATTTTGCCACAGGATTTTCTAGTTTTATCATAACCAGTGGTTTTCTTTCTTTTCTTTGCTTCATTTGGTTCATGGAATATCAATTGGAAAATGATGATAGAGGAACAGATATTTTTGTCGTAGCTCACTTCACTCTCTCTCCTGCCTCTTACTACAGGGAATTCTCGATGACATGAAGTTGGAATTTTATCTTGTAGCATATGATGGAGTTGGCATCTCTTGCCGAAGAGTTGGGGATTTGTCTGAACGGCTTTCTAGTTGTACACCAGTGTTTTGGACATCAAATCCTGCATTTATAGAATCTCCATTTTCACTTGAAGAAGATTATCTATACAATAGTCGCATACATCTTCAGCCACCTGCAACATCAAAGGACATACATATGCAATGCGCTTTGATAGACAACGAGGTGGTTTGTCGCATTATGCACATCAACTCGAGTTATGATTTAGTGATCCCAGGCTTGGCAGGAACATCCGCGAATCCTTGGCGTGTTGAGGGAAGGATTTGGCAATATAGTGATGGGACATTTGGATTTGGGTTTCTTCGAGACAATTATATAGTAGACCTGAGGCATATTGCCCACAATGGTTGTCTCCTTGATACAATGGAGATTGATAATTGATTAATGTACTTTCAAGAAGTCTTCTTTTTACAATTAGAGTCATAGCTCATTTCCATAATGCTCTACGGCGTTGTGTACCATATCTGTTGTAGAAATAATAAATGTTAAACGATATTCACTGTTAATTGTCCACCTTGGTTCTTCCTTAACTTTGTATGCAATGCACAATACCATGGAGAGTTTTAGTGCCAAAAAGCCTGCAGAATGATTTATCCACCCTGGTTACAATAGATTTAGTTTGCTGTTTCAGATGCTTGCCATTTTGTTACAGTTTTATAGCTGAAATTAAGTTTTATTGGACTTTGGAATATGCTTCGATAGTATTTATGAACTATTTGAGTGTATGGCGTTTGGTTAATCCTAGTTTAAAAAGTCATGTCGTTCTTTAGACGCTTAAATTGTTTAACAGTCTGTTTCTGCCCTTCCAACCCTGCAATTGGAAGCAAAGTCCATTAAATTTACGGTTTTAGAAGGAAGAAAATTGAGCAAAGAAGCCAATATTGCGGAAATTGTAATTGTACCAGGATAATGCTGAAATGGTTTATTGGGCTGTACGCTGAAATGCATCTTCTCACTCTTCAAATATTCAAGATTTTTTGCATAGCCAAAGTTTCAAAAAGCAAAAACCAGTTGTAAGTAAAAGACAGTAATGCTTGTCATCATCACCATCTACTCAAAGTGGATAAGAGTTGACAAATTACATCAATGGAGCTCAACATGCATATACTGAGAATCAAATAGGTCTTGGCATCTCACTCGAGCACCCACAGTTTAGAACAAAACCCAAATACAACAAACAAAATCCCACACACTTATCAATTAGATATATCAAGAATCTCTTGTACTTATAAGCACAAAGCCATTTGGACTGCAGGGAAAAGCAAACCATGAAGGGTCTCAACAACAGGGTAAAGGAGGTATTGAATCATTTGGTGGATTATGATTCAGCAGCAGCTTCTCTTCCATTAGCTTTCTCATTCACGCTATCCTTCTCATTATCACCTTCAAGTTGGCTTAAGTTTCCCTTTTCCTTAATGAGTTGGTTGTGGTGGTGTTTGCAGTAGAGTCGACCCTCATGTGCAATGTAGTTGGATGGGCTGATTACACACCCTCCATGGATGCATTTGAAGCAGCTCTTGTGGTAAGGAGTTCCGTTCACCGTAACCTTTTAATAGACAGAACATTTTCTGTGTCAAGCTTTTTGTTTTTTGCTTTCTTAAATGTAGATGGCATGATCTTTGGAATTTGTGGTAATCTTTACCTTTTCAGTTGGATAGACAGTGTTCTTACAGCCAAAACATTTCTCCCTGGTTCCACCAAACATGCTCGAGACTTTAGCAGCACTAGGTTTCTGTTCAAAGCAATTCATAAACAGGAATATTGAAAGCTATTTTATTTGGTAGCCATTGTAGCACATAATTAAGCATCTAAATTTCATAATTACCTCACCATCAGCTGGTTTATCGGGTTTTACAATTTTTGGTGTTCCTGCAGAAAATATTCAAATGGAAGTAAATCAGTTTGACTCATGAAGGAAAATGAAAAAAAATGTGATTCATAGTTCTAGAAGAATATCTAATAGTTGATACCCTCAAAGCTTTTTTCTAGACTGCCAGTTCTCTTAAAGAGTTGATCAAAATGCGGTCTGCAATACAGTACCCCTTCAAAGGAATTGTAATTGCCCAGCTGCAAGTAGATTAATCTGTTAATAGAATTGCATATGAAAACTAAAACCTTGTAAAATTTCATACATTATCACTTTCATGAACAATTCTAATGCCTAACTTCTCATTCAAACATTTTTAAGGCAATCTCAATTCTTTAGTTGACCAGGAGCATCAATTCTTTTATAGCTCAAAGAAGGAAAGACTTAAATCTTCCTCAGCAGATATGAGCAGATTGTTGGATAAGTCCAGATTCATAGCAGATGAAACGAATCAGATTGCTTTTTCAAAGGTCAATCTTAGAATTCTGGAATAATTTACATCTACTGGAAAAAGGTATCCTGTTGCTTGAAGCTTATTGCATTATAGGATCTGATGAGGGGGGTCAGAACTCAGACGTACTAACAATAATTGAAATGTCCTCTCTTTCTGATTTTCTTTTTCTATAATTAATTTACATTGAAATGCCTTTTCTGTTTTGTAGTATTAAATTCTGCAGATAATAGTACGCAGCATAAATAAAGCTATAAATGGATCTAACAAGTTTTAGTTCTTGACTTTTCAAATTCCTTGTACAACCACAGAAAGAAAGGACTAATATACAGTACATACCTTGAGTGTTCCTTTGCAGTGATGGCACCGAAAGCAGGCCTTATGATAGATACGGTTATCGGCTGTTAACTTATCAACAAGATACACAGTCTTGTCACAGGCCATGCACTTCTGGGTTGTTCCTGCAAATGCCATGCCTTTAACTCTCACCTAGCGAATACTGCAAATATACTTTTTTCTATATTCTCACTCTCTCCCTTCTTTTTGCAGTACAGGAGGAGCTAATGGGAAGGAGAAGGAATTAGAAAGAGATAAGTGAAAGAGGGATGATATAGAGAAATGTGGACTGCAAGGGATTGAGGAGACCAAAGGCAGAGATTGTATAATTGAAGTTAGTGGCTACAGGTAATCATATTGTCCAACTTTGAAGCACCTAACTACCTTTTCTCCTGAGATATTTTATGCTTCCTGTTATGCAAATAGCTGTAAATAGATCAGTAATTTCCAGTTGGTGATCTGATAGTTTTTTTTTCTAAGATATGTTTATCCTTTTTCTGGTGAAATGTCTTGTCCACTAGTTTCTTTTATTGGGTTTGATTAATATGATTAATCGCGATTATCCTAACTCGTTAGGATCTTAATCTGCAAGTTTAAAATGTTTTACATGCATTATCCTATGTAATGGGAACCCACTGAGCTAACCTTTATTAGTATCCTTACTGTTATTATCATTATTAATAGCTGGCCTGGCCTATTTTCATCTCATTTTCTCTTGCAATATCTTGAGTATCATTGTCATAGAAATATGAGCCACACAAATAGTTCCACAGCAAGAATTTGAAAGTAAAAGGCGGGGACGTAATATCCATGTATGATATGATTTTTCCCATGGATATAAACACTACTATTACCTAAAGAAAGGGTTAAAGAGAGAGAGGGAGGGTGAAAAAGAGAGAGTAAAATTATACAGCAAGGAAAATCTTTGCTTTTGAGGGCTTGAGGAGGCCCCCAAGGATTTCAAATGCCCATCACTTCACCATCCAATACCCAGCTGGATTTGCTTGCATCTGAATTCTTTTTTTTTTTTTTTTTTTTTTGAAGGAAAGCCCACCAAAAGGAATTCAAATGCCACATCACTTCCCCCCAAAAAACCCATCCAAATACCCAGACTGGATTTGCTATGCATCTGGAATCTTTTCTTCTTTTTTTTTATTTTTTGCCTTATCATGATTATTGTCCTTCTTGAGTGGTAAGGCAGAGAGGCGGAATGTCGGTTAAAGTGTGAAAGGGCGAGAGGGTAGAAAATCATAGCAATAATGAGCATTTCAACATTTTTTTTTTTTTTTTTTTTTGCCTTACATGATATTGTCTTCTTGTGTAAGCAGAGAGGGGAATGTTTAAAGTGTAGCAAGGTAGAAATCATAGCATATGAGCATTTCAACATCTATGGGGTTAATCTTATTAGTAGTAATGGTTTTTTTTTTTCTTTTTTCATCAATCATGATTTAACTTTGGTAATAATACAGAAAATTCACTTTTATGATATTTGAGAGATGCGATTTAATCTCGATATAAATATGCTAACGATAAAAATTATCGCAAAGTAAAAGAAGAGTGTTTAATTACTAAAATATCACCTATTAATGTATTGGCAAGGTAAAATGGGCTAGGGTCATAAAATAGGGCCCAAACACTAAACTTTTGGGTCCAAAACAGTTAGCAAATGGAGTGGTGAGTGCGATCACATGCACTAATGATTCATGAATCATGATGATCCTCTTAAGCTCTGGGTCCTCTAAGCAGTGAAGATCATCCCGTCAATCCATCATTCCATGTGATACGCGTCAAAAGCACCATATGGCGTGTTTAATCATAATCTCTTAACTTAGGCCATGTGCAACAAATATTAAAAGGGAGAAATACCACTTCATCTAATCCATGGACCAGGTTGGCTTAGGGACACATGCTCAATTTTTAATTTTTAATTTTTAATTTTTTTTAATCTTTTGGTTATTTTTCATTAATATTGAGTCATTTAATTTTTATATTTATTAAATTAAATTTCTATTTAATTGAGGATTGAAGAGCGAATTATGTTGATATGAAGGCTTAATTAGAGTATTAAGCTTCAACTCCTGAATTATTACTTTATTAAAATTAAATCTTCATTCCATTTTTTACCATTTTTAACAATGGCATGATAACTTTTTGATGTTGCAAAAGAATTCTGAATTAAGTAATAAAATAATGACTTAATTATAAATTTAGTCTCTTCATTCTATGTTCTCGTCACTTAATGTTAAAAAATAGCTGAGTAAGAAGTGAAAGGCCTCCATGCGACGGATTTGACATGTCCAACGCGTTTAGGGTCAAACTTGATGGACAAAATTGCCCTTAGCGAAAGAAAATGCAACCTGGTCGATCAAATCCCTCTCATCGCAAATCAGAGAGAGAAACCCTTGCGTAGCCAGCGCACCCTAAACAGAATCGAAGCCACTCAATGGCAAAGCTGAAGCAATCAGAGCCACCATAAAATATGAAATGCTTTAGATTAATGCGTTTCTCCAATTTAGGATTTTATTAGAATTCACTGAAATAGAAATTTTTGAAGAATCAACGCCCAAAATTTATAATTAAGACTAAAATAATTAATTTGTAACTTTTTCCTTTCTTATTTGTCAAACCTTGAGCAGTTGAGCGTACTTCTCTTTTTTATCCAAATCCAGGAAAATTTTCAGTTTCCCTTCGACATGGGGGCTAGTCGGCCGCCGGCTACGTCAAGTTTCACTGCATGCATCTCCGCTGATTTTTGGAGCAAAAACGCAAATGTAGGTTTTAGATAAATGCTTGAAAACTCTGGAGTTAAATGATGAGTCTAAAAATTTTCCTAATTAAAAAGAAAAAATAGACGGAAATTACAATAACGCCCAAAGTTTATTTTATTAAGCCTACAGCCTGCTTATGCCGGAAACTTCTAAACCCCCCCCCCCCCACCTCTAAACCCCCCCCCCCTCCCCCCCCCCCCACAGCAGAGCAAACCCTAAGACTAGCGAGAAATTAATCCAAAACAAGCCATTACTCTTCTGAATTGAAGAAACGGTAAAAGATGAGTGATATTGGGCAAGTGGTGATAGTCCAACACTGGAAATCTGGAAATAAGCAACATATCCTGTAATGGCATGTCTCAGTTTCTTGGACTTACGGAAGGTAACTTCATGCTCGCTAATGTCTCTAATGTGATTATACACTGATAACAGCAGAGCAAAACCCCTAAACTAACGCGAAAATTAATCCAAACAAAGCCTCTCTTCTGAATTGAAGAAACGTAAAGATGGTGTTTGGGCAAGTGGTGATAGGTCCACCTGGATCTGGAAAAACAACATACTGTAATGGCATGTCTCAGTTTCTTGGACTTATCGGAAGGTAACTTCACTGCCCGCTAATGTGCTCAGTTGATTATAACTGATAATTGGAAATTTAACCGTTTTAATCCGATTCAGGAAGGTTGCAGTCATCAATTTGGATCCTGCAAATGATGCGTTGCCGTATCTTCTTAAATTGTTTTGCAATGTTGGTGATTTACAGTTTGGTTGGTTATACTAAAAATCGGTTAATTTGAAGTTTCCTTTACATGAATTTTTAGATATGACTGTGCTGTTAATATTGAAGATTTAATTAAATTAAGTGATGTAATGATGGAGCATTCTCTTGGTCCAAATGGAGGTGAGTTCGTTTCCCCTTTTTATCTTTCTTAACGTTGCTAGTATCCAATGGCTTATCACTATTATGTTAGTATGAATTTTCTAAAAGTTACTAAGAAAGCTCTATTTGCATGTGTATCTTGTTTCTAGGATCATAAAACTAGTTCAAATTCTGCAGTTTTATAAATTTAGTTCATGTAAGAACTAATTATTATTTATAAACATGCTCATTGAAGTTAGTGAACTATATATGATAATCCTGCATTTTCCAAACTATATTTTTCTTCTTGTTAAGCAGGGCTCGTGTATTGCATGGATTACTTAGAGAAGAATATCGATTGGTTGGAATCTAAATTGCAACCGCTGTTGAAAGGTTGGTAATTACGAGATACTTTTTGATGCTTTTTTACTTGTGCTTCCGCTCTATTTTGGTTGTACTGTTTTTTCAGTCTTGGAGCTTAGGAAAGCTGTAGGGCTTTGTTCCATTGTATTTTTTGTCTCTTCAAACCAATAAAAGATTATAGCTTTTCAAGATATTTCTTATGGTCCACACTGAAGGATAATGGGTACTTACAGCCTTCTTATAAGGTGTGGTAGTAGTCAGTGTTGCAGGTTGTCTAACTACTTTATATTACTTTGCAGATCACTACCTACTTTTTGATTTTCCTGGCCAGGTGGAATTATTTTTTCTTCATTCAAATGCCAAGAATGTTATAATGAAACTCATTCAGAAGTTGAACCTTAGGGTAAAATTACAGCCTTATTATTAATATTTTACCTCTTGAGTCCTCACTGTAACCTTGGACAGTTGAGGTGACTTTAGATTTTCGTTTCTGATGTTGTTGCTGAGGGTATGTTAATGGTTCCTTGTATAATGCAGCTGACTGCTGTGCATTTAGTTGATGCCCATCTCTGCAGTGATCCTGGGAAATATGTTAGTGCATTGCTCCTCTCATTATCAACTATGCTTCATCTGGAACTCCCACACATCAACGTCTTATCCAAGATCGATCTAATTGAGAGCTATGGAAAATTAGGTATCATTATTGTTTTCTCTTTCTTTTGTACATTGCATGGTCTATCAGATTTTAACAAAATGTTTTAAAGTGATACCTCGCTAATCACGTTTGTATTTGGATGTGTTGCAGCTTTTAACCTTGATTTCTATACAGACGTGCAAGACTTGTCATACTTGCAGCACCAGCTTGCACAGGATCCTCGGTCTGCTAAATACAGGTATTTATTAGTAAAATTAATAATATGAATTCTTCAGGCTTATACCTCTGGTGTGGTTGTGACCTCATTTTGGCTACTAAGGTCATGTGGCATTATCCAAAATAAATCAAGGATCAATTCCTTCACAGCTGAGATGTTTGTACATAATGCTCCATATGTATTGTCAATTTGTAGCATATAATAAGGAGAAAGAGAGTTTCAAATGCAGAATCATCTTCATGCAAATGTCTCGCTAGTATTAGGATTAGGACTAGGGTATGATTGATCCGATAGGCCCGTGTTTGTGCCTGAAGTTTATTGTTTAGACACTTTCCTCAAGTAATAAAGTTAATTATATTTTAAATTTTCTTTCTTAGGTGTAGAATATTTGTTCATTCTTTCCTATAATTTTATATTTTAACTGCTCACGATTGTCATTGCAGAAAGCTCACAAAGGAGCTTTGTGAGGTGATAGAGGATTACAGTCTCGTTGATTTTGCAACCTTAGATATCCAGGCATGAAACTTTCTATTTTTTTAAGTTTTATCAAATAAGTCTAGATGTATTCTTAGTTAAATGCTCCTTTTCAGGATAAAGAGAGTGTAGGAAATCTTGTGAAATTGATTGACAAGAGCAACGGGTACATTTTTTCTGGCATAGATGCCAGTGCAGTTGAATTCAGCAAGATAGCTGTTCGTCCGGTTGATTGGGATTATTACAGATATCCTTATTGTGTTTTAACTTTTTATCTTTTTTATCAGTTTGCCTGAAATGCAGAATATGACTTGACAAATTTCTCATTACTTGCATCAAGGCATACTTGCAACTCTTGCATACAACTCCTTTTTTGCTTGTTTTCAACTTCTTTCTGCAAAATGAGAAGGGACAATTTTTCATCAAATTACTTTGCTCAAAAAAAAAAAAAGAAAGAAAAAGAAAAAGAAAACATGACATGTTCACTTATGCATATAGTTGCGTGCATATGTTAAGAGTTATTAAAGATTTTTTCATATCTCATTTGGATGACATGAGCTGCTGTAATGTGTATTAGCACTTATAATTAATAGATTGGTACAATAGAGTCAAGAGTTTTCCTTAGCCAAGCTGTCCACAGTTGCAGCAGTGCAGGAGAAGTACATGAAAGATGATGAAAATGTTGATTGACAACTCAAACCGCATAAGGTGAGATGGTAGTGTGCCTTTGTTGCGCACATCTTTCCTCGTGCTCTCTCATGCTACTTAGCACTTTGCACATGCATATTTAATTCCTCAATCTCTTTTAGTTGCCTTTTGACTGTTTGTTCTTAAAAGATTGTTTTTCATCTTCTGATTTTTACAATAACTGGTTACCACTGGTTTTGTAGATTTACATGTAGAAGATACAGAGAACACCCATTAATGGGGTTGGCTCTTCTTCCCTCAGCCTGCCTTCTTGAGAGATATACTATATATGAAGTGAGAGCAGGGAACTCATCTTTCTGTTGATTTGTAAAGTGAAACAATTGGAGAATTCTGATTTTGTCAAGAAGGTTTATGTATTCCTTTTTGCCTAAAGATTATTTTAGGTGCTAACTTGCTAGTGTTCATCTTGTGATGAGGTTTTGGTGATAGAACTAAAAACTCGACACCCATGATTCGATCTAGTGCACGTGAATTTGGTTATATGTGTAAGATCTAATAGTATTTTCTCGCTTCACCTTTCCGGAGATGGCACGCATGACTTGGAAGCACACTTTTAGCTCAACATATATTAAGACTCCTGGGGCACCAATGTTGTTTTACAAATGCCCAAAGATGACTGCAGTCTGATTTTACTTGAATCGCTAGAGATTGTGATTTTGATTGCAGTAACATTTATGTGAAAGTAGTCTCGTCGATATTTCCCAAGCGTGCATTATTGCATCATGTAAGCAAGGTCAGTTGTGGTGGCGTGTAACTGAGAATCTGTCTTCTTCAACTTGGATGTAAGAAATTTCTAAGTCTAGAACATAGAAATTTTGAGTGGGCATGTGACAAATTTGGCAAGCAAAATCATAGCAATTTGACATGGATATATATACTGTTTGTTTACTGTGAAAATTTCTTGTCAAAGTCTTGATTCAATGGTTATGGTTTGGTTGCGTCATTGACTTGGAGCTTGCAGGTTTAAATACTCACAAGAACAGCCTTCTTAAAATATAGTAATTAGGAGGCTACATAATATATGTTTATATTTGAAATTAATAATAGAAAAATGTGTGATGTACTTGAATTTCTTCACTGCGATTATTTCTTTCGTTAATGATTGAAATTGTTTGATTTGATAAATTCTGCCGCCTCACTAATCAAACGTTCAAATTTTCCAAGGATTCAAATGTTTTCCATAGAGTTGATAAATTCTGGTAATTCAAACGTGTGGATTCCTTTCCCCTCAAGATTGGTGGACCTTTTCTTCTAGAGAAACAGCCGAGAAGAAACCTGTCTGGGCAAAAAATTTGTTTTGATAAGTTTGAACAGTCCAAGAGATCAGGATATCATATGCCACCTCTTTTTTTATTTTCTTATAAATCCCTTCTCTTTTACCTAATTTATATTACATAAAGATAACTATGAACGGGTTTGAAAATGGAAAAAACAATTAAAAACACAAATGATGGTAGATAGAATTTTTTTAATTGGATCTATTCTCATTTCAAGAAAGTTGTGAAAAAGATTTACAACTAAAACATGGCCCGCAGAAATAGATAAAAGCCCAGCACACTGTTATTCCCAGTGGCGTAGACTAATACTTTCTTTTTAACGTATTATTATTACACAGCTAATGTTAAAAAAAAAAAAAAAAAAAAAAAAAGAAAAGTTGTGAAAACAGATTTACAACATAAAATAACATGGCCCGCAGAAATAGATAAAATGCCCAGAACAACTGTATATTATCCAGTGGCGTAAGTACTAATACTTTCTTTTTAACGTATATTAATTACACAGCTAATGTAAAAAAAAAAAAAAAAAAAAAAAAAAAAAGAAAGAAAAGGTAATTTTTGATATACCCTTATCGTTTGGTCAGCACTTGCTTTAAAATGCTTTACATTAATAATATTTCAACATTCAGGGGCCATTTGTTTTCTGCTCTAAAAGATAATGACAAAATAGAAAGACTCCGGGAAGCCAAGTCCAAAGTTATAATGCAGTCAGCAATTAATATTAATACAGTCATGTATCCTCCAAGCGAAGAGTAACTGCCGCCCGGTTAATGAAAATTTCCGGCGTCAATGCAGCACCACTTATCCCTGTAATGACAAAATAAAAAAAATGGAGTAGAGATCAAATATGACATAGCGGCAAAAAAAAAAGTAATAAAAAAAAAAAAAAAAAAAAAAAAAAGAAAGAAGAAGGTAATTTTGACTATACTCCTTATCGTTTTGTCAGCACTTGCTTAATGCTTACATTAATAATATTTCACATTCAGGGGCCATTTGTTTTCTGCTCTAAGATAATACAAATAGAAAACTCCGGAAGCCAAGTCCAATTATAATTGCATCACAATTAATATTAATACATCATTATCTCCAGCAAAGATAACTGCCCCGGTTAATGAAAATTTTCCTCATCACCCATCTTATCCTGTGATGACAACATAAGAAAAAATGAGAGTAGGAGCAAATATTGACTACGGCAAAAAAAGAATTAAAAAATGTACCAAATAGATATTTCCCAACACGACAGTTGGTCTTATCTTTTGTTTTCTTTCATTTTTTCTTATTTTTTATCCGAAATTATACAAATAGCTGCATCGTTACCTCTAAGCTAAAACATCATTTTTTTTTTTTAATTTACGTAAGAGAAAAATAAATATTAGTCATTAAATAATTAATTCATGATTGATGTTCTTTGGTAAACATTTCTATCTTTAAGTTTTTGGATAAGTGTGCTTCTTTGACTTTGAGAGTGATTTTCGTTTCAATCTTATTATTATAATTTCAATCCTAAATCTTGAACTTATAAACTTGATTATATAGTAATTAAAACTTTAAACCAATAATCAATTGACAGTATGATATTTTTTAAAATGAAAAATTCATCTTCAAAATCCTGTTAACTTCTTATATTTCCATGGCTTTCATTACTCCACACTAATAGACATACACATTGCTATTTAGGGCTGAAGCAAGAAAAGAAAACTATCCCCAAATCCCTGATTAATAATAGCATATACCTAAAAGTTATATGGGCATGATGATGTAATTAAGCTTCAAATTTCCTCTTCTTGCCAACTAACCCTAATTAATATATATTAGGGATTTGGGATGGTCCATCTAGAAGATATGCTCACTAAAATATCAAAGCTTGCATAATCTTCTGTTTTAATTTTCACGAAATAGCCATCACCATTACTAATAATTCAAGCTTCCTTATCCAAGTAACCATAAAAAACTATATTATATAATATAATGTTAACCCTTCTCCAAGAACCTCAAGAAGTCAAACGACACCGTAAATTTACATAGAAGCTTCTATAAATTTTAAATTTAAATTTCTAATTGTGAATTTTTTAAAAACGTTTTGTTTGACTTGGGACAACTTGGATCTGGTCTTCTTTAGCCTGCCTTAAATAAATATATGTGGTCTCCCCTCTCTTTCCATTCCAAACTCAACAAGAATTAAAAACCGAATTCCTCTTGTACCAGAAAAACACTAGCTAGAGCTCGATTATCACATGAGAAATGTTGAATCCATTTATTTGTGGCAGTTTTCATAATCAACAAGAAGACGAATATGATAGCCCTTGTTCAACTCCAAGAAGATCAAGAAAGAGCAGCAAAGATAGCAAGAACCCGTATTCAACCCTCGGCCTCGATAAATTTTCTGCACTTCTAGCTGATCTTGAAAAGAAAAGGCAAAAGATTTATTCTCAGGTCGATCCTCAAGATATTTCGATTGTTCGCTTCGCGTTTTCCAGCTCCAACGATTGTGTTCCGATTGTAGTTAAGTTAAAAGATCCGAACAGGCACAGTTCTGATAAAGATGAAAGAAAAGATGATCCAAAGACAACGCATGTATTGGATAAATCAAGAACGACAGAAAACCAAGAAACAAAGCAACCAAGATTAGAAATAGAAAAGAATAAGACGACGGAGAAGAAGAGGATGCTGACATGGAACTTCAAGTTAAACAAATGGAGAAGACCTTATTATTATATGCCAGTGTTTATAATCTTGATTTTGTTGTTCTTGGCTTTCTTTGGAAGATCAGTAGCAATATTATGCACCTCTGTTGGATGGTATTTAGTTCCTACATTGAGTTCTTCATCAAGAAGAACAGCAACCAAGAATAATAATAAAAATAACAACAAGAAGCAACTCCTGAGAAGATTTAGTGAGATTTCTCCAAGAAGCCAGATGAACAATTCTGTTGTTGGGGATGTGAAGGATAAATCGAATCATGGGCGTCAAAATAGCTTTTGAAGATTGAATTCATTTTGTTTATCTTCTTCATCAAGTATACTTCTTTGTTCCTTTTCCCTTTTGGGTATTAGGATTCTTTTTGCTGCTTTCTTGTTAATAGATGTAAAAATTTTCTCTTGCTCTACACTAACATGTCCATATGGGGTTGAAAATTCAATCTCTTTGACGTGTTTTGTATTTTTTAGTATTAATCTCTCTGAAAAGTTGATAAATGTAAATTATGGTTGCATTAGATATAAATTAAGAGTGTCCATCTCATGTTTATAATTAATTAATTGTACTTGCTGCAAAATAAGGTTTTTATTTTTTGAGTTCTTTGAAATTTGAGTTGGATTCAAGGTTTGTGATTTGTTTTTTAAGTACAAGTTTTGATCTGATATCAATCCAAGCTAAAAACTAGAGATATCATGTTTGGTTTGGCTATTTATTTTTAATTTTTAATCCAAAGTATATTTTTAGCTTATAAATTAATTTAAAAATAAATAGTTAAATATTTGATAAAATCATATTTTACAAATTAATTTTTATGTAATTTTAGTATTTAATTAATAATAACTGCTTATAAACAACTCAATATATGCCTCAATTACTAAAAATTGTATATTAAAAAAATAAATAATCAAGGATTTGTCAAAAACCAAGATTTTTATTGGTATTTTCAAAACTTATTAAATTCTATCTATATACTCTGTAAATCTGAACCAAATATTTAATTTAGAAATGCTAACATGACATTCTATTTGTTTTTTTTTTTTTTCATTTTTAGGAACTTTTAAATTTTTTTTATATTGTAATTGAAGCAATTAATATTTTTAAAATTATCTAAAACAAATTAAAATAATCTAAAATAAATTAAACATTTTCTGTATGACATTGCAGTTTAATGATGACTTGTGTTATTGAAGAGGAAAAAGAGAAGAAGTATGTGCAACTTCTCACCCCCTTCGTCCTCATAATTCAGAAGTGTACATTAATTGTCGGGCTTCCAAACAATGTGCTAGAAGATCAGATTTTGGGGTTGAAAATTATTAAATGTGATGTGATTATCAACTAATAATAACTGAAAGTAAGTTAGTGTTATTTGAAAGTTCAATCAAACACTGTGAATTATAATCAAAGGATCATGCTAATGTTGCTTAATTAAGAAAACTCTTACGTATATATATCCAACTTGACCTTCTAGATAGCAGCTTCATAAATATATCCCAAGTCACATCCTCCGGTCTTTGCGACAGTAATTGAGGGCTGCATTCTATAACAAAAATGACATATTCATTGATTGAAGAAAAAGAATGAAATTATTCATTAATTGAAATAGAATAAAAATTAAATAGGAATTTTAATTTTATTTGTTGAGAAAAATAAAGTAATCCTAGCATTATTGAAATATGTTTGGAGATGTTTAATTTTAATACTTACAATAATAATCTATTTGATTGAGAAAAAAAAAATTTGTGAGATCTAGCATTATTAAAATTTTGATGACTAACCTTAAAAAAAATTAATCGACTTGAATTAATATACTAACCTTTAAAAAAAATTAAAATTGATAATCTCATTTTATTTGTAAAAGAGCAGTGCTAAATGTGAAACTAGAGACTCTGCATTTAGCGTTTTTCTTTTCAAATGAATACAGATGTACCCTAAAAGTCAGTTCACCACAATTATGTCAAGTTTCTAGGGTCAACAACTTTGTTATTTTGTTGTAAATTAGTTCTAATTCTTTGTAGATTTACATAGGTTTTTCCCTTTTGATTTAGACATTCTCGAGTCCATTTTTTGTCTATGAATAAATAATCCGGCAAGGGTTTAGTTACAGTTAAAATTCTTCATTTCTTCCTATAAGTGTGTTTATCGGGATCGAATTTAAGAGCTTTTTCCACATATACACCCTATGTTGTCAATTGAGCTACAATCTATAAGACTCCTTAGAGATGAGTTACGGTTTTATTAAGCGAAGTTAAATGTAAAATATTGCAAGCCAAATATTCAAATCTAGAACTTATCTCCAACGCAGTTCAAAGAAAGTTTTAAGTAATGGACGTGCAACGAGGGACATGGTATCTTCTGACTTAGAGATTTTTCCTGATTTGAAAAGATTGCAAAGCCAGAATCCCCTTGACCCGATAAATGAGGGTCAAAATAACTAGTTAAAGTTGTAAATAATGGGATCTAAAAATTTCATTCGCTTGAATTGTGTTGTCTATTCTATATTCCATAGCAGAGAATAGACAGAGAGGAGTGGAGTGCGCTTGAAAGCCATACATCAATGTTAGAGGAAGGGTAAGTCATTAATTTAATAGGTTATGGGCAAAGCTTTCCTGACGTGGCTTCCACATAAATTTAGGAATGGTCTCTATAAGCCAACTGTAAGAGGAACATTTATTTTGATTTAACGAACTAGTTACTATTATTTTGCTTCTAGAAATCTTTCCCACGCATGTTGCAGGCAACGTTGTGCATTTTTGTTCACGAAAGCAACCGATCTTGTAAGCCAGCAATGCTAACATGCTTGGGATCTTTACAGCAATCATAAAATATACTATAATAGGAGATGAGAATGCACTTATCATTCATAAGTAGTTTCCTATACGGAATTTTCTACATCCCATGTTCATCATTATCCATTGAGTAGGTCTTAACCAATTTTAAATCTAAACCCAGAGCTTCAGTCAATTATTTATGAACAAGTTAATCCGAATTGCTTACCTCCTTAACTCATAAGTTACAATTTTTTTTCACTGCTCATTTATTCGGTAATATTAATTATTTTAGTAATTATTAATTTTTAGCTGATAGCTATTTATATAGCATTTAAATTAAAAGTGTTCGGTAAAAAGTAACTATTTAATTTAAAATGACAAAAAAATATTAGCAATTGAATTAATTGAATACAGAGGAAAAGAACAATAAATGTGATTATCAAAAAAATTTTAGTTAAAAGCTAAACGTATAGTAAAAAGTTCTCTCGACGTTTAAAAACTATAATAAAAATTATATTATTAAACATTATAATTAATAAAAATAAAATTTTGACTTGACGCTAAAAGCGGGAGCCAAAGGGGGCCTTAATAATAAGTTAAGAAAAAATAAAATATTTTTGATTTAAAAATATTCAGATGCTTCGTAAATCACAATGCTACGTTTGCTTTTTCAAAGAAAAAGAACATCCCTAGTCAAGATTTGAAAAACAAATGCCGGACAGACTTAGAAGTTAAAGAGTGAGTTTTCGGGCCTTCACAATTTCCAATGCAACTATGAACAGAAATTCAGGGAAAGACAAATCATTAGTTTCCAAGAAACAACAAGTGTACATAATTACCAATGTAACAATCGAATGCCTTACAGCTTGGTGCATCCTCATCATATAATACAACTTGTAGAAGCTTCCATTGCTATCAGCTTTGAGCCCTTTTGAAAAAAAAAAAATGCTAAATGGACAATAAATCGAGTCATTTTCAATGTGTGAACTATTGTACAGCATAATGGGCTCAGCTCTTGCGTCGCTCTTTACAGGTTAATTCTAGAAGGAAAAAGAACTTCCACGGTTGGTTGGTTGGTTGGTTGGTTGTGGAAGCAGGAAGAATTGGCTCCTTCTTGTTCTTAAAGTCCAACCTGAAGAAAAAATTTTCTACAAGTTCATCGCAATTCCTATTCCTGCATTTCAACAAAAAGAATACGTTTTCAGCCCGAGATAGATTTTTAATAAGCTGTTGATCTCCAAGTGTCTATTCCCGTGCCAAAAATAAGGTGGGACCAACTCTATGAAATTATCCATCTAGCGATTGAAATAAGTACTGACTAGGCTTGGTTAAGGTTGGGCAGGTTTTGAGCCTAAGGCAATTACCCTTGCCCCAAACCCCGCAGGGTAGACCCTTGAACCCATGATCATGCATAAATCTGATGCAAGTTGATTTCAGCATTTAGCCAATGCAGCTATCTATACTGTTAAGGAAAAGGCGTAAATAACTAAGAAAGCATCTAGAGCATCATATACTTTTTTTTAATATCTTGTTTTCTAACCTTGAATCTCTTCCGACGTGTATCATCAGAAGTGAACCGAGGAGTGTATCGTTCATGTCTAGGGGCTTCATTTTGGTAGTGTCCTCCTGCCACTGTTGGCATTCTGTAACTTCTTTCTTTTGCTTCATTATTTGAATCTCGGAAGTAGTTATCTTTGGCCCAGATGACCTCATAATCAGCCTTCAATCGAGATCCTTGCTGCTCAAAAAAGAAAGCAATATCATTCATCACCAACAACATTGACCAATTGAAATCTCATGCATGCAATGCCTGATTTTTTACTGAGCTAACTAGCAAAGTTGCTCATTTAAAATGGTGCCTTTAATATCATCATGCCACATAACAGAAACAATTCAACTCAATTTGATGGGAAGCTTGAAAACAGTTATCATTAACATGATCTAGAAGATAACAAATGAAAGTCTATGAAGAGAGGATCAAATATTGGACACTTATTTCAAGGACAGGGCACAGAAAGGCATCATATGTATGAAACACAAATTGAATATGCAACTCATGCTGCAAAATATTTGCATGTGTCACACTCAAATGTCAATGCTCATCTAGAAAAGCTTCCATACAAAACATACACAGTTCCACACACATAAAACAGATATGGTTATTCTCTCTCTCTCTCTCTCTCTCTCTCTCAAAAGCCACAACACTCATTCAACATTATAAAAATAGCATACAGAGAAATCAAGTTCATACCTTCTGCAATGAACGTCCGCATAGGACTTTAAGAGCATTATAGAAGTCTCTGTGTTTTTCAAACTGAACCACAATTTTGCAGTGGAGTCCTGAAATTATGTCCACAGCATCCTCATCTACATCCTTACCATGGTCATCATCCTCAGTGACGTTAAGATTCCTATGGGATGTAAGTTAAAGTAACCAACAATGACAATGTAAAGACAGGTTTTGTCACTACATTGCAGAACTAATAAAACAATTATATTCATTCACAGCAAATGGGCAATGGTTACATGCCATAAGTTTATATTCATAGCTTTCATAGCTAAAAATTATGACATCAGCCATCGATCATAAACTAACCTTATGTCATTCTTTCTCCAAACTATTCTAATGCTACTCTTTCTCCAAACTAGTAAAAGTTACTAAACACTACAATTAATATAAATAGAGTTTTGACTTGGTCAAAATGCTAAAAGCTGAGGGTTATAACATTGTACATGATTTGATTTCTTATAAGGTACCCCTTCAAATTTCAAATAGTTTTTGAAGATAAAATCCTTCATTACTTCATAACCTGAGTTGAGTTAATACATAGACCCAATTTTGTTATTCGCTCTTATCTAAGCATATAAATCCCCATTCTTTTTCTTACAAAATCAATGAGAAGAATAAATAGCAATTCTAATGAATTGCTTTTAACCAACATATTTAATACTCCTATGGACTAGACTGGTTTTGCATTTAACCACCTAACATGCTTGTGATAATCCATTTTAATTCTAAAAATAATGAGTCCTAAAGTATATAAGTCCTTCATAAACCAAGAAAAAGTAATATAACACAAATTTCCAAATTTAAAACGCATCCAAAGCTACAAATATCCACTTCTCTATAACATTGACAAAGCAAAGTCAACGAAGTAAACTCCGAAACCAGTGTTGTCACCAGGCATTCGCCTAGGTGCTAAGTCGAGGCGAGGCAAGCCGAGGGATAGGCTGGCATACCTTCAGGCGACATGATATTAAATAGGCATTGCCTACGCACCAAGGCGCAGCAAGGTCCAGGCAAGTGCCTCAAATAGAAATTGCAATTTTCCATATAGATATTAAAATCTTAGGTTAACATTTAATAGAAATATAAATATGGATGAAAGAAAAAATCTAAAAGCAGCTGGATTATAGAAAGTTTGACATCCATTTAATAATTAGGTCAAAATTTAACACAAACACGGAAAAAAAAGGCTGAAAATTAGAAATTTTGACAGCCATTAAATAAAAAGATCAAAATCTAATCTAACCATTAAAAATAAGTTAACAAATGCGAAAAAAAAGTTGCTTCAAATTGGGAAACTTGACAATCAATCAAAGAATTAGGTGAATACAATCTAATAAAAAGAAAAGGAAAGCACGTAGGATTTCTGCTATATGAAAAAGACACAGCAGAACTCAGCATGAAGAAGAAAAATTCTAAATGCATGATATAGTTTTGAACTTCTGATTTCTTTAACAATACATCTAGAATTTTAAATTATCTAACGCCTTTTGGACCAATAGAGAATTCTAAATTTTGACTAATCTATAATTTTTAATCCTCACATCACTCAGGCGAATCCCTTGAGTGGCGCCTAGCACCTTGGGCAACGGAGGACCTTGTTGCCTCAAGGGCGCCCAGGGCTTTTGACAATAATGCTCCACATTGCTGGTAGATAGCATTGTTCGGAAGGTCATTCAGTAAACCAGACGTAATTGAGTCACTAAAAACTTTACATTAAACACACCAGAGAAAATATTAATCTTAATGACTTAATGTAAATCATAATATCATCACAGCAGAAGATACTGATAAAAGCAATTACCTTATCTTCCCAAATGATGAAAAAATGGTATGTGTAACTAACATCGAAGGCTTCGAAGACACTCTAGGCTCAGCAAACCACCGGGAAGGAACTCCTCTCACTATAATCGTGTCCGGCTCTTTCCTCCCTCCTCTAGAATGCCCTGACAAACCAACACAAAACAATCACTTAGAAGACAATAAAACACAGAATTCACAGTTCAAAAACAAGTTTACAAACCTCGATTTCCAAAAGCGTAAAACTCCTCCCAAGCTTTCTTCATTCCCTCAAAGTCATCAGACTCCGGTATAGCAACACTGAGTTTGTATTTATATCCTTCAAGGTTGAGCTCTATCCCATCCATTTTTTCAACAATATACTTTCTCCATTCAAGAAACTTTTTCTCCATAAACTTCAAATCTTGAATTTTCTCTTTTTCACTATTGAGGAACCCTAGGTCCCGAATACAGAGAGTACCATGAGCCACTGAATCATCGCGTTTTCGTTTCTTGAGGTCTTTATACCGTTTGATTACTAGATCCTCTTCAGGAACGGTGATGGAAATGGAGAGTGAATTCTTTAGGAAGTCCATGAGCGCATGCTTTAACTTCCACTCGTCGATTGGCTTAGTGGCAGAAGAAGAGAGTGAAGGGTAGATTGTGAGATTCAGCTTCACGCGGGGGACTAGAGACAGACCGTTCTCAATTTCTAGGGTTTCCGTTGGCGGGAGCGAGTCTAACGGTCGAATAGTCATAGCTTCACTCTGTGTTTCTCTTTCCGTTTTCGATTTCTGTAGCTCTCAAAATTTTTAGCTTCATTTCTTTTTCAGAGGACCGGACGTGCGCCTTTAGCATTTGTGGAGCGTCGACTAGCAAACGATGTCGTTTAATAAATTTCAAAAATAATAATAAGGAAAGACGATCCCGTGTTTATGACGTGGCATTGGATAACACGTATTAAACTGTTAATATCCATTAAGGCACAATCCATCTGTAAATTGCCTCTCAAACCTTAACATAAGTACAACCGAGTCAAAATTTAACCGTGAAAACAGAGAGGGAACAGATTGAGGAGCGATGGGGCTATCCTGCTTCGCTTGCTTCGACGGAGGCAGTAAACAACAGAGACGGGAAGAGGACAGATTGGCTTCTGCGGAAGCTCGTGCCAAAGCGGCCGAAGCCGCACAGAAACGGTAACGTTTCCTCTGGTTATTTCAATTAATCTTCTTAGTTGATAGTTCATAATCTTTTTTTCAAGTCTAATCCCGAAAGCATCGATTTAGTACATTTCGAAAGAAAAAGATGGATTCTTTGTTTTTCGTTTTATTTCTTGTAGTTCAGTATCCAGGATATTCTGAAATACAATTCTATTTTCCAGCCGTCTTTTTATTTATTTGTACTTAACACCATTCTTGATCCTTTCAATGAACAGTGAATTTTACAAATTTATTGAAATAGTTGTTTGTTTGATGATCGAAAATGTTCCTGGGGTTTTCATACTGAACTAGCTTTATTTAATTGTCTGGTAAATTTTGGTAAAGATATGGATTTGCCTTGTATGATTTTGACATGGGAGAAAACATAATAGCAATGTTATTGTCATGTTGCGATAGCTAAGATTCAGATTCAGCCAATCTTGTAACTTTATATTATTGTGATCAGAAGATTTGAGTGCTAATTTTGGTGGAATTGAGTCAGTTACTTCGTGCAAAGGATATCCATACTTTATACCTGTTTATTTTAGGGCATTGCATCCATGATAGTTGACACATGTAGTTAGCAGTTAAATATTTGATCCAGACTCCAGGGAGATAAAGCGCCTTTTGACAATATCGTAATGGCATTCTTACTAGGAATTGAGATATCAAAGAGCAATTTGGATGCCCTTGGATCAGTTTCCTAAGTATTGTGATTTTATTCGCAGGCAAGAGGAATTTGAAAAATCTGCTGCAGGCAGAGCGGCACGTGCACAATTGCAAGGGATGGCAAAACAATCTGCAAATTCTAATAAAGGCGAACCAGTTCTAAAGGTCCTTTTTTTTCCCTCAATAACCCCCCAAACTGAGAGGAAAATAAAACCAGCTTCTTGGTACTGATAAATGTATTTCTGGTGTAACTGCATCTAAATTTTGAAATATTTTGACTGGATTCAATCTCTTTGATGGAGGACTATAATGATACCTACTTTATAATGTATCTCGTACCGTCTGGCCAAATGTCATACTGGCCATTGATGTGGAAACTTTATTTGGGTTCTTAGCCTGCTATTTTTGTTAGAGAGAACCTGAAAATTTGACTCTTGTTGGTTGGTGTGTTATGCAGTGGCAGATGGGTGGAGGTTAAGCTTGTTGACCGCGCAACTGCAGGTTCTATTGTAAGTCTATCTTACAGAATTAAAGAACTGTTTTTCTGAATATTGCATGATATCTTCAACTGGAGACTATGTGCCACAACTGAATAGACTGAGTCTGAGTCAAGGAAAGCTGTGTAATTTGATTTCTCTAAAGAGAGTTGACTGGCGAAAATCAGATCCTGGCTCAGGGCTTAGACCGACTTCCTTATGGATAACTTGAAGCCTGTTCTTATAAATTAATGTAGTTCTGTTTTGTGTGGCATGCATTATTCATTTATAAGTCTTCGTTTAAGACATTTTATTATGACAATTATTAGGAGATGCTCCATGTACAAGGTATTAGATTTTAGCACTAACTCTTATTATGATTTTTGCTTTCCACTTCATGTCAAAGAAAATCCTTAATCAAGAAAGTTATTTTAGAATGTCCAGTTCCTTAAAATTCTTGATGCATATAATTTCCTAACAATTATTTTAATTAGTTACACTACAGAATGAATATTACTCTATATGGTTCAGGAAACTAACTTGTAATCTGTCTTTCCTGTCTTGCTGTATTTGTGAACTGTGATAGGATTCAACGATGCCAATGTCTTCCCTACCAGTTTCTCTCATCTTGAAAGCAAATTGTCAATGTCTTGCTCCATGAAAGCTGTAAATATGTCAGAGGACAGAAAAAATGTGGAATGGTCGAACCTTGTATAAAGGAAGATTCTAAAATGTTTGTTTTTCTCCTAGCGCTTGTATGATTTCATAACATGTCACAAAATCAATATATGAGGAATTTGACATTGCAACCCATTGTGAGGAGAGAAGATGCTAGGGCATCAATGCAGTACGTGCTAGTTAAAAATTGAAATTCTGGTATCTGGCTAACCCGAAAACATGGAAATAAGCTTACATTAGATATCAATTAGAGGATAAAAATTGGAAAAAATGAAAATTATTGGCTTTGAACCCAAGAAAATCACCTTTTCAGCAATGGGAGAAACAAAGTCAGTTGTTTACTTTCTTTTTTTTTTTTTTTTTTTTTCAAATAATGCATGACTATTTAATAATGAAAAAGAAAGAGATTTAGGATGCCAGAATGCTAATATACTAACAAATATGTATCTTGTATGTGTCAAACATGTACCTACAAAGAGAAAATGAAATAAAAGAAAATAAAAGGATGAAAATTGTTAAAAGGAAATAGTTGGTATCTTCTTTTTTTTGTTTTTTCTTTGTTCATGAGGACTGAAAAGAAAAAAGCTTAAGATTATTTTTTTTTTTTTTTTTTTTTGTTTGGATTGAAAAGAGAAAGAGCATAAGATTACATCAGGATGTTCGTAGGGTAAGATACCCCACAAATATCATGAAGAAGCATGCTAAGAATGCCTTGAGGAGGCCTGTCCCAAATATGGTTACCAATGCTTAATGTGGAAGCATGATGAGCCATCCAATCCGCACAAGCCTCACGATAAACATGTAAAACCTGAACCTGCCAGTCCCTAGCCAACAACTCCTTAATACTAAGAACCAGTTTTGCGAAATGGGAAGGAGGGGCCTGAGCTTGAGAGATGAGGAAACAAGCATGGGAATCGTCCACTTCCGCCACCAACTTCCTGATATCAGTGTCCCAGCCAATTGGAGACCCAAAAGAAGACCCCACAACTCAGCCATCAAAATAGAACAGCTCCCCAAATTGCAAGCAAACTTTCTGACACAAGTACCAGAGTTATCCCGAATCAAACCACCAGCTGACGCCCGACGTGACTGCATGGAGAAGGAACCGTCACTATTCAGTTTGAAACAGCCTGCTGCCGGCGTGTTCCAACCAATATTACACCAAGCTCGAACACCATCCGTCGGACTATGCAAATCAGACTTAGCTTCCACAATATCCTTAACAAACCTATACACCACAGCAGCTGGACTAGGCAAATCGTCATTTATTATAACCCTTGAAAGTGATTTTACTTTTTATTTTATTCACTAGAACTATCTTCAGGTTTAGCAACTTCAGAATTAGTACTTAACGAATGAGACAACTTGCCTATGTTTTAGATGAAAAAGAAATCTCCAACCTCTAGCGTCTTGGACGTGACGGGCCAGCTACGTTTCCATTTGGATCATTAGTTCGTCTCCATACCGTCATTCTTCCACTTTGATGTGATTAGTGATAGAAACTTCCTTAGTCATTGGTGTGAGCCTCATAAATCTTATCCAGCCACTCTCAAAAGATTCACATTCCAAGATTCCCAGGAAACAGAAGGATCAATATTTTCTCTAAGAAAGAGAGAAATGAATAATGATAATGTGAGAGCAGGTGAAGTGGAGTATAATTTAAATATGGAACAAGCAGAGCCTAATAGCGAGAGATACGAGAAACCATCAGAAGAAGAAGTAGAAAAACAAGGACAGTTATCAGTAGAGCAGATATTTGAGAGCCAACGAGTGCCATCATGGAGGGAGCAACTAACGTGGAGGGCTTTTGGGGTGAGCTTTGTTTTAAGTATATTATTCAGTTTTATAGTTATGAAGCTCAACCTTACAACAGGGATTATACCTTCACTCAATGTCTCTGCTGGTCTCTTGGGATTCTTCTTTGTGAGAACTTGGACAAAGATTCTTGAGACATCTGGTCTCCTGAAGCAGCCTTTTACAAGGCAAGAGAATACTGTCATTCAAACATGTGTTGTCGCCTCCTCTGGCATCGCCTTCAGTGGTATTACTCTTTTGCTTTATCTTTCTAATTTGGATTATCACATGAAAATAAGAAACTGTATTTTGAATATTTGTTGCTAATGAATAGGGGGTTTTGGGAGTTATCTATTTGGAATGAGTGGGATTGTTGCACAACAATCAACAGAAGATAATGGAACAGATATCAAAGACCCAAAATTAGGATGGATGATTGGGTTTCTCTTTGTTGTTAGCTTTCTTGGCCTCTTCTCTGTAGTGCCTTTGCGAAAGGTAAATCATATTCACTCTATTTCAGAAGATTTGACTCATTTTATTTATGTCTCTTATATAATTTCATTGGTTTCAGATTATGATCATAGATTTCAAGTTGACCTACCCAAGTGGTACTGCAACTGCTTATCTCATCAATAGCTTCCACACCCCTGAAGGAGCCAAACTGGCTAAGTAAGTCATTTTGGAGTGTCTCCTTGTTTTAATTAATTGTATAGTCACCTGAAAATTTTAGATTTATCTTACCAGTTCTTGTATTATTGTAGAAAACAAGTACGAGAGCTGGGCAAGTTCTTCTCCTTCAGCTTCTTGTGGGCTTTCTTTCAGTGGTTCTTCAAAGCCGAAGACGACTACTGTGGATTTTCCAACTTCCCTACATTTGGACTCAAAGCTAAAGAAAACATGTATATCTGTTGTTCTTTTTTGTTTTTTCTGTTCAAGAACTGTATAATTATCTTGACATTAATATACCTAACTCCTAAAAATTTGATTAAATTAAATATGCTTCAATGTCATTAATGAATCCCTCTACAGGTTTTACTTTGATTTCTCAGCAACCTACGTGGGAGTTGGAATGATTTGCCCATATGTCATAAACATATCAGTGCTACTTGGAGGAATTCTTTCTTGGGGTCTAATGTGGCCTCTAATTGATAGTAGGAAAGGTGATTGGTTTCCTGCGGATCTAAGCCCAAAAAGCTTAAGTGGCCTTCAGGGTTACAAGGTGAGTTTTTGATAACCACTACATATTGCTTGCTTCATGAAATTCATTTGAGATTTAAGTTTTTCTTTCTTTCTTTCTTTCTTTCTTTCTTTTTCAGGTGTTTATTGCTATTGCGTTGATTCTTGGTGATGGTCTATACAACTTCTGCAAGGTGTTAAGCCAAACTCTAGCAAGCTTGTATTTTCAATTCTATCCCAAAAGAAACAGACCAACAGATCTTCCAGTTGCAGATAGTCCACCTCTAAAGTTGCAAAAACTCTCTTACGATGACCAGCGGCGAACCCAACTCTTTCTCAAAGATCAAATTCCAACATGGTTTGCCATAACGGGTTATGTAACAATTGCTGCTATATCTGCAGCTGTTCTCCCACACATATTTACCCAGCTCAAATGGTACTACGTTATAGTCATCTATGTATTTGCACCAACCTTGGCTTTCTGTAATGCATATGGATGTGGACTAACAGACTGGTCCCTTGCATCCACTTACGGTCAACTTGCTATTTTCACCATTGGAGCGTGGGCTGGAGCCTCCCACGGTGGAGTTTTAGCAGGCTTAGCAGCTTGTGGTGTTATGATGAACATTGTGTCCACAGCTTCTGATCTAATGCAAGATTTCAAGACTGGGTACCTAACCCTGGCTTCACCTAGGTCTATGTTTGTAAGTCAAGTGATTGGCACTGCTATGGGTTGTGTAATTTCTCCTTCTGTCTTTTGGCTATTTGACAAGGCCTTTCATGACCTGGGTCTACCTCATAGTACCTATCCAGTCCCCAACGCTGTTGTGTACCGTGGAATGGCTATTCTAGGCGTAGACGGGTTTTCATCTCTACCGAAGAATTGTCTTTTGCTCTGTTACTGCTTTTTTGCTGCTGCAATTCTGATAAACATAATTAAGGATTTCTTGGGTAAGAAATGGGGAAGGTTTATTCCACTTCCAATGGCAATGGCTATACCATTTTATTTAGGACCATATTTTGCCATTGATATGTGTGTTGGCAGTTTGATTTTGTTTATTTGGGAAAAGATTAACAAGGCCAAGGCAGATGCTTTTGGACCAGCAGTAGCCTCTGGTTTAATTTGTGGAGATGGAATTTGGGTTTTGCCTAGTTCAATCTTGGCCCTTGCAGGGGTTAAAGCTCCTATTTGTATGAGGTTTTTCTCCAGATCAACAAATAATAGGATTGATAAGTTCTTAGGACTTTAGTAAATGAGGTTTAGTATATAAAAATATACTTGTAAAACAACTTTTCTCTGTATGTTGCACATTTCCTTCTTGTTTTCCGTTCTCTTAATGTTGTATATGGAGCATTTTAATGAAAATTGAATGGTGCTTAGCTTGAAGCCTGTAAATCGATACACAAATTTCCAATCAATGTTTTCAGCTGTCTCACTGTCTGTGAACGACCAGTAGTCCAATTGACGCACATGTTTAAGAATTGAGAAAGCACTGGTTTTTTTTTTTTTTTTTTTTTCTTGTGAAGCGACAGTAGTCCAATTGACGCACATGTTTAAGAATTTGAGAAAGCACTTGGTTTTTTTTTTTTTTTTTTTTTTTTCCTAAGTACTGGTTTTTTTAAAAGACGAACTGCGTGAAGAGCTGAAATCGTCGCGAAGTTTTTTTTTTTTTTTTTTTTTTCCTAAGGTACTGGTTTTTTAAAGACGACTGCGTGAAGAGCTGCTCGTCGCGAGTGACAATTCAACGATTTTAGCCGTCCTAGAACGACCTGTCGTGCAATTTGTGCACGAGTTTAATGGTACGTGCTGTATGTGGGTAAGTTGATCGAGGGTTAAAAATTAAAATGCGACGCTTTACTTAACAGGCCAGAGGAAAGATTTAAAATTCTCAAAATTTACCATCTGTACCACAGAAGAGAAGAAGATAATATATTATTTTTATTTTTTAAGTAAAAAAACGGAATATATTGTTTGTAGATATTATATTGGAATGCAATATTCCATTGCAATGAAAAATACAGAACAAATCTCAAACGATTTTGATATCAACAGAGGAACTCAACCCTACAGAAAGGTTGCTATACAACTTAATTAATCAAGGGAATCTATCGCTGAGATGGCGAGTGGAAATAAGCAAACAATGTCCAGCCTTCGCTACTCCTTTTTCTTGTTGATACTAACAGTTGAACTCAATGGCCATTTTGATGATTAAAGAAAAAACACATTTCGTGGAGATTCGTGTTTTAGGAGATTTACTGCCTAAAAATAATTGCAAAACCATTTTCATTCTAAGCTTTGTACGGGAGCCGAAAGCCTGAGCTCATATGCAGCTTGGAAAAAGTCTGCAGCTTGTTGTAGAGCTCCTTCCATTTTCGAGATTAAACCAAGATTCATCCATGCCTCATGATTTGTGGGGTCTAAGCGCAATGCATTCATTAAAAAGCTTCTTGCAATTGGAAATGACTGGCTTCCGAGCTTCATTAATACTCCTGCAGTTGAGACTATACTTGGAACATAGTCTGGTTCTATTGACAGTGCAACTGAGAAAGAAACAAGTGCTTCTTTGTATAGTGACTGTGCTTCAAAATACAATCCTGCAAAAAGAATTAAGGGTTTGATCAAGAAAATTGTTGTTATGACTTTTCTTATGGGAAAAGCAATAAATCTATTGAGCAGGCACATAAACCATATAAAGACAGCATTCCCACCTGTGGTATGCCAACTTCTGGGACAATGAAAATCCATTAATTTGGCTTTCTCCACACAAATTTTGGCATTGGACCAAGAACCAAGTTTTGTATAAATGGCGGCCAAATCTTGCCACACTGTCAATTCTAATTTTCTTTCTGCTAGTGCCTGCAAAGAGAGGAAAATTTTTTCAAAAATGCTGTCCTCACAATCAAATGCTGATTGGAACATGTTCACAAGTGCCTGTCAAGGTATGTCACAATAATGCATCATTGAACACGAAGATCAGTTTATGAAGGATTAAATTAATATATATATATATATATGTTCGCTCACTATTATTTGTTAGCTGTTTTTACATAAAAAAAAGTGCAGGTATCTGTATGTATAAATCATTACAATTTCAGACAACTCTTTCAACCATGGAGTTATACTCAAACATATGTCATGAGATGCTTAACCAAGAATGATGATAACAGCCATTGGTTGAGACATTTATATTTCTTATCTGTAACAAACTCATGTTTAAAGCTAATCACACAGCTATACATAAACATTAAAGATAATAGCAATAGCACACTTAATGAATACTCACCTCAGACTCAAACATATGTCCATGATCAGGGTTCTTGGCATTAAGATCTCTTTGTGCTTGAATAAGAGACAGCAATATTCTATATGTTTCTATTGCCTCCTTAGGCTGCTCCTGCGCGATTTGAAGTACAGCCTTCAATCTAAGAAGTTCAAACTGATCCATTCTCCCAGCCTCATCCAAAGCAAATTCAACAACTATTTCAGCATCCTTGAAACGATGCTGGGCAGAAACTATAAGAGCTAGTAGTTTCCAACCTTTCACTGAGTTACCAGCCATGGTTTCAGTATACAGAATAGCATTGTCAAAAGCGGCATCTAGATTCCTTTGCAGTGTGTTTTCAAGTGCAAGGCTATACATAACTTCTGGATCCTCCTGCCTATTGACCGCAGCATGGTTTAGAGAGTCCAAAGACTCTTTCTGAAGGTTAATTCTTTCAGAATCAGATAAGCAAATTCTTGCGGCATTGCCATAGCAAACACCGAGGAATTTATGGGCTTCAACCATGAAATGTTGATTTGGATTATTTTCCAAATTAATCAGTTTACGGGCAAAATTAATGCCTTCCTGAGCATGCTTGGGATCTTCAGAACACAGTTTTGCACCCAATAGATAGGAAGGGATATGAGGTTTGTGCTTTGATTCTGAAAACCCAGAAACTTTCTTTAAAAGGTTCAAAGCTGCTTCATTCTGGCCTGCAGCATTATAACAGAGAGCAAGAAAGTACCACCTCTCAGCTCGGTTGTAGACACCTGGAAGAGTCTGCTCCACATGCTCTGCCAATAACTCATACTGCCCAATAATTGAGAGGGCATAGGTCAGATGACTCATGATTTCTTCATCCCACTGGATTTCTCCATAAGCCACCTTATTCATGAGAACCAACAACAAAAGGATTGCTTCCTCTGTACTACTGCTGGGGGACCATGGACCCCATGCTTGTAAATGAGAGGGAAGTTTTGCTTCAACAGCACCGAAAAGTAAAATGGAAGCCAAGTCTTTTTGTACTCTAGCCAATCTATGTGGACCTAGATTCCATGGCTTGATTAGGGCCCGGCGATATGCAGTTATGGCTTCATCAAGCAAGCCTGCTTTTATCCACAGAATGGGTAGCAACTCCAATGCTTTGTGAAACATTTCCTCCAATTTGCAGTCTTCACCAATGCCTTCAGGCATACCATTAGGTAGTGCTGATTCAACTATGTCTAAAATAATAGTGCACTCCGTTGCAGCCTCTAACGAATAGAAATGAATATCAGAACCCTTTGGTCATTAATTTTTAATACAGAAACTTACTCAATACAAAAGAAGTGCAATCTCATTATAGGCTTACCAATTATTCAAGGTACAAACTAAAGTATATTTTATTTAAAAACAATCAGAACAAATTGAATAACTAAATTGTATAATTTTTCGGTCATGTTATTCACAGAAAGAACAAGGATATATTCGGAAAAATTAATGCAATTCAAAGAGTTATTTAGGACCTTAATATACTTCAATATGACATAATGCCTATCTTAGCTAGAAGGAGAGAAAAATTATTATACCTCTATAATGCCCGAGTTCCTCAAGTGATTTTGCTTTAAGTAAGATTGCTTCAAGTAGTAGACTCACTGAATGCATGGACATGATACTGGGAGGTGTAATATCACCTTTGGCACGTGGCTTTCTCTGCCGAGTTCTTTCAGCAATGGCCTTAATCATTTTAGGGGTTAAGCTTCTCGAGTCAATACCCTGGAATACCTGAAGGGCAGCTTCAAAGTTCCCTCTCTGGTATTCAAGCCTCCCCAGCAGTGCTCTAGCCTCCTATAACTCGTTAAGGCAAAAATAATTAAGTCAGACCACTAACTAATAAGATATAATAGAAAAAAGAGGCAATTAATCAACCCGACGGTTCAATTGGTAAAGTTACAAAAAAAATGATATCAACCCACCTCATAATTCAATGAGAGAGCTTCTTTGAGAGTGGATTCGGCTTCATCCACTTGAATATCCTCGAGTTTAGAATCCCAGTCTCCAGTAGTCCTAGATGAGAGACCGCTTGCCGAGAAATCCCTAGTGGCGAGTGACTCCGGCGACTGCGGTGGCTCTTCAAACTTAAATTGCTCACCTGAGCAAGCACACAACATCTTGTCCAAAACACACCAGCAGAAATTTGGATTTCTTTTGGTTTAATTCCCTACGAACCTTGAATTTTCATCTAGTACAAATGAAAATGGTTTTCCTCAGAAACCAACTGATTTACAGACGACAAAACACATTTAAGCTGGTCTAAATAAGATCAACAGGTTGTAGTCAATTGAATTCGTTATTGCAACCGTAAAAGGCACCGCATAACACATTAACAATTCCATTTTTAATGAATGATAATATAGTCTCAAAAAAAAAAAAAAAAAAAAAAAAACACCATTAACAATTCCATTTTTAATGAAATGATTAATATAGTCCTCAAAAAAAAAAAAAAAAACAAAAAAAGACTACAGCTACATAAAGGGTTTCAATTCTAGGCAGTTATGCAGATAAATAAAAAAAAAAAAAAAAAAAAAAAAAGACTACAGCTACATAAAGGGTTTCAAATTCTAGCAGTTATGCAGATAAATCGACTTCTTATGACGACCAGATACAGAACTTACTTTCGCCATACCATTTGGAAAAGGAGCCGTTAAAATGCCGTTCTAAATCGGCATATAACAATGGCAGTGATCCGTAGCAAACAACGGAGTCTTGTTAACAAACAGAACCCAAAATCCAGGGCACTTCAACTAAAAAAAAAACACAGAGAAGTTTAAAGAGAACAAATAAAAAACCGGAGGGACAAAGAGGAAGTTTTAAAAGAGACTAGTAAGAAGGAGACAAAATTTATATAAAACGAATAAAACAAATACTTGCAGGAGATGGAAAGGGCGAGACAAACAAGAGAACAAAGCATTGGACTAACCAAAAATCACAGAAGCCAGAGACATAATTTAGCAGCATCCATTTTTAAATCCTTGAAAGCTACTCCTCCGAAGAAGCTTCTCTTTCCTGGTATGTGTATTTTTTTATTGATATCAAAAGAAATAAAATTGGACAGGTGTTAGTGTGTTACTGGCTTGAGCCTTTCGTTTTATATAACTGACTCTACCATACAGTGAGTTTTGTCCATGTGTGGGTATGGGCCAAATGACCTATACTACACCTGGTTGGTTGCAGCAGGGATACAGGTGCTCATAGATTCTGTTTTTGGTTTGAATCTTGAATGGTGATGTTTAAATCCCAAAAATGCCCTTGGGTTGTCGAAGAGAGAGAAGGCTACTCTGCTACACTGTTTCCTTTTGAAATTTAGTTTACCAGAATCCAAAACTAACAAACAAGGAAGAAAATTTACAGTCATTTGTCAATTACTTACAGCTGTGAATGTGAGAAGTTTTTTTTTTCTTCAGCTGTTTTTTTTATTTATTTTTCTTCAAGTAATTTAAATTTATATGAAAACAGCAACTAGACAGATATTTCCAGTTTAAGGATTGAATCCTGCTTGTGCTGGCTCCGTTGGATTAAAAGTTAAAGCATTTTCAATGAATATTTACTATAAAGATCGAATTCTTTACATCCATTTACATCCGTTGTTCAACCACTCAGTTCCATCACTCACGAATAATTAATTATAATTTTCTAACAAAACTGCTACTACAGGCTGTTTCGATATTTCTCTCATTCACAAAATTTCTGTAATTTAAAATAAATAATTAAAAACTTCATTCTTAAATTTATAAATCATCCTTTATTTTTGAAAATTAAAAACTAAAATTGAAGGAAATTTTTGAATTCAAAATAGATATCAACAAAAAGTAAGGACATTTTTGGATGGAATCTGAGTCTCTTTTGTGCTTTGGCTGACTCACTCACTTGTACTGCTTTTTATTTGATTTTCTTCAACTGATAAATATAAAATTATTACTTTCATAAAGCACATGTCATCCTTGGCAAGGATTGACTAAGTAGAATTTATCTAATAAAAAATTCTCTATAATTGCATTGCATTGCATTATAATTTTTACAAGTTATCATCAGTAATAATGGTAGTTTGCATTGATTTGTCGAGATGGGTCTTCCGTGACAGATTCGGAAAAAATTAACAAGTTGACACTTTTTTTTATTTATTTTAATCTATTTAAATAATTTAATTTATAAAATTATATTTATTAAATTAAATATTTTAATTTGATAAACAATTGTGCATAAAGAAAGCATAATTTGGAGATGACCTTTTGGGATTTAATTTCAAAAAACACCCAAACGTCCTTGTTGCTCGAGAAGAATTGATGCGGAAAACCAAAGATCCATATTTTATGCAACGTGATTGGTGGAGTTCTAATACATGTTATAAATTTATAATTGTCTGAATTATCTTTTAATTAATACTAACCTCATTTCATACTACTTGTAACATCTGAAAAAATAGCTTGTTTTAAAATAGTTGTCACATTTGTGGTTTAAGAAGTAATAAATATTTTTTTTATAGATACACTTTGCATATGATCGATAATTATTATTTCAATTTAATGATTTTCTTAGTATTAAATTAGAGGTAATATAGTTAATTTATTTAATAATTTAATATAACTTAGACAAATTTAATGACTTTCTTAAGAAATTTAAAATTTTAAACATGTCAAGTATTATGAAATAGAGATGGTATAAAAATTTAAATAAGAGTAATATTAGAATAAAATAATTAATACTATTTTGATTTTCTAAAATATCATCTAGATGAAAAAAAATTAAAACTTTCAAATTTAACAAAATGAATAAAGTATATAATTTCGCGTATGAACTTTTCATAAAAAAAAAACTGACACTATTAATTTTTATTTTGATCTATTAAATACTTTAATCATCAATTTTAAAAATTAAACTTACTGAACACTTTAGCTTAGCTTAAACCATTGAATAAAATCAAATCAATTACATAATTATAATATAATTAAAAATATGTAAAAATTATTACCTTAATAACATGATATAAATAAATTGAAGAAGTGGCTTCCTAGGGAGCAAAAATCTAGGATGTGTTGTGTTTTTCTGACAAATAAAAATACTTTTTTTCTGCACGTGCTAAGCACTTTTTCTAATGATAAGCTTCGGGTAATTGAAATTATGAGGTAAGTAAGTTGAGGCAATTATACATACATGTAATTAAAGATGTTGAGTCCACAAAAGAACAAGCAGGTCACGTGCTTTCCTTTCACATTAAGATTCCAATACACTAATACAGAAAAGGCAGAAGCAGAGGCACTAGTGTTTTCTGAAATCTTTTATTGTCCTCTTCTGTATTTTTCATGCCTGAGTCTGACAAACCCTTTTGGTGCTGTACGCGCTCTTTACAGCTCTTTGCCTTTGATTGAGTACGTCCCAACCCACCCACCCACCCACCAAGTTATGTCACCTTCATTTGCCAATTTCTTGCCATACATCATTTTTTAGGTTAATACCCCTTTAATACTATTATTAATGTTTGACTTGTACATCCAACTTCCTTCTTAGCCCCACAAGACACGTACAAAGCATTATCATTGAGGCATTGACATTCTGTCTAATCATGGATGATTCTTATTCTAATTTCTGATTTATCAGCTTGAGAAGGGAAAAAAAAAAAGTTAAAAATCAATTAGTTTCAAACCAAATTAATTTTTAAAATAAAAATTTGGAGTCAAAATCAATAGGAATTGGATTCTGTACATTAAAATTGAGGAAAAAAAAAATAGAACTAACTAAAATCAATCGGTTTAATTTGGATCGATCTCAATTCTTAGTTTTATGATCAGAACTGTTGGTCGCGAGAATTAAACTTATTAGTTTCAAACTATAATCACATTTATTAACATTGTGATTTTACCCATTTGAATTTCAAAAATAAGACTATAGAGGAAAAATAAATCATGGGACCACGTTTCATTTTCTCTTCATTTTAAAAGGAAAGTTGGAGGAAAATGATCAAATTATAATTTTACCCCTATTTATTGTACTTTATTGAAAAAAAAAAGAATAAATTCATAATTTTACTATTCATAAAATCATTTTCCTTCCTTATTTCCCTCTCAAATATCCAAACATCAAAAGAAAAAAAATTCTTATATATTTTTCCTCTTTATTTTCCTTCCATATTTTCTTTCCTCCCTAAATTGTAATCCAAACAGACTATAACGGCTAAAGCTCTTGCCTCCCAACCAAATGCGAGTAGCAATTGAAATTGTTTTGGGCCAACATCAAGATCAACGGAGGCCCAATCTTTGACAGTGGCCCAGGCCTCAAAGTCGGTCCGATGTTTGTAATAATATCGTCTCATCGTTGCAATTTCATCCGTAATTTCCAGTAGCAAGAAACAAAAATCAAGCTGAAGCAGAAGCTGAAGAAGACGGAGCTATTTTGAATTGATCTCAGTCGCATCATATCGCATCCTCTTCTTGAGGCCAAAGATGCCTCGAAAATGTGGAGGGAAATTAGAGACAGAGAAGCGGGGAAAACCCGTCCTATTTCCTTCACGAACCGGGTTAAGTCCAACCGGATCGCTAATCTTCAACTCTCCAATTACAAAGACATCGTCTCTCCTCATAGAGGCTCCGTCAACTCTCTTCAGGTACATAAATTAAGTTTTTCAAATTAATTTTACTTAATCAATAGCGATAGGCGATGTTTTGATCATGAAATCAGGTTGATTTGACAGAGGGCCGTTATTTATTATCCGGTGCATCGGATGCATCAGCTGCTGTTTTTGATATTCAAAGGGCTGCGGATTATGAAGGAGGAGGTGTTATTGCTAAGCACAAGTCAATATTTGTTGTTGACAAGCGTCATGAAGCCGGACATAAATATTCCATTGCTTCAGCTATATGGTACCCTGTGGATACAGGGCTATTTGTCACGGGTTCCTATGATCATTATATAAAAGTTTGGGACACTAATTCCACTCAGGTATTTACTATGTACTCCCTTGATGGTTTTCCTGGTCGTTGCTTTGTGGTCTTTTTTTTTTTGTGCTTGAATTACAGTTATTGCTTTGGTATTTATTTTGACAATTATTTGTTTGTTTTTTGTATGTCTGGAAGGTGGTGATGCATTTTAAAATGCCTGGAAGAGTTTATAGAACTGCAATGTCTCCGTTGGCAACTTCTCATATGTTGATAGCTGCAGGAACTGAAGATGTTCAAGTTCGACTTTGTGATATTGCTTCCGGTGCATTTGCACATACACTTTCTGGTCACCGTGGTAAGCTAGTTTGCAATTAATAACTTGAAAAGGTAGAAACTTTACAGTTTAGATTAGTGTCCTGGCTCATAGATTGGAACATTGGTTTAGGTTGCTGTTTGGTTTGGGTTTCCACCTTCAATGTGTAATATGAGCAATACAATAGTCTTATTCTAAACTCTGTTTTATGAGTTAACTTCCATCAGGGGGATGATAAAGGGACATTGTGCTATTTCCTTGATGACAGCTAGTGTTATGTCAGTGGAATGGTCAACTTCAAGTGAGTGGATTTTGGTTACTGGAGGATTTGATGGTGCCATACGGTTTTGGGATATCAGACGTGCTGGGTGTTTTCGTGTTTTAAATCAGACTGAGTCTCAGCTTGGGAGACGCCCACCAATTCTTTCACGCTCCATCACAAATAAGGTCCAGTCTCTCTCTCTCTCTCTCTCTCTCTTCGTGTGTTTTAAATCAGACTGAGTCTCAAGCTTGGGAGACGCCCCACCCAAATTCCTTTCACGCTCCAATCACAAATAGGTCCAGTCTCTCTCTCTCTCTCTCTCCTCGTCTCCTATATTAATATATATATATATATATATATATATATACATCACACAATATATACATACACACACATGCCTGTCATGCAGAGTTGTTCCTCAGTGTGCACTCAAATTCGTATGTCATTATGAGCTGGTCATCTATTAAAATTTGTTCAAAGTTAGTTTAATAATTTCTTCTGTCTATTTTTTATAGTCACTTTGCCTCAGCATTCAGTTACACATTATTCTGCTGGCACAGTTCGAGAGTCCTTTTTCATCTATTAATAATATTCAGGTTTCAATTTTAAGGCCTTATCTGTGGCTCAAAATTTGTCTTCAAAATCACAGGCAGCACAAAAGAAATCAGCTAGTGGGAATGAAATGAGGAAGTCACCTCTTGGTCGAACTCCAGTCAAGGGACCTGTCAGGCGCAGATTACATCCAGGGATGTCATCTATGCTGGACAGTGGTGCTGCCCATTTTGGTGCTGTTACTGGTCTAAAAATGACTGAAGATGGAATGTATATTCTAAGTGCAGGTTTAGTTGTTTTCATTACCTTAAAATTATTTTGAGACTAATTCATTCTATAAAATTTGAGATGATACATGTGGTACCGAGACATGCATAATGAGTCTAAGGTTAAAGTGGCATTTAGTTAAATTGTTAATGGTCCTTTTGCAGATTGATAAAAGTCCTCCTGAACCCATTCTTCGATCTGCTGCTTTAACTCAAATACTCAATTGGGTTATTCATTGATATTACAGAAGTTGTTCAAAAGGATAGTCACAGGCTGTGGCAGTGTTGCAGTTATGTTCTGATTAAATGTTAGTTGAAGAAGGTGCACATAGTGTCTCATTGGGATAAAGCAGTAGGCAGCTATCTAAACATTGTTGCACTGGGAATAAAATATTGGAAGAGATTTGCTCAAGAGCTTTACTAGTAGAGCTTAGATTAGAAGTTAATTAATTAAGGTTTCCATTTTCTTTATTGGCCTGAACGAGTTGTTATTCCTTCCTCTCATATTTCATGAATGTTAAGAACTTCACCTGTAAGAGCAACTTTTTTTTCTCTATTTATTATTTGACTTTATCTCTATACTTGGATTTCAGGATCTGATTCAAGAATGAGATTATGGGATATTGAATCTGGCTGCAATACACTTGTGAACTTCGAAACTGCTCGACTACAAACCACCAAGCCACTTCAATTGGCCACAACACAAGATTCATCCCTTGTTTTTGTCCCATGCATGACAACTGTGAAGGTAGATGTCATTTCTGCCTTTATTTTCTGTGCGTATAATTTTTATTGAAAACGGAACAAAGGTACAGTTGTATTGGAACATTAGTTGTTACTTTTTGTTCTTTAGGCATTTGATGTTTGGTCGGGTAGGACTTTCATGACTTTTCGTGGTCATTATGAGGAAGTGAACTGTTGCTGGTTCAACTCACAAGATCAGGTTAAATCCTTTTCCCATTAACTTGATTCACAATTCTAATTGTATTTCTTATAAACTGGAGAAAGCAACATCTTTGCTACAATGTCAATTAGGTTTTATCAAACAGTTTAGGTTCTGAATCCCCTTATCCAGTACAATTTGTGAATATTAGATCAGAACTCAAAATCATGATTTATTCTTCTGTAGTTATAGATTTCTTTCCTAAGACCCGAGTAGTGTTCATGCAAATGCAAAGAGAAGCTTGTGCTGTTATTAGGCCCGCTTCATCAGGGGAAGAAGAAATATAACTTGATTTAAGGTTATTAGATCAGAAATATTAGATCAGAACTCAAAATCATGATTTATTCTTCTGTAGTTATAGATTTCTTTCCTAAGACCCGAGTAGTGTTCATGCAAATGCAAAGAGAAGCTTGTGCTGTTATTAGGCCCGCTTCATCAGGGGAAGAAGAAATATAACTTGATTTAAGGTTATTAGATCAGAAATATTAGATCAGAACTCAAAATCATGATTTATTCTTCTGTAGTTATAGATTTCTTTCCTAAGACCCGAGTAGTGTTCATGCAAATGCAAAGAGAAGCTTGTGCTGTTATTAGGCCCGCTTCATCAGGGGAAGAAGAAATATAACTTGATTTAAGGTTATTAGATCAGAAATATTAGATCAGAACTCAAAATCATGATTTATTCTTCTGTAGTTATAGATTTCTTTCCTAAGACCCGAGTAGTGTTCATGCAAATGCAAAGAGAAGCTTGTGCTGTTATTAGGCCCGCTTCATCAGGGGAAGAAGAAATATAACTTGATTTAAGGTTATTAGATCAGAAATATTAGATCAGAACTCAAAATCATGATTTATTCTTCTGTAGTTATAGATTTCTTTCCTAAGACCCGAGTAGTGTTCATGCAAATGCAAAGAGAAGCTTGTGCTGTTATTAGGCCCGCTTCATCAGGGGAAGAAGAAATATAACTTGATTTAAGGTTTTTTCGCACGCTGTAACCTACATGTACGTGCCGGCTGACTATTCTTTATTTTGGGTCAACTTATATTGCCTTCAACAATAGATTGTGGTTTTTACCTCTGTCAACTGTAATATAAAAGGTTTTTCCTCATACTGATTCTGTAATTTACTTTCTTTTAATAAAATTGTGAATTTACATTTGGTATTGGCAGTTATTAATTTATTTGTTCAAATCATTTCAGTAAATTAGTTAATGAAATAATTCACCGTTCACAAAATAACCCTCCGCGGACCGCAGTCTTAAATTTCAAGCAATGTTTATTATTTATAGTTATGCCTTAATCGATTAAACCCATAAACCGAGCATTGAATAAAAATTTTGTTAAAAACAGATAATAAACTATTAAAATGAATAAAACCAATTGGATTCGTAATTTAATTTTTTAATCTGTGTAATTTTTTATTTTTTTATTTAATTAGTTTTTTAAAAAAATTTATATAAAAATAAAAGAAATAAATTTGAGAACCTCACAGTATTTACACATTTATCTAAATCATTATAGGAATAAAAACTTACATTTTAAATTAACAAGAATGCAGTTATAAGATAAAAACTTACATTTTAAATTAACAAGAATGCAGTTATAAGATGATCTAACCATTCAATTTGCTAAATCCATATAACTTCTGATTTATGTATATTGGAAACATAATAGTTCTTTAAAAATTACTCTCTAATTTATCGCTTTTCTAGCCAATGGCTCTCAATATTCTCTTATAGTTTTTATGATTTTAAACATAATAGCTCTTTAATTCTAATTTTTTAGTTTTCTCTCTTACTGTGATTTGTGAATTTTATAACTTTAAAATTTAGACTTTTAAAAAAAATAATGGCTAGTATTTTTTTTTTTTACGAGTTTTTGAACTCTTGAATATTGATGTTTATATGCCCTTACTATTGTTCTCTCTTTTCAAATCTATTTTGTTTCTCTTCAGAAAAAATAACATACACATTATTAGCTTGAAGAGTGCGACTCTATCTAAAGAGTAAGACTCTAAAATTTGAGCATTTGGTATTAACTTGGATAGGAAAAATTGAAGAACTTGTAGAAAACTGCCTTACCTCTCTGATTTCTGGATATTATTAAACGTAATACCTCTTTAAAAATTATTCTCTAATTTTAACCTTTATAGCTTTTAAACAAAAAATAACTTCTGATTTCTGGATATTATTAAACGTAATACCTCTTTAAAAATTATTCTCTAATTTTAACCTTTATAGCTTTTAAACAAAAAATAACTTTTGATATCCTCTTATGATTTTTATAGTTTTTATGCAGATTGCTCTTAGTAACTCTTGATATTCTCTTTAATTTGTAAGTCCTATGACCTTCAAACACAATAACTTTTAATGTTCTTTCTTGTTATATTTATAAAGACTTTAAAAATAATGGCTTTCAATATTTTTTTTATGAATTTTACAGCTCTTAAATATTACTGTTCATGTTCTTATCATTGTTCTCTTTTCGGATGTATTCTCTTGAAAAAAAAAAACCTACACAATCTTGCAAAGTACTGAAGACCTCAAAATCTAGTAGATTTTTAACTGACTACGATAACAATAACAATCACAATAAGAATAAGGTTGATGACAAAGAAATTGTTGAAATTAACCTAGTATTTCTATCTAGTATGAAAGTCCAATTCTGCCTAATATTACCTAATATAATTTTGATTTAGACAAAACAAAATGCTGGTTCATTCTTAGGATACTAATCTTTTTTACAACCACGCACTCATTTTTTTTACTCTTAATTTTTTTTTATCTATATAATATTAAAGCATAAATTTTTTATTTAAATTAAAATAAATACAAATTGATTAATTTGTATTGAAATTTGTTGTCCAAACTACTTATATATAATGGTACTTTTACGTACTTAATTCTATTTTATATAATGAAATTGTTTGAAAATAAAAAGTTCAATCCAATTTCTAGATCTAATATTTCAATCCTTAATTTATAAAAAAAGATTTTTAATACCAAGAAAAAAAAATCAAATCATGACTCAATCTTCAGCCTCTATCCTCAACTCCAAATCAATATTTATATAATACTATAGTGAAAAATAAAAATAAAAGTAAATCATTTTTTTTTTTTGCTAGGTAAGAAAGAAACGAAATAAGAAAAGTACATTAGAAAAAAAAAGTATGCACATAATAAATTCTTAACACCCTAAAAGGTAAACTTAAAACAGAAATAAAGTTCTTTTTTTTTTTTAAATGCACAAATACTATTTTCTTTCAAGTCAAAGAGATTTAAAATATAAGAGAAAAATATTTAAAAAATTAAAAATACTTAATCATCTATTTATTGCAATAGATATATAAATCTTTTAACAATTACAAATTAATTCAATAATATAAAAATTATTTATATATATTTATTTAAAAAATAATTTTTATAAATTTTATCTAATCAATTAATAAAATGTAATTTTCTTAATAAAATATAATTTTCTAATTAGACTAAAATATTCCAGATTTTATTAAATGCGCTGAGATGAGATCTTATTATTTCCCTATTTCCATATTTATATATAATATAGATATATATATTTATCAAGAGCAAAAAACTCCCCTATTCTTATATTTAAATATAATATACATATTGCCGTCAACATGATACCATGAAAAGAAAAAAAAAACATTGAAGTCATCATAAAAACTTTATAATTTAAAAGGGAGAGATTAAAGTGTCAATGGAATCATAATTTTAAAACTTAATAGTTTGTTGAATTATAATAAAAACTTAATATTTTACAAATCAATTTCTCAAAACCGACAATGAAAATAGACAATTTTCTTTAAATTTGATATTGAGGAAAGAATCAAAGTATTGATAAAATAATAAATTAAAAATCTCATTATTAAATTAAAACAAAAATCTCTTTAGCAGCAGTTTAATTTGACTTGGTTCGATTTTGCGGTTTAGGCGATAAATAACATCATGCAAGGAAATAACATTCGACATTTATCTAGTAAACAAGGAAAAAAAAAATAACATCATGCAAAATATGAAAAACAAATTCAGAAAAATTATACCATCAAATACATATGATTTCGAATAGCTATTAAAAGTTTTTCAATTAATTTTTGAATATGTATTTTTTTGGTATATAAAAGTGAAAAAATATTATATAAATATTAATTGTACTAATCTAAGTCTCTACGTTTAAGAAGACTATCTAAAATTAGTAACTATAGTTGACTTATTAAGCTCATAAACTCCCGAGTAGACTATCTGATGTTTCTAATCAACTATTATTACCTATAATAATAGGTATTAAGTACATATAGACCCTCTAACATTGCAAATTAACTAAGCTCATAAACTAAGCAAACTACTAATTAGGTCTCCATGATTAAGAAGACTACCTAAAATTACTAAATAACTATAGTTGACTAGTTAACTATAATATTGTATACTTAACTAATTAATTATAATTAACTCCACTATTGCTAATTAAGTATAGTTATCTAACTAATTAGTCATATACTATCTAAAATATAAGCACTTATTAAAGAATTTTAAAAAAAAAAAAAAAAAAACTTCCCGAGGTAGGGGGGGACTATCTTTGATGTTTCTAATTTCCAAAAAAAAAAAACTTATATTTAAAACCTATTAATTAAATTAGGTTAAATTTTTAAAGGTAACATTATTAGGAAAAACCCTCTAAAAACATTTGCAAAAATTAACCTAAAGCTTTTCATAAAAAAAAAAAAAAAATAAGCAAAAAACGTTTTACTTTTAAATTTAGGGGGTCCTTCCCGATTTTGATTAAGGGAAAAGAAAGACTTACCTAAAAATAACATTTTTTAACTAAAATTAAAAACGTAAATCAGTTGACTAGGTAAAAAAAAAAAAAAAACTATAATATTGTATAAACTATAAAAAAAAAAAAACTAAATTAAATTATAAAAATTTTTTTAAACTTTCCCCCCCAACTATTTGGGCGTCGCCTAATAAAAAGGGTAATTTTTAGGTTAATTTTTCTAAAAAACTAAAAATTTAGGGTCTCAATTTATTACTATCTAAAAAAAATTATAAGCAACTTATTTTAATTTAAAAAAATGTTAAACATATTAAGAGTTTTTTTTTTAAACATAAAACCTAAAAAGTAAACAATATACTTAACTAATTAATTATAATTAACTCCACTATTGCTAATTAAGTATAGTTATCTAACTAATTAGTCATATACTATCTAAAATATAAGCACTTATTAAAGTACATATTAAAGTACATAAACTAAGTACATAAACTATCTAACACATTAACTAATTATAGTTAATTAGTTTAATTAACTATAATTAACTATATTATTTACTGTAGTAACTATAGTTACTTTACTAAGTATAAACTAAGTTGACTATCGAGATTATAAAATAACTACAGTTAATTTTATTAACTCATTTTGTCGAATACCGTCACTCTCCCTTCACATTGCATAGAGAAAGCCTTACCTATATGCTTCTCTCTGGAAAAATCATATCTTCTTTTTAACGATTTTTTTTTTTTTTTTTTTTTTTTAAGTGCTCAATCACTCAAGGCAATGATTAATTAAATGCCATTTTTCTTACCTCTGCCACTACGAGGAAAAAATTACAAAAACTACCAAATAACCTAAGCTAGTTACAAATCTGCCATAGTTTTCACTCATGAGTCATTTGAGTCCCACCAAAATTTTTAAAAACTCCCCCCCCCGAAAGATGTTTCTCTTCGAATAATATATCACGGCTAGAAAGAAAAATTCCTTTCCATCACATAATGGAACATCTCCACATGCCCCAAATTTTGGCCAAAAGTGACATATTTCAATAAAGTGATATGGTATTCAGAGTAAAAAAACAAAAAAAAAAAAAAAAAAAATCAAAGCTGACCAATGTGTCTTAACTGCAGTTAAATCAAAATACTTGACCATGTGGTTGCGTCAAGTTAGATCACCACCGAGTTTAAGAAAAAAGTTTATCTTTACCGGTATCATTTTCTATAATACTTGCTACACAGCATAATTCCCTCATATTTTTTTCATTGTCTTTTCAGCTCTCTAAAACTTGAATTGATAGTTCTTGAACCAGACTAAAATTGACAAATGCTACCAACAATATTCACCGAATGTAAAACTAAAGTGGACCTTGAATATTCAGAAGCTCACGAGTCATGTGGGTTTTACGTTCAAGTTAGATCACCACCGAGTTTAAGAAAAAAGTTATTTTTCCTTCCTTGTTAACTGGCCACGATCACTGCACACCTCCCGAGCGGACAGACTACCCAGTACACGTCGGCCGGGTATCATTTTCTATGATTCATTTTCTCATGATACTTGCTACCACAGCGTATAATTCCCTTATTTTTTTCATTGTCTTTTCCAGTCGATCTCTCTAAACTTGAATTCGATAGTTTCTTGAAACCAGACTAAAAACCAGACTAAAATTGACAAATGCTACCAACAATATTCACCGAATGTAAAACTAAAGTGGACCTTGAATATTCAGAAGCTCACGAGTCACCCACCAAAGTTTGCTAGTGTTTATTCAATTGTCTAATTTTCACTTACAAAATAATAAGAACCATCTCAGCCATGCAAAGACACACAAGAGAGAGAAAGAGATGATAGAAAGATGATATGCATACCAGCTGTTGGTGAGTCCTTTGTTTTGTTTTCATTTTGACCTTTCTCCACTTTGATCAACAATGCTTCTTGATTGGAGAAAAATGCATATAATCTCATAAACCTCATTTTAGAGTGCATCAAAGCTTTTGCACATACTTTAACATAATGCTTTGACATTAAGACACTAAGCCATAAGTAGCATTTTTTCTTAGTTTTGACTAAAAGATTAAAAAAATTAACAAGCAGCTTTCTCAATTACTTCTCAATCTCAAAATTTGTACTTTTGGGATCACCACTACCACACAATATCAAAATTTGTACTTTTGGGATCACCACTACCACACAATAAATCAAACCGGACACAATAAAATGCATCCTATTCACTTGACAGTTAATTGATACAATAAAAGCATCAAAGAACGATACCTGCTACAGCAATTCTCATTACTTGACAGCATAAATCCCTTGGATTTTTTTTTTTTTATCGCCGTCCTTTCACCTCTCTAAAACTTGAATTAACAGTTCTTGAACCACAGACTAAAATTGACAATTGCAAACAATGGTTCTCAAAACCAATTCAACGCAATATCCCACTCAGCATTGCAATCAATCAGAGATAAAAATTATGCCAAACCTTGTTCACATACCAAGAATGTTCACAAAATGTAAAACTAAAGTGACCTTGATATAAGCATATTAAAGGAGGCTCAGATTCGCCTTTTTCAAGCAGAAAAGTGAACATACAACCATGGCTGCAACAAAAGAGCTCAAAATCAGAAGCTCCTGAGTCACCCACCCAAAGTTGCTAGTGTTCATCCAATTGTCCGATTTTCATTAAAAAAATCATCCAAATTGTCCGATTTTCATTAAAAAATAACAAGCATCACTCACAGCCATGCAAAGACCCACAAGACAAAGAAAGACGATGACTAAGAAAAAGATAGGTATAGATATTGACCCAAACAAGGGTCAGCTCTGCAATCAATCAGAAGACTAGTAGCTCTCCAAGAGCTAAGCCTCACCCTTCACTTTCAATTATCTCCCCGAAGCAAACAGAACCTAAACCAAAAGATATGTTGGAGAAATGAGGCTCATAATCAGATAGCCCTAATATCAAACAAGATAAGAAACACCACCACATCATGGCTGCAGGCAATAGCTATCCAGCGGAAAACAGGGTGACCATATTTAAGGAGCTGCCAAAGGGCTGATCTAAGTCCACGAGGGCAGTTAACCCGCTGCCTTGAAAAGCCCTTACCCGCCAGAGGATTGGCGGCTTTCTTTGGGTGTTTCTTTTCTAATCTGATTTTAGGTCACTGATAATATCATCATAGCCTCATTAAGTTTACTAAAACTTCCAATCATTCCATCCAAACAAAGGGTAGAAGTGCAAGTTGAGGGTAGATTTATGCATTTGGCCTCTCTGTATGTACAGGGAGAAGGAGCTGTTGGCAAATAAGAAGATAAATCACAGGCTCCACCTTTTATCAGAGAGACGAGGTCAACCGCCCTAAAACCTTCAATCTCACGAGCTGTTGGCAAATAAGAACCTCATTCTCAAACTAATGAGCTAAAATTTCCACTGCACAAAAAACAGAGAAAGAAAGAGAAAGAAAGAGATGAAGTGAGGCTGAGATACGATTTTAATCAAACAACAAAAGGAACAAAGCGAATGTGGCTGCAATGATGGATCTATCTGCAAGAGATAGAAAATATTCACATTGCGCCGCCAAACAATCAAAATTGTTCCTTTAACGTTTGGATCTTGCACTCTAGAAAATAAGAATCGTCATAGCTTCTTTGTAAGCAGCAACAGAACCTTGGCAGAGGCTAGAAAATAAGAATCGTCATAGCTTCTTTGTAAGCAGCAACAGAACCTTGGCAGAGATTGAACGTATCAGATCTCCGATCAAGTTACGCCGGTAATATAGTATTCATGGAACAGAGGGAGTACTAATTGACAATATATATATACGTACACATACGCGATTGTTTTATAATCCGACGGTAAAATCATCGGCTCCGCAGTCGTTGAGAGAGAGGAGCAACCGCCATACTGGGCCATCTCTCTGAGAGCAAAGCCATTCTTAAGAACATCATTATTGTCCATGTGGCCTTGCATATTCTTAAACTAGTGATGGCTTTGCATATTCTGAGAGCAAAGGTAGCTTTGTCATTGCATGTTATGTATTGGCAAAATCGTAGTAACTTGCAAAAGATTAGGCGTTTTACGAAAATATTTGCCTACTTGCCCTCGTTTTTTCAGTCAAAGGATAAACGCATCAAAAAAGGAGAGAGAAACAGAGCAGAGCCAACTTTTTTATGAAGGACAACAGAGAGAGTCAGAGACCAACCTAACAGCTACAAGAAGGTGAAGAAGAGCCATGGTTTATATAATTAATTGATTTTGATAATACGTAAGACTGATAAGCCAGGCCTAACTTAGGCCCTTCAAGAAATCTACCAACGTGTATAAATGACGTTTTATTTGTTATTTTCTGGAATTTTTTTTATTACGATAATGTTATATTTGAATATCTGGTATCAGTATTTTTTTACTAATTATAAACTCCAAAGATTCAAACTCACAATGACACCAGCAAAACCACCAAGCTAGTGAGAAAACTCACAATGACACCAGCAAAACCACCAAGCTAGTGAGAAATTATATCATTTGCTATATCTCCAAATTGAAACAATTTTTTCCAGTAAACTAAATAAAGTAACAGAAATTATTCTTCAAACAAACATTGACATCAAACAATTTTCCAACCAACAAACAAATAAAAATCCATCTCATTGGCTTCAAATGCTGAAAGATATTCCAGCATAAGTTGCAGCAAACCCTATATAATAAGCACATTGTTTGTATCAACTTATCTTTCAAAGTTGCTAGAATTCAACAAATAAAAAAAAATCAATAGGCAATTTTAAAAATCTATCCATCAACAGCAGCTAAATGTAAAGGGAAAGAAACAAAGATCCTAAGAAACTACAAATTCATACAAACAATCATGTCAAAGAAGCAGAACAAGCATCAAAACAACTATGTAATAATTCTCCTTCGGCAACATGCTAGCATTGAAAGCCAGAATGACAAAATAAAAATGTGCAAAATCAAGTGCGAGAATGAAAAGGAACTGAAGTACCTGTTATGTTAACCATAAAGAAAACAGGAAAAAAATACAAGGGTAAGCAGGCAGCCTTTAGTTGTCAAAATACAAGTTGGTCGATGTAGGCCAGAACACTATCAAGGAAGTTACAATTAATTAAGAGTATACAAGTTCACAATCAAAGTGACACTACTAAGTGGGGATTCACTAGACCAGCAGCAAATAACTTCACTACATCGTGTGACAAATCAGCTAGACCAGCAGCAAATAACTTCACTACATCGTGTGACAAATCAGGAGAGCTAAAACATCATACATGACTCGGGCTCGAAGGACTGGGAAGCAAATGCATAAAAAGATTTTAACGAAAAAGCAGAATCATTAAGAAGACACCTACCTGAATATGATACACTGCCTGCTATTTGTTTATGCACTATAGATCAAAACAGAAACGATAAACTAGCATCCTACTCAATTGATACATCTAAAGCATCAAGAAGGATGCCTACCACGACAATTCTTCATAAATTATAACTTCATTCTCACAGTTGGCCTTCTACACAGTTGGCCTTCTACTCTCACACGACAAAAAATTGACAATCTTAGTGCCTGTTAAACATATTGGAAAAGTGTTTCAATATAAAAATATTTAATAAATTATATATTAAATAAACTCACAAATTTGATTTTTTAATATTGAATTTTTCATGTCGGTCATCAACTACAATGTAAGAATTTAACATGACAATGTAAAATTTAACATGACTAAATCAAATTATATGATTTAAATTAATTTAGACCAAACAAACAAAGGATAGTAACATCACATCCACAGCTAAGGCAAACAGCTATTTGTCAAACAAACAAAGCAAAATCAGAAGCTCAAAGTCGGATGCCAATGGTCGCATCTATTCCCTACAATCAAAGTCACCCAGAAAATCGTATCAGCACAGCCTCAAATACACAAACAAATGATATGATTTAAATTCATTTAGACCAAACAAACAAAGCATAGTAACATCAAATCCACGGCTAAGGCCAAGAGATATTTGTCCCACGGGCTAAGGCCCAAGAGAGTATTTGTCAAACAAGACAAAGCAAAAATCAGAAGCTCAAAGTCAATCCAGCCAATCCGGTCGCAGTCTATCCCTACAACCAAAGTCATCCAGCCAATGGTCGCATCTATTCCCTACAATCAGAGTCACCCAGTAAATGGTATCCTCACAGCCTCAAATACACATGCACATACACAAACAAATCATATGATTTAAATTAATTTACAAATAAAGGATAGTAACATCACATCCACGGCTAAGGCCAAGAGCTATTTGTCAAACAGACAAAGCAAAATCAGAAGCTCAAAGTCAGCCAATGGTCGCATCTATTCCCTACAATCAAAGTCACCCAGCAAATGGTATAAAAGTCATCCAGCCAATGATCACATCTTTTCCCTACAATCAAAGTCACCCAGCAAATGGTATTTCCCTACAATCAAAGCCACCCAGCAAATGGCATCATCACAGCCTCAAAGACACATGCACATACACAAACATACACAAACAAATGATATGATTTAAATTAATTTTGACTAAACAAACAAAGGATAGTAACATCACATCCACGGCTAAGGCCAAGAGCTATTTGTAAAGCAGACAAAGCAAATTCAGAAGCTCAAAGTCATCCTCCAGCCAATGGTCGCATCTATTCCCTACAATCAAAGACACACAGCAAATGGTATCATCACAGCCTCAAATACACATGCACATACACAGACCGTACACAGACTGAGAGATACTGCTGAATAAAGGGACACTTCGGTTTTATAATTTTTAGAAAAATATTTTCCAAGAAAAGGCCCAAACGGAAGCAGAGAAATCTGTAGAAAGAGAAGGCTCAGATAATATATGCTTTCAGATCGGACAGGACAGAAACACCACAACACCAGGGCTGCAACAACAAAAGGTTGCCTCGCCAAGAAATTGAGTATTTCTCCTCGAGTCTAACTTTTCAGGCTCACTGAAGATATCATTATAGCCTCGCCAGTCCAAGACAGCTACTCACACACACAAGAAAGAAAGCAGACATATTGGTATAAGGGCTGTTGCCAACATAAGAAACGCAATCAGTAATCACTGGCTCCGCTACCTATAATACACATGCACATACACATACAAATGATATAATTTAAATTAATTTAGACCAAACAAACAAAGGATAGTTACATCACATCCACGGCTAAGGCCAACAGCAAAACCAAATGATATGATTTTAAATTTAATTTTAAGACCAAACACAATCAAAAGGAGAGTAACATCAACATTCCAAGGCTAAGGCCAAAAGCTATTATGTCAAACAGACAAAGGCAAAATTTCAGAAGCTCAAAGTTCATCAGCCAATGGATCACATCTTTCCACAATCAAAGTTCAACCCCCAGCAAATGGGCTATCAAATTTTTTTTTTTTTATTTTTTCCCCCCTTTTTTTTTTCCTCACAAGCCTCAATACAACAAACATTGCACATACACAAACAAATGATTATGATTCTAAATTTAATTTCTAGACCAAAACCAAACAACTAGGGATAGTAACATCACTCCACGGCTAAGGCCAACCAAGTCTATTTGTTCACAGACAAAGCAATTTCAGAAAGCTCCAAAAAGTTCATCCAAAGCCAATGGTCGCATCTATTCCCTACATCAGAGTCCACCAGCAAAATGGCTTAACCTCACAGCCTTCAAAACACCCACAACAGCCTCAAATACACATGCACATACACAAGCAAATGATATGATTTAAATTAATTTAGACCAAACAAACAAAGGATAGTAACATCACATCCACGGCCAAGGCCAAGAGCTATTTGTCAAACAGACAAAGCAAAATCATAAGCTCAAAATCATCCAGCCAATGGTCGCATCTATTCCCTACAATCAAAGTCACCCAGCAAATGGTATCATCACAACCTCAAATACACATGCACATACACAAACAAATGATATGATTTAAATTAATTTAGACCAAACAAACAAAGGATAGAAACATCACATCCACGGCTCAGGCAAAGAGCTATTTGTCAAAACAGACAAAGCAAAATCAGAAGCTTCAAGTCAAATCCAGCCAATGGTCGCATTCTATTCCTACAATCAGAAGCCACCCAGCAAATGGTATCATCACAGCCTCAAATACACGTGCACATACAACAACAAATGATTATGATTTAACATTTAATTTAAGACCAAAACAAAAACAAGGCATAGTAACCATCACAATCCCATGGCTTAAGGCCAAAAGCTATTTGTCCAAACAGACCAACAGCCAAAATCAGAAGCTTCAAAGTCATCCAGCCAATGGATCCACATCTTTCCCTACAAATCAAAGCACCCAAGCAAATGTAATCATCACAGCCCAAATACACATTGCACCATACACAAAAATATATGATCTAAATTAATTAGACCAAACAAACAAAGGATAGTAAACATCACATCCACGGCTAAGGCCAACAGCTATTTGTCAAACAGAACAAAGCAAAATCAGAAGCCAAAGCCAAAATCAGAAGCCAATTGGTCGCTCTATTCCCCATACAATCAAAAGGTCCACCCAGCCAAAATGTATCATCACGAGCCCTCAAATACACAATGCACATACACAGAACAGACTACACTGCTGAATTTTAGGGAAACTTTAAATTTATATTTTTTAGAAATATTTTCCAGATAAAACAACAAGGCCCAAACAGCAGACAGAGAAATCTATACGAAAGAGAAGGCTCAGATCAGATATGCCTTCAAATCAGACAGTGACAGAAACACCACAACAACCATGGGCTGCAACAACAAAAAAAAGGTATCGCCTCGCCAGAAATTGAAGTTATTCTCCTCACAGGTCTGCATTTTTAGGCTCATCTGAATTAAATCATCATAGCCTCGCCAGTCGCCAAACAGGCCACTCACACCACAAGAAAGAAAGCAGACCAGACACTATTATTGGAGTATAATGGCTGTTGCCAAACATAAGAAACATAGAATCAGTAGTCACCGGCTCCACCGCACCTATCAGAGCAGGACCAGTAGTTCAACCACTCCTGAAGCCAACGGACCTCCGTTCACTAAGAAGACAAAAGCCTGCCTAACTTAAACCCATTCACACAGCAATCTTAAGGTAAACATAATTTATGCAAAAGCAATTTGGAATTTTTTATTTTAGAAAAAAAAAATAACAGAACAAAAATCGAAGAAAATGAAGAGCGAGAGATCCTAGATGAAGAGCTATTTGTCAAACCGACAAAGCAAAATTAGAAGCTCAAAGTCACCGAGCCAAATGTCAGATCAATTCCCTACAATCAAATTCACCCAGCAAATGGTATCATCACAGCCTCAAATACGCATGCACATACACAGACAGATACACTGCTGAATTTAGGGAAACTTTAATTTTATATTTTTTAGAAAAATATTTTC